ATCAATACAAGAGCAAGCGGCACAATCTATAACAATTGTATTATGTATAAGAAACGGTAGTCCGAGAATAATTGGCATGCAAAGTCCAGGAGCAATAAGAGCTTTTACTGTTTTGGAAGCCCCATGAGGAACTCCAGGACTATGGGATTGGGACCAGGTCTGTACGAGGGGGCAAAGTTCCAGAGATAGGGAGGTTGTAATCATGGCATGATTACTACAGTTCCCATACTGTATCATATATAGGATGCACTGGCTGAGAATATAACTTCTCAGTTATTCTGCCTTTTGGCTTAGGTGGTCCTTTGTGCATTCTAGGGTCTGCTTACAACTGTGCCCTTAATGTTGTTATGAACCCATCAAAGGTTTTGCTTGCATACTTTGCTGTTCTTCAGCAATCAATGTTGATGACTCTGAAGCATTCACTTAAAAAAGCCTTCGACTTGGATACAGCGAAATCCTTCAATCAGCAAATGGGCAAACTCAAGCAGCTCTATGGAATCTGGGAAAGCTACGTGAAGGTGATCTCCCTTATCCTATTTCCAAGTCAAAGGAGCACAGGATGGCGTTTGATCTGCAGTTCATTGTGTAATCTACATTTTTCAAGCTTTGCTTACGAGTTGACAGTGATGTCTCCTTTGCTTACCCTGGAACTACCAAGACGATGAGCACTGTAGATAAAATTTTGCTGACAATTGAGGCAGGCCAACTGGTGGTCATTGTTGGCACTAATGATTGCTCAAGTCCTTCTTGCAGTCTGGTCTTGCATAGCCGTTGCACTGTAGAATCTTCCCACTTCCACCCATACATGTTTTCCTGGACATAGTGTTTGCTTCCGGTCTCGTTGGAAGGAAGAAATACTTGTGAAATAACCAGAAATGCAGCCAAAATTAAAATATAGTGGAGACTGCTGGGTCTATATTGTCCTTGCAAAACTTCGACAACATTAATAAAATCAAGACCCATAAATCCAATCTATTTGTTGCTGCATGAATCTGAAATCATTCCAATGAGAATGCTCACAAATTTGAGTCCCTTGGGTGTCTAGTGGTTGTTATTCGAAAACCCTTTGGCCACGGTCATGCTGATTTCTGTGGTACACGAGGTTTACTTGTATTAAGTGCATTACCTATGTACCTGGTCAAATTCTTCAACTGGACAGTAAACTCAAGCTAAAAAGAACCTTATTTTGGAGCTACAGGTATTCTATGTTTTATACGAAGGAGTCAATAATCAATTTATACTAGTGCTTGGAAGTCCGGTTTTTTGCCTTTTTGGTCAGTTTTTCTGCTAGCATGTTGCCATTAATCAAGTTTAAACTAAGTTTACTCAAGTCAAATGAAAGCTGACCAGGGCTCGTTTCGCACACGTACAATCACAGTCACCGTGTCTGCTGACATGCGACTAAGAGCCGCTGCTCAACTTATATCAATCCACGCTTGGATTAACACTCAACTATTTTTAGATTCATCTTTCATGGCTGAGGAGTGGGATGAGACGACCCCTTTCCACAAGGCTCTCATCTCAACATCTCACTCCCTCAGCCAGGTATGTATCTAACTTATCATTGAAGGCTCTCGTGATAACATATTACTTCGTCTATGCAGTATTCTACAGCTGGCTTCTCATCACTTCATAATACTATGCATTCATCGTTCCTCAATTTTCTCCTATGAGTGACCATGCAGAACTCTTCGCATCTGCAGTACCAGGGAATGGATCCTCTGACACTATTGGGGCAACCAACACAAGGAGACCAACATTACTCAACAGATTAGGGATGTTGGACGATACACCCCAGAACCTTCAGACACTAGACAATGGGGAACCACTCCTACTGGTGAGATTGGGGATGATGAATCAGGGGATCTCGACAATGAAGGATCTAACGGGATTGAACAAGAATGCATTGAGCAAATGGATGACATCGTTGAGAGCTTCAGATCCAACGAAATCACCAAGCTCAAAGCACTCTCAACCATCATATCAATCCTCGACCTCAACCCATTGAGGACTGAGGGAGCGAAAGATGCAGCTGTGGAATATTACGCAAAAACGCTTGATGAGGTTCAAGCCTTATCTTCTTCAGCGATTAGGAGAGGTCGAGTCGCTGGAAACGGATTGGAATCGAAGGGGAGAAGCCCAGACTCAATGCAGCCTTCTAGACCCGCTGACCACAATGCCAAAATCGACAAACTCATCTCTCAAATCAGTCAAGATTCAAAGAGATCCAAGATTCAGTCTTCACAAGATGATTCCGACAATGACATCGACTTTGACGGATCCTCCAACAAAAAACGGAGAGTTTTCAAGTCCGAGATGCCTTGGTATACCAGAGAAGAAGAAGCCAGAAGAAGCGGTAACAAAGACTGTGAGGAATCCCAAAGAATTCTTCACCTCTTCGCTCGAGACTTCAAAGCCATTAAACAGTGGATCCAAACTTCTCGAACTGCACCCCTCGGTTTCCCTGCATCCAAGTGGGACAATATCATCCGAGGACAAGCCATCAACCTTGACTCCGTGTTCTCCTCACTGCACCACATTTCAGCTCCTAAAGAGAACATTGGACGCATGGGACACACTGAGATCTCCCTCGGAAGATCCGAACCTGCAAAAAAGGTTCAAACGAGTGGCAAATGGACCAGCGCCTGGAATGCCACCATCAAAGCGGTCAAATTTGCTTTCCCCCACAGAGAGCAAGAACTTAGGGAATACGCTGAATATATCGAAGGGCATTTCTCTGCCAAAGTTGTATCTGCACATCGATGAATCATCCTTTACAATGTTGCCATCTGGAACAAGGTCGGTGGAGGCCAGAATGCCCTACTCACTGACACCCATAGATTCTCGAGATTCTTCTCAGCCATTGTCATGCCTGACGGGATTGAATCCGAACATGCTAGACTTGGACCCAAGCGCTCACCCAGAAAAACAAACTCAAAATCAGAAATTTGCAATCGCTTCAACTCTGTCAATGGGTGCAGGAACTCCGCCGATGATTGTCGTTTCAGACACGCTTGCAAACGATGCAAACGAGTGGGTCATGGGGAAAAATCTTGCAATGTCAAAGAAGTTTCTAACACATGAACTTTGTCCAAAATACCTCAGATATAACATATGGGACAATGGTGAACATTTTTCACTTTCCTCTGCTGATTGGTCAGAAACAGCTTCACCACTACCAACCATCCCAGAATCTGAACTTGCCAATCCAATTGTTGCAAAGACAATTAATGACAACCCCCACCTTTTTGACATCATCACTCCTATCTTTGTAGACTGTTTCAAAGAACTCCTCAAATCACACCCAAATCAACCTTTCGTTTTGTCTGTGTGTCGTGGACTCTGTGAAGGTTTCTGGCCTTGGGCCAATACCCATATTGGAGAATACCCCGATACTCTAGACTACTCGCTACCTGATCCTGTCAACCCTGATGAAGCTGAATTTCTATGAAATCAGCGGGATCATGAGATTTTCAAAGGTCGTTTCTCTGAATCATTTGGGGACCAACTGCTCCCTGGCATGTACTGCATGCCCATCTTTGCTGTTCCCAAACCACATTCAACTGACCTGTGAATGGTAACTGACCAAAGCGCAGGGAAATATTCCCTCAACAGCATGATTCCGAGAGAAGACATTATTGGTTATCCCCTTGATAACCTCCAACATCTAGGCGAGTTCCTCCTGTCCATGCACTGCCAAACTCCTGATTCTCCATGTGTTCTATACAAGTCTGATGTTGCTGAAGCATACAGACTCCTCCCAGTACACCCTTTCTGGCAGATAAAGCAGATAAACCGCAATTCAGGGCATCTTCACGTTGATAGAAACAATGCTTTCAGTGGCTGCAGATCAGGATGCAACTGGATAGCCTTTATGTCCTTAGTCTCGTGGATAGCAAAGAAGCAACGGAACATAGAGCTCCTGGGTACCTACTCGGATGACTCTTTTGGTCCAGATCATGCTAACAACCTTGCTTGGTACCCTCCATACAACAAATTCATGCCAGAAAATCAGGTTAAGCTCTTACAACTGTGGGATGAGATAAACTTACCACACAAAGAGAGCAAACAGATCTATGGTTCTTCTCTCACCATCATAGGTATTGAGGTTGACGCAAACGCCTTATCCATGACCATGCCACCAGACACGCTGAGTGAATTGATCTCAGCCATCCATGAATTCGTTAGCTTGAATCACAAATTCACCTTGCGTGAATGGCAACGCCTTGCTGGGTGGATTAACTGGAGCTTTAATGTTTTCCCTCTACTCAGACCCTGTCTTAACAACTTCTATGCAAAGATTTCCGGAAAATGTGCTCCAAACAAATCAAGGGGGTGTCGGGATCATAATCCCGGACTGGGGGCCGGTGGTTGGTTGGGCCCTCACGCCGTTAAAAAAAAACTGGAAGCTCCAAAATTTTGGCCAAAAAACAGTATAGACGGGCTTCCTAGTTCATAAATTATACATCATACATACTAGAAAGCTTCATGGTGGGCTAAATGCCTCAGGATGTACCAAAAAACACCAACAGGACTCCTTACATAAGACAATGATAACATATGATATTGGATATTGTCGGAGTGAGCATTAATATTCCTCCCTTGTGCAATCGATTGCGTTCCAATGCCTAGCAGGCACCGAAATGGAACATACTGAAGCAGAGTGAGATGTTCTGGGCTTCATTGGTACTGATTTCAAGATGATTACTTACAGGTAGCCAAAATCAAAGTTGATGACGAAGGTTACATCAAATGTCTGGAGTGCAGCGAAAGAAAGAGATGTGGTATGGCAGGGGTAGAGAACATTCTAAAGAATCATCAGGGCACAAAAACCTGCAAGGAAGCGAAGGCTAAGCATGAGCGAAAGGCAAAGAGGAAGAAAGATGGGTCACTACTCACATTCATGAAACCACATCCGAAACCAGTGCCTAGCACTGTAACAGCAGATCCAGTTGCGCAAGGACAGGCTAGCAGTTCAAAACAGGAATCATCAGCTCACATCAAGGATCCAGAACTTCACGATCAGCCGGAACAGTATTCGAGATCAATGTTCGTGCGCGAATTGCGGAAGATATCAAGAGTGATCGAAAGAGCGGTGGACGTGCTGCAATGTCAGACAGTTGATCCTGTAACTCCAAGATCCACGTCAGTGGACAGTTTCCAGGTGAACGAAGTTCTTACTTTCGGAAGTGTGGCAACCGTTAACACCTTTAATTATGGTTTATTAGCATCTTCCGATTGAACAAGGGCATGCAAACTCACCGAGGGATTCCACAGAACAGGATGTTCACGCCGTGACTCATTCTGACACCAACGAGGTTCCTGGGCTGTCCACCTCAAGCTCAGAGATTGTCAGCGAGATAACGTTAGGTCGGTGCGAAAGGCGAAAACGTAAGGTTGTCAACATCGGAGGATTGGACGATTGCTTGTGTGGATCCCAAGCAGAGCCGACCGCTGACAACGTGATCCAGTGCAAGAGAGTTGGATGTGAAACTGTGTGGGTAAGTAAACCAACTTTTTGTTTGGATTTCAACATGAAACTTACTCACATCTTCATGTCAAACCATTCTAGTATCACCTCGTTTGTGTTTACCTTGAGCATGTGCCCAAGAATTGGGTCTGCGAAGCATGTTCAACGTCGAGAGGAGGACGAGGAGGGAAGGCTGCGCGGCGGTGATGTCATATTTCCTAAAGTAGACACGTGCCTGATTACGTTGGGTGGTTGGTTCAGCCCAACGTCCCAGTACCAAAAAAATCAACCCTAGGTCTTTTTTTTCAATCCCGACACCCCCTTGAAACAAATATATCAGGATCAATAATGCTGTCCGCATGGATTTAACATGGGCTGCAAGGCATCTTGCATCAGACAAAGGTGTATGTTTAATCCATCACATACACCAGTACTTTACCATCCCCCACATAATCCACATGGACTCCACTGGATTCCACTGGACTTCACTACATACTGGCAATATCCACAAATCTGGACTCCACTGGACTCCCAGCACAAAACTGGACTCCACTGGACTGCAAGCACAAAAATGGACTGGACTGGACTGCAAATCACAAAACTGGACTGGACTGGACTCCACTGGACTCTCCCAACACAAAACTGGACTGTACTGGACTGCCACAGACCTAAGTTAATCCAGAATTCCTCTTCAAAACAAAAAATAAAATTGAAGTATATTCATTAATTAAATTAATTAAATTTACATAGATTCTATGTTACAGAGGGGGGAGGGAGGGGGAAGGGAAAGGGAAAGGGAGGGGGAAGAGAGGAATGAATAGAGGGGGGAGGGAGCAAGGAAGGGGGAAGGAAAGGGAGGGGGGGAGAGAGGAGCAAGGAAAGGGGGAGGGGGAAAGGGGGAGGGGGGAAAGGGGGAGAGACTGAAAGGGGGAGAGACTGAAGGGGGGGAGGGTGTGAAGGGGGGAGGGAGTGGAGGGGAGTGGGAGTGGTGAAGAGAGGAGGTAGTGATGGGGGGAGAGAGTGGAGGGGAAGGGTGATGCTGCTGGGCCCTCGTCGCCGTTCAGCACTGGCGGGCGCTCGTCGTTTTTTGTGGGCGTATCGTTTTTCGGGTGTGGTGGGGGCGGCGTTTTTGTCGGCGCTCGTTTGTCGTCATCGTCATGTGTCGTCGTCCCGGTGTGTCGTTGTCGTTGTCGTCACGTGTCGTTGTCGTGTGTCATCGTCCCGGCGTGTAGTCGTCATCGTGTGTCGTCGTCCTCGCGTGTTGTCGTCGTTTTTGTGGGCGGGGGTCGTTCTTCATGGGCGGTGGCCGTTTTCCATGGGCGCTTGTTCATGTGGTCGGCTTCGCGTATTGTCGTCATCGTGCTTGCGTGTCGTCGTGCTCATGTTTTGTCGTGCTCGCGTGTCGTCGTCGTGCTCACGTGTCGTCATTGTCGCCGTCCTCATGTGCCGTGCATGGGTGGTTGCTGGCGTCGTGCCTGTCGTGGTGAGAACGGAGGAACAGGGTGGTGGGGCATACGTGCCCCTTGCCCATGACGTTGCCACGTCATGGGCTTTGTCCCTCGTCCTTGGTCCATCGTTCCGCGCTGGGGGTGTCATTGTCGTTAGCGTGGGTGTCGTGTGCGTCGTTAGCATGGGCGTGGGCGTGGGCATCGTGTGCATCATTAGCGTGGGCGTGGGCGTCGTCGGCGGCGTTGAGATGTGAATGGTGGTGGTGGTGGAAGGGAAAGGGATGGTCACGGCAGTGTGACCATCCCACAAACAGGCGACGTGACGATATGGCATGCCCTCAAGTAAGTCACGTGACCTCACCCTGCAGACTGAACAAAATCATGAATCCTTATTGCAGCTATCACTGACCCACACTATATGTAAATTATGATCTTTCTGTTCATTGATTAATAAAATTGTAGGTATAGCTTATCTGTTGTATAGTCCATTTTCGCTTTTTTAGGTATATTCATATATAATAATAATAATATACTGGAATGACTGGAATCCACTGGACTCCACTGGACTCATAGTCCACTGGACTGGGACTGGACTCAGGAAAGTGGCTGGCAGTCCAGTGGGAGTCCAGTGGACTGGACTGAACTGGACTGGACTCCAGTGGACTGGGCATTCTGCCAGCCAATCTGGCCTGGTAAGAGGGCCACTGGAATCCACTGGAGTCCACTGGAGTCCATATGGATTACGTGGGGGAGGGTAAAGACCTCCACATACACTGGGACACCTCATCTGCAGACATAACCATTTACTGTGATGCTTGCCTTGAAGGCATGGGTTTCTGGTTGCCTGACAAATGTGTCAGCTACTATTCACCTGTGCCTGGCAGTACCACAGAAGAACAGATCTTCTACTTCGAAGCTCTATGTGTCTTATCAGCCATTCACCATGTCGTAAATGTCCTCCATGCCCCTTCATCCACCAAAGTCCTGATATACACTGATAACGACAACACCGTTGCTATTTTCAACACTCTCAGATGTCTACCTCACTATAACCCCATCCTCATTGATGCCTCCGACATCTCCATCACATCTGGGATCCATTTGAGAGTGTTACACATCCCAGGGGAATTAAATTACGTCGCAGACGCAATCTCATGCAAAAAGTTTTCACTCGCATGCCAGTACGTACCTGACATCACTATATCATCATTCATACCCCCTCGATTGCCGCTGGGGGCACCCCAAAAATGATCTCTTCCTCTGTGCGTTCCAGGCAACCCTGGACATGCGAACACCTGTTCCAAGAGCGAGCTATTGCTCTGGGACAGGCCATAGACAATTCAACATGGAAGAACTATGGTTCCACCCTTAATTCTTACCTGAATTTCGTCAAGATGCACGATTTCCCCATAGATCCCACCTCAGAAACATTAAGCCTATTCACTGTCTACATGTCCCATCACATCAAACCTAACTCAGTTTCCATGTACCTATCAGGTATCTGTCAACAGCTTGAACCTTACTTCCCTGACGTCTGCTCCGCCCATAACTCTACTCTTGTACACCGTACATTGCAGGGTTGCAGGCACCAGCGCGCTGTTCCCACATCTCCCAAACGTGCCCTAACATTGGGCGACCTCGAAACTGTTGTAAATGCTCTGGGTGACTCAACTGATTACGATGATTGCCTCTTCATAGCACAACTACTTACCGGATTTTTCGCACTTTTCCGTTTGGGTGAAATGACGTACCCAGACGATCCCGAACTTTGTGACCCAAGAAAAGTCACCAAATGCAACTCTGTCTGGCTTTGCGACACATCCTTTCAATTTTTTCTGCCTGGCCATAAGGCTGACAGATTTTTTGAAGGGAACAAAATTATCATTCGAAAGAATGACCGTATCTTCAACCCCAACAAGTTCTTCACCGCTTACCTCCATGCCCAGGATGACAAGTTCCCCCTCAGCTCTCCCCTCTGGCTCACGAGCAAAGGTGCTGTACCAACGCGCTCTTTTTTCATTAAACGCTTACGCCGTTTTTTCGATTCAGACACTGCCAGACAATCTTTACAAGCTGGGGGCGCCACATCACTTGCAGAGAATGGAGTCCCCCCTTCAATTATCCAAGCCATCGGTCGATGGGCTTCTGATGCCTTCAAGATCTATATCAGAAAAAACCCGGTCCTCATCCAGGCATTCCTGTTTGGACAAACAGCCTGCTCGCAGTCTTCTTTTATCCACACTTTGGAATCATGACCGCTGTCACTGCTTTTTCAGACTTTTCCCCGATTGACATATTTTATTTTATCTTTTAAACAGACTTTTCCCGGACTATTTACAACCCACACTTATCCACACATACGGACCTCTCCCCATACGAACCTCTCCCCTTAAGGATCTCTCCCCTCACATATGGACCTCTCCCCTCAAGATGGACCTGCATTTTTTCTTTGTCCTCGCGCTTTTCCCCTCGCTCCTCACATCACCCACTACATGACCTCATCATACTCCAAACCCCTTTTTTCTTTTACTTACCTTTTTATTTTAATCTTTTATATAGGAATATAGCCATACCTCAAGTGGAATCATGTCGGAATCGGGCGCGCGCCGTGCCCAATTTCTGACTTTTGGCTATTCCTTCCATCTAAGCAACCGCCTCTGCAAACATCCAGTAGCCCAGGCGTCATTGGAATTCCCCAATGAATCTGGGGCACCAGAAAAGGAAATTTTTCCGGTCTTAGACCGGAAAAAAGACCGGACTGACCCTGAAATTTGTGTTTGTAAACCCCAATTGTAGCAGGGAATTTTTATGGCAATGTTCTAGCTCAAAAAAAGGGTTGAAAAACCGAAAAACCGGACTTCCAAGCACTAATTTATAGACACCGATATGCTGCATATAGAAAAGATAAGGAAGATTGTAATCGACGAAACTACCGTATGTAGCTACTATACCGAGTGAGTATTTACAAGTGCTATTTCCAAAAAGAAACGTATATCCGGATGCGAAGTTAAGTGTATTACATGAACCGGTGAAGTCAAGAGCGAGAACTGAACTCCGGATTTCCACATCTCATAATGTCTGCACCATCCAGTTCAGAACTAGACCTCATTGATCTTGCGAGAAGAATTGCACATACTCATTGTAATACTCCAAGTGTATCTTGCCGCCTGCACAACGAGCAAGGCGATTTTAGCAAGACCTACATTGTGAAACTTGAGGACCAGTCCAACATTATCGTCCAATTTCGAGACACTCCTCTGGACTTGTCCCTCTATGAGGTAGCACGCGGTACGTCTTTCTTCGCCAATATACACTCGTCTCCTGAGTTTCTGCAGAGAAATTGGGAGCCCTCGTTCCAACTATCGAGAAGAACGCAGATATCGCCGTTTCCAAGCACGTCTACATCATGAACTACATCGACGGATCAATGTGGAATTCTGCTCTTGGTGCCTGGCCAGGCGCCTGGGATGACGACGCTGCGATCGCTGGCCAACTTGGAGATGCGTTATCGCGTTGTATAGTTGGCCCCGACTCCTCGGAGGTCGTTGAATCTTACATCATTCCCCGCCTTAAATCCGTGTTGCTCGAAAACATTCCATCAGACCGACTTGAACTCCGTCGAAGTGTCGAAGAACTCATCTCGATTGCTCCTAATCTCAAGAAACTCCCCCTTTCTTTATCCCATTTGGACCTCAATGCAACGAACGTGAGAAAGCCTTCATGAACCAATCATCCCTGCCTGAATATAGACTTCACAGATGTTCATTGCTAATCAGGGACCGCCTCGACTAATTGGGCTTTTGGACTGGGACCTCTCGAGTTATCTTCCCTTCGGCATCGACGCGGCGCAGATCCGCTACATATCTGTGATCAACCGAGACCGTGTCGATTGTCCTGAAGAGCCCGGGTCTACCATGGTTGCAACTTCATTCTGGAATGCGTTTACGGCGAATCTTGCAGCTGATCTTAAACATTGTGTCGTAGACGCTATGAAGGTTGGTGTGATCATATATCTAGAATTTCCAGAAGGTTGCGGCGAACGGAAGGCAAGAGACATTCAGAATGCTGAGAAGCGTTTGCAATGGTTCGACGATGTGTTCAAACCACTTTGTTCGCTTGGCTAAGTCTTTCAAATTCATCCGTCATTCGTTCACATTTCGGACATCTTGGCGCATTGTGACGGTCAAGGTCTAGTCGTCACAGGCGCCATCAGTACCGATTATCATTGTCTCAGTTTCTCGAGTCATATACGGTAGCTACACTTGTTTGTATCCTTGTTGTAACAACGATCCTCGTTCTCTGTCATATTCTGCCCAAGTTCTTGTATTCTCGACTCTCTAGTCTTGACCGTTACAGTCTGTTACAACCCTTTAACTTTCCCACGACCTTCTCTGTTTAACACCTTGTGAAGAGCTGAAGGGGCTCCCGTGCAGAGTGTACACGTACGAAGCACTCCAGTTTTGTTCGCCCTTCCGAGTTGAATGTCCTTGCCAATAGGACGAGTACCCCAAGTGCCCTCTGCGTCAGGGAAGAGATACGCGGAAGCTTACCTTTACAAGGAGGAGAGGAAGGCTTGGGAAAAGTACGGCGGGCCTGAAGGTTTCGAAAGACAGTAGGCCTTGATACCTTTGCGTCCGACTTTGCATTGAATGCAATAGTCTGGATAGCAGACGCGCACGATGGGAAAAGCGCACGAAGAAACCCGGAGACCGGCCTTTTGTTGAACCTGAAGCGTACAGGAAGCCGCCAGTCATGATGACAACTAGGATCGCTTTCATGCCCAAGGGATTTAGGACAGGCGACCCATATACGGCTACCGAGAGCCTTCGGAAGCTAAAGGCACAGTTTCCTGCTGCATGGTTGTGGGACGCAACGACGCGTGGCTGCTCATGACAATTAGTCACGATTCTGGCTTGACATAAAAAAAACAAGACACACTCACCTGTCTGGGCCGAAAAAATATACCAATGCCACAACGAGAGATCCAGCAAGGATGGTACAAGAAAGAAGGCGAGAACGTGTTTGGAGAACATGACATGGGATAGATTGTGGGTGAAACTCGAGGCTTGCGCACGACTGAAGCGTCTTGCGTGACTCCAACGTGACGAAATTTGCAAAAGTAGGTGACTTTCTCTTTCGCGTCGGCACCTCACTCATCCACCTCAGTTAAATACGAAAAAAATGTCGTCCGAAAGCCAGAAACAAAGGCTTTCTATTGGTAAAAGAATTAAGAAAAACGGTCTGCTTTTTAGAGCTCCACGAAGCTTTGATCAAAATATTTGCAAAACAGGGTCAGTGATAGTATGGTCAGAGGGAAGTTCGTCGTTGGGAAGATCGTGAGATAGTTGTAACATAAGGTAGACGACAACCATATCCTTCCAACGTCACGTGCACAGCGTGACATTTCCATTTTAAGCCTCAATTACACAGATAATGTCCTAGAATATTTTGAACACGAATCGCAGCTAATCGGAAACCATAGAACTGAGCCGAATGCAGATTTCGAGCACAAAAAAAATTAAAGCGGTAAAACGAAATTTGAGGAAAAAGAAACAAAAATACTTCACGACGCGTCAATTTGAAGGCACACGCGCAAATCCTCTTCATTAGGCCAGAACCATGCCTAAGCAAAGCAATTACCTCCAGTCCAGAGCATAGAACTTACATAGAGGTGATAAAACAACAAAAAGCTAAAACTGCAAAGGAGAATGAGGGGATTGGGTGTTCAATTACTCAAGGACGCGTCTTAACTAACAAATATCAGAGAACAACAACCCCCGCAAGATATGAATCCTTTAGGAATTCATTATAGTCAATTTTGGATCGAAACTTTGATGCGACGAAGGCTTTTGACGGTCAATCTGAGCTTCAGGAACCTACCATAGTATTTTTGTATCTCCTCCCCCAATTTTCATTCTCCTACTTTATAAATTTGTATATATCTTTAGAGCACTAATTCTAATAGTTCTATGGTCGTCGATTATCCCTAAATTTATGCACAGAATTGTTATGGCCTTTTCTTCGACTTTTCTCATTTCTGTTTGCCAAAAAAGGAGTGTTATGTCACGTCACAGAGGGTTGGTTGTGTATGGTTGTCGTCTACCTTAGGTAAACTTCGTCACATCACAAGCCCATAGGAATAATGGCTTCTTTGAACTTTCTAAACACCACTGCAACGTTCAGTGCACCGGCATCGTGAGCGTATACTAAAGGCGACTTGCGATGATACTAAGTGCGCCATTGATAGATTCCAACTCCTGCATCCAGCATACACAAACCGGGAGTCGGGATGGCGCCATCATTGATCCCAAAATCAACCCGAAGAAGACGCTTACAATCGGAAAATTCTTCTACTCTGGTGCGTCCTATCTGACATCCTCTTGTACTTACGCGTCTTACCTCGCGTGTGCTCATTATCCCTTTAAGCAGTCCCTTCGGACGGCTCGCGTCCGAGTATGCTCCACGCCTTTAATAAACAAGCGGGTTACTGCTTGAATGTTCGATTTGAACGGTACGACTCAAGCTGCCCTCTTGCATTATGAATAGCCGGGGAATACAGTATCCACGGATCAGACGCGGACGAATTTCCGTCGCTTCCGTGCAGATTCCAATCAGCTGAGAGCTCGGCAGTCCTGCCTTCCTCGTGGCAGCCTCCTTAGATGTTGCCTCGGATTGCCCTTCGATGACGCCAATCATCCAGGGTCTGCAAGTTTTGGGCCCTGGGCCACGACTTGACTTGGAGCTGATTGATATCACACGAGTCCCGAAGAGAAAACCAAAGAGGCGAAGAAAGTCTCTACTTCGAGTAAGGCGAGCTCAGGATCATTTTGAATGACTTCATTTCAATAAATTCGGTCCCCGAAATATGGAGCTTCGGGTTTTCAACCTGCACGAGATGAGAGAGACCTCTTTGACAATGCATTTTCTTTTGGCCTTGACTTGGAGATAAATCTTACTCTATGTCTGACAGACTAGACCTGTAAGGTTGAAGGGAGCCTCATGAGTAACAGGAATCGCAAAAAGTCGTCGGTGGAATGCTTCGACCCGATGGACCTACTCCCCTTTAGGAATGTGGCCACAGGTAGGGAAACAGTATGCCTCGTTTTTCCATTTTGTTGCTAAGCAGCTTCAAAGGGATCCCGATCTATGAATTCCAAGCAAAAGTCTAGTCCTGCAATGGTAGGCGTCTACCCACGATGCAAGCAGCCTTTGAACCGTTTTCAATCATTCGCCCTTCAAAGCGAATGCCGAGTCGCGACATCGCGTATGCGGTTTCTTCTGAAGAATGTTATCCGTTGTATCCTTCTTTTTGTTCCGTCCGCTTCTGGTTAGATGGTTCAACGAGCATGTCAAACTCGAGGCAAACCTTTGCCCGTATAAAGAGTATACGCAATGACGATCTCCCAGCTATTCCTCCTCCAATCTCCATGCTGGACCTCTATTGGACGATCGCTGCGTCTGCAGCCGGTGCTTTTTTGCTGACTCTCACCGTCCAATCAGTGCGACGACTTTTCTTCCATCCTCTCTCCAAATATCCGGGGCCTCCTCTTGCTGCGATGACCTTGTGGTACAAGGCATATTTTGACATAGTCATGGATGGCGGTTGGGCCGAACATTTGGAATACCTTCACGAAGTTTACGGTGATTGGCGAAAGGTTTTCCTTCCCACCTTTCCGAACTCACACATCTAGCTAGGTAGTTCTATCTTGAGGGTTGCGCCTAATGAGGTCCGCACTTGTGATACGTGGTGGGCACTCAGTGTCATTGACCCCGTCATAGCTTCACTTCAGTGACCCCCGTGCCTACAACGAAATATATGGGATGGGAACAAGACACGTAAAACAACCTGCCCTCTACGCGTGTTTTTCGACCGATCTTTCAGTTTTCGCAATGTCTGACCACCATGAAGCAACCCAAAGGAGAACCCTTATCGGCCCTTTCTTTTCTAGGCGTTCAATTTTAAACTTGGAAAACGCTGTACAGTCGAAGGTGACGTTCGATTTCTACTATGTTAGCCGCTGGATTCTCATGTTTATGCCGACAGATTGAACTACTCATTTCTCGACTGCTGGAATATCAACACACCAAGGAATCTGCCGACCTCAGTTTGGCTTTCCGTTCCACCACCCTCGAAATTATTACTTCCTACTGCTTCGGTCGATCGTCAAACGCATTAGATTCTCGCCATTTTCAAAATGGCATTCTCACCGCTATGGATCAAACATTACCGATGATTTGGGTCTTTAAACATTTCCCCATTATCAAATACGTGCTCTTGCGAGTTCCCGAATCATGGGCGTCCATCTTAAAGCCCAGTACGACGGGTATCCTGGAGCAGAAGAGACAGATGGGAGTCCAGATCGACGACATCCTTAGAGATCCTTCTTCGTTGAAACATGCTGACCATGAAACGATTTACCATCATTTCCTAACACCGCAACCGGAGAACCAGCGCATGCCACCAATAGAACGGGAGTGGCTTCTCGATGAGGGCCTCTACCTGCGCTTTGCTGGAAGCGATACTGTCGGAAACACCTGCACTGTCGCCACTTACCACATTCTTAGCAACAAACACGTCCAGGATCGCCTTGCCCAGGAAGTCAAGGATGCATGGCCGGAGAAAGATGCCCCAGCAAGCTACGAGACACTCGAGAAGCTACCATATCTGGTAAGTTTTCATTGATTCACGAACTTGACGACATCTGATATGCTTTGTGGCTGTTATCTAGACAGCCGTTATTAAGGAGTCCCTGCGAATGGCACATGGAGTAGTGACGCCCCTCGCTAGGATCGTCGGTCCCACGGACGTAGAGATTGCTGGAGCCGTGATCCCAGCTGGCGTAAGTAATGAACCTCCCCCCATCTCTCTTCGCTGAAAAAACTTGTGACACAGACGGTTGTTTCTCAGGGCGCCACAATGGTGCACCGCAACCCAGAGATATTCCCCGAACCAACTGTTTTTGACCCGGAGAGATGGCTACAAGAGGATTCTCCTGATCTCGACAAATACCTTGTAGCGTTTTCCAAGGGGCCACGCAGTTGTTTGGGCATCAAGTTGGTGTACAAATTTGTTGTTGCGTTTTTGTTTTGCTGAATTGATGTTTTCCTTAGCCTCGCTTGGTGTGAACTTTATCTTATTATTGGCACCGTCTTCCGGAAATTGGATCTGACTCCCGACAACGCGACGTATGTTCTTTTTCTGTTACATGATTCAGGAATTTCATCACTATTTTTTTAAAATCCAGGATTGACAGCATTAGCTTTCGGGAATACTTTGTAACCGTACATAGAGGAAGGCATTTTCATGCCTTCGTCAAGCCGACAGTTGATTGAACATCTGCGCTTGCACGTTATTCTACAACCGCGACTTCGAGGGCCAAGTGGATATTGTAAATTCTGTCCGCAATTTTTTTTTTTTTGATGTACTTTTTATGTAAAATGTACACGAAATGTGTAGATGTGGCTTACAGGCATATGAATGTATCAGGGCCTTTTGTTCGCCTTGCGAAATTGCAGAGCGTTGTGAGTACGCGTGACGTAATGAACTTCAGGAGGTTCAACTTGATTCTTGAAGTCGTTGCTGCTCCATAAATCCCTGACCTTGATCTCCATCCAATGTATCGCTCTTTTTGAAATGGCTTGCGCAAGACGCGCTTTGAATCTTGGTCGCAGTCTCGGTTCTCTTCGTTTTCAAGTTGGATGCTTCCGTTCCTCCGGTCCTAGTACGTCGCCTATTATACTCCCCTCCGACGTTCCAATCGAGGAAGAAAGGAAGGAGGATTATAACCCTGAGGACTACTATCCTGCGCAGCTGGGGGAAGTTTTTCACGACTCATACCGAGTAGCTGTCAAGCTCGGATACGGCGGTAGCTCGACCGTATGGCTTGCTCGAGATATTCGCAGGTGGGGTGACTTTTTAGAACTTTCTGAATCGATGTCTGAGTTTAGTGCAGACAGATCGAGTCGCAGCCTGAGGCCGAACGCTATGTGGCATTGAAAATCTGTAACAATGATTATACCGACAGAGCTTCGGCGGAACACGAGCTAAGGCTTATGAAACATATCACAGCCATGAATGCCAGTGAATCGTCTCCAGGTCGGCAGTTTGTCAGGACCTTGCTCGATTCCTTCGAGATTGAAGGACCTCACGGGACGCACATTTGTTTAGTCTATGAGCCTATGCGGAGCCCCTCTGGCTGCTTCAGCGACGTCTTGGAAAGGGCGGGTATCCATTGGATGTTTTCAAAGCGACGGTTCAATGCATTTTGTACGGTTTAGATTATCTCCATAACGAATGTCACATCATACACACTGGTGAGCTTTTCCAGTTTCGGTCGAGATGATACGTTGATATACATTCCAAGATCTCAAATCTGAAAATATACTGGTCGGACTCGAGAATATTTCAGTCTTAGAGCAGGTTGCCGAGGATGAAGTCGTGGACCCTTCTCCTCGAAAACTCTATGGTGACCGAACAGTCTACCTCTCTCGGAACGATTTTGGTAGTCCTAAGAAGGCTTTTAAAGCACCAAACATAACAGATTTCGATCATGCAGTTCGTGGCGACGGCTCATTGCCCCTTGCGCATCCTATCCAGCCTGAGCCATACCGCGCTCCCGAGGTAACCTTAGGCGCTCCCTGGACATACAGCACAGACATATGGAATCTTGGAGTGATGGTGTGTCCCTTTGTTTCGAGCTATCAAGCTAATCTCCTTAACTGCAAAGCTAGCTATGGGATCTTTTGGAAAATAAAAAACTGTGTGATGGCCTTCATCCTCACCGCGGTGAATTTTCAAGCCGTGCACAACTTGCACAACTGATAGGGCTTCTTGGGCCTCCTGCGAAGGAGCTGCTTGACCGTGGGAAGTACACAGACAGGTACTTTCAATCTGATGGTAAGCTTTAACGCTATAACCACGAGAACCAATCCTCACTATCAAATAATATTCAGGTGAATTCAAGAGCAAATATCTCATCCGAAGGAGACGCACGTTAGTGAACTCTGTTGCTTCCCTTGAAGGTGAGGAACGGAGGGAGTTCCTGGTATTTGCGAGGAAGATGCTTCAGTGGCTACCAGAAGATCAGAAAAGCGCGAGGGAATTGTGTAGTGATCCTTGGTTTAGGACATGTGACGATACAAGTAGTACTAGTGAAATCGGGACAAATACGGTTTTTTGTGTGATGAGTAAAAAATTGGACAAGAACCCCCAACTCGTGACCATAGGTAGAACTGATGCTTGCGCGGTAAAAAGTTTCCTAGGTAAGAATATGAGAAATATTGTCTATGGGTAACAAGAGGAGCTCTCAAACAAATCCGCAATTTCCTTGTTATTTTCGACGACCGCAGGGAAACCCCCATTCAAAACTCAGAGATGTGTTCCAAAGTTGCTGAGATGTTGGCTCAACGATCAGTCGCCAACCTGCAAAACATGGCCACTGATAGTATCATGTATACAACTGCCTTTTTAGAGTGTATTCTGTGTGGGACCGAGGAGAATTGTCGGTTGGGCCTTAGGCAGGAAGAATGCTGAGGTAACCTAATTTGTGATTGAACGTGAGCCTAAACCGGACGCGGGCTGTTGTCTTGTGGCCGTCGTTGCGGATTACATTTATTGTAAAGCCTTTTTGTTGAACTTTGTAAACATTCTCGATCGCGAGGGTTGGCAGGCGGATGAAAGAACCTCGGGATACGGTAAGGCGAGCCCAGTTAAGACGAAAGCGACACAAGGGAGGGAAGAACACTGAACATTGTCTGAGGAGAATTGTCGGTTGATTTACGGAAGGTATGTATTGGAGAACGCGTTGAGCAAAGTTGTTTGTCATACAAGTTGGGCGCAATGTCATACGCAGAATACTAGTATCCCGTCGACACTCGTCCTGAGCTCCATTCGTTGCAAAATCTTTCGTTCGAACGTTAGTGTTCTTTTTTTTCGTTTCAGGCCCGGGGAACCAATCCATCCAGTTGACAGGAACCTATAGGGCTGACGGGCGGAGAGAAACCGCACGCACGTCACTGGGAGCCTACAAAGTGCGGTTATTATTGTTGGGGAAATCGGGTCGATACTGATTTGAGATCAGAATTCTTACCATAACAATTCGGAACTGACCCAAAAAAAACTTATTTGTTGTCCCCCCATGGAGACTGGAGTCAGGCCTCTTACAGAAAAGCTTCCATTTATTTAATTGTCAGATTCCTGGGATCCGGGCACGGAAGGAGTTGTTGTAGCTGTCGTTCCTGAGAGAGTAACATGAGTGGAAGACGAAATTTATTGCGGCTTTCCTGGGATTTCGAAGCGCGTGACTGGAATTCGAGGTTGCCAGTGATGGGAGAACCTGGCGTAAATCGTGAGACTTGCGATGGCTCCTTGTCATTGTACGTGTAAATTGTACCATTTTACGGGTACGCGAAGCAGAAGGTGGTCGTTGAGATAGCTACTTTTTATTCATTCGAAGAGCAGTGGTGGACAAGGAAACGCGATGACCGGCCACGCAAAAGCCGCAGGGTGATAGCAAGCTTCGCCGTATGGCCCCGTGTGGCACTTTGTGAGTTGAATCCAGGGGTATAATAGCCATGGCTACACAAGAGGAGTTGGAATTATGGGTGGACAATGAAGTGTTGTGGTGTGTTTGTACACCGTCGGTCTTGTGACGACTATTGTGCGGATTGACACTTTTGTCCACCCGATGGGATATAAGGGCGGGTGGGATAGCGCTGTTTTCTCATCCCAATACTGAGCTAGCCTCGTCTTGTGTTTCGTCTGCTTGTTGCTTTCTTGTCGCTCTCTTCTTGCTTCGCTATCCACTTTCAGTTTCACGGTGAGTCCCGTTTCTTGCTTTATTCTACCCTGCGTTTACATTTTCGGTTTCTTTAGAATTTGAAATGGCCGCCCAATTGCCTAATGTCCAATTCGCCTTCCTTGCAACCCCCCCTGCATTGAAAAAGCGTGCCCAGCCCCTTCCTTCTCCTCCTCTTGCCCCTCTTCCTGCCCGTCCAACCACCACCCACGTCCACCGCCGCCGCTCGAGCACATTTAACGCTATCTCTAATTGGGCAGCTACCGTCCAACCCGGCTCTCCTGCACCTTGTTCACCCAAGCGGCGTCCGTCTGTGTCCAGCACCCGCAGACCCTCCATCACCCGTCTCACCCGTCGCCCATCCATAGGCCACGGCCGTGCCCCCTCCGGCTCCTTCATCAACCTCATCGACACGCCCAGCCCAGCATCCACCAAAGCCTTCGATCTCACCCAACTAGGCTACACATCCGTCTTCGTCCATCTCCCCAAAACACCCACCACACCCTCCCCCTACCTCCTCCCTCGCGCTCCTCCAGTTCCATCTGCACAAAAATCCACTAACGTCCCACTGACAGCCGTCGAGAATCCCTACACACACATCCCCATCCCACCCATCCCAGCCGAAAAGCCAAAACCAATGAAACGCTTCCGCTCCCTCTCCATCCTCCGCCCCCGCTCCAAATCCACCTCTGCCCCTTCTTCCCCAACAAAATCCGTTAAATCCACCACATCCACCGCAAAAGCCACCAAAGCCCAGATCTGCTGCGCAACCTCCTCCACGACGAAGCGCAAAAAGGCAGCATACGCCGTCCGCCGCCCCCCACCCCTCGCCAACGAGCTCGCGATCATGCAGTTCTCGGAAGGAGGAAGCACGGAGACTAATATCCGGCGCATGATGGAGGCGCAGGCGAGGGCTACGGGGGCTAGCGGGGTATCGGATGTTTATAGGGATGGGAAGGGCGGGTTTTGGTGGGATCAGGATGAGGAGTTGGAATATGCGCCTCTTTTGGGAGGTGCGGGTGTGGATTGTGAGGATGCGGATGAGGAGATGCAGTGGGTTAGTTTTGCGGATGTTAGTCATGTGAGCGATAAGGAAAATTCCTCCCCGGACGTCCTGGCCATTGCTGGCTTGGCAGATGTGGTTCGACGCGATAGCGTGTCCTCGCAAGACTCGGACCTCGACCCAGTCTACATGATGCACACGGACCAAGTCGAGGAGATCACCAACGACGTACGCAAATTCGGGGGAGGGAGCGTCCCTGGTTTGAGTGTCCTCTCACTACCTTCCCGACCCCGCCGTGCCGCGAAACATCTTAGGAAACCAGAGTTTATGGTTGACATGGCGGCGTTTGGACCTAGGTCGCCTGTCAAGGGGAAGTTCTCTGCTCTATCGCCTGCGGCGGTGAAGCCAAAGGGGAAAGCGAGGAGACGGCCTGCGCCGTTGAAGCTTGCGCCTTTGTATACGCTGCAGCATCCTAAGAGGCCTACTAATTCGCCTCAACAGGCGAACGCGAGGAAGGAGTTTATGGATGATTCGTTTGCGCCTGCGCCGTTGCCTGTAGCTCCCCCTGCTACCCCCCTCATCCCCGATACGCCGCTTTTACAGACGCGGAATATGGGAGCGATGAAGTCTGTCGATTCGCTCGCCCTCCGCGGTGGGAAGAAGCCTGGTAATAGGCTTATGAAGGGTTTGTTTGGTGGGAGGTCCAAGACCGACTAGCTCTGTCTCTCTCCCTCATTCGACCTGCAAAAACCGTCGTTGTCTGCGTCAACGCTGCTTTTCGAACTAAAAAAATTGACGACCTTTTTTCACGACGTCAAACGTTCACGAACTGTATTAACCAACCAACCAACTACGCGATACCCCCTCTTCCTTTTGTAATTGCTGCCTGCTTTTCTTGTTGTATCCCTAGTCGCTTTGCACTGAACGTTTCTTCTTGATGTAATTACGTATACCTTTTGTATCCTTATTTTATGTATGTATAGTCTTAATGCTTATTCGAGGCGAATTGAAGTTTCTCTTTTGATGTCTTGTTGGCAAGAACTGTAAAAGTGATCTTGCTTTGAATTTCATTTTTGTATTGATTGGATGGCGTCTTTCCAAGGATTTTCTTCTGGCGATTTACAGATTGGGAATTCTTCCAAGCCTCCTCAGAGATTAGAAGAAAATTATGTGAGATTTGCTTTTTTCAAAAATCGCACTTGACCTTTTGCCAACGGCCAGTGTTGTCCGTCAACCTCTCCTTTTTATGTAACTTGTCTTGAGTTCAGACTTGGTTCAGACATTCATCTCCTTCGTCGCACTAGTAATCTCTCTCTCTCATGAGTCCCGACCTTCCTATGGAGCTCTGGCTACGCGTGATTGGTTATTTATGCCTGAAAGCCCGACGCAACTTCGTTTTCGCTCAAGTCAACCGCAAATTTCTCGATCTTGCCCAGGACGAACTCTTCAGTCAACTGAACCTCACGATCTCAGTCCCAAGCCTATTGGACGGCGTTACAAAAAGGGTTCTGCAGTACGTTTGCTGATTATACATCAGGAAAAAATGGACTTGCGATATTGCGGTATGTAGACGTGATAGCGCTGGTAGCGCCATCGAGAGCCCCCTGATATATAGTTTGTGGTAGATGCACCGACAAATACATATCACTACAAATAAGTCTATAGCTTACAGTGTTTTGCATGTGAGATTGGAATCCAAATCTCACGAAAAGTTGTTTGTTCTTGTATTAGTTGTAATGTGTGATGTTGCCTTCCTCGGTGTCACAGCATTGAACGTTGAACTTCCTCTGCCAGAGCGCTCTTAGTGAAGGTCACGAATAGCCGATTAAGGATCTAGTCTTCCGACTAGATCCTTATTTTCTTCAAGTGGAGGAGTCCCCTCCCTTGGAACTTGCTTGGAACCCGCATTTACGTCGATGATTGAATGTTGACTCTAGTGTTGGCGTTGAATCGAAGTGACTTCGAGGTCAGTAGCGTGACTACCATATGACTGAGACACGACGAATCGTTTTTACTGACCTTGACTCCCATCAGTCACAGACCACAAGAACAAACAAGTTTTCGTGAGATTTGAATTCTAATCTCACATGCAAAACACTGTAGCATGGTTGTGCTGTATCATCATATAGTTTGATAGAGTCAAATTCCCATAGTTGTACATAGCTCTATGTGAACTCTATGGTACAAGGTACCTTGATAAATATTCTAAAAGCAGAATCAGCGCCGGGCAGGGTAATCATCATAGTTTCTAATATAGGAAACAACATGTCAGTCTAAGGATTTGAAGTGTCCATTTCATTTTGTAGTGTAGAGTAAGTATTCTATTCTATTTCATATTATAAATTAAATGTCTGCATTGAGCCGGACTCGAACTCCAGGGCTTGCGGTAATAGTTCCAGTTGCACTGGATGACAGCCATTGCTGATGTCATCCCTTCTGTTATACAGTTGCGGACAAACAAAGTCATCAAATTTGATAACTTGAGAACCAGAATTTTTATCAAAATTCTGACTTCAGATTCAGATTCAGAGACCTCGAAACTGTTCAAAAAAGGTGTTCCCTTAATTTTCCCACGCGTTTTTGGTTTGGCCAAATTTTTGGGTGTTTTCAACGCACCCAAAAGTCTTCTGAGTCGGCCATCTTTGGATCAATTCTGTGCAATTTATAACCCTGGTGCAGTAGATGCGTGAAAAAATGAACCAGGGTCCATTTATATCTTTTTCCGGGGCACCTTGACCGGAAAGGGTATGCCCACGTGACAGTTTTAGCAAAATTCCCACCATCAAAGACATCAATATTTCAGGGAGACTTTGATAAAATCAAAGAGAGGAAACAAAAAGGAGTTGATTGGCATATTTTTCGTATTTTTAGCTATTTTTTCAGGCACTGGCCAAATTTTTGGGGTATAAAACCCTTATATCATCATTTCTGGGAATTCTGCTCGTTGGAATTGATCAAGGAGATCAATAGGAACCCATTTATACCATTATCTACCAATTCCGATGTTTTTCGGAGTCCCAAAAAATAGGTCAATAAATTTGTTGACTTTGTTTGTCCGCAACTGTAAGCTTTCTTGGGAAGGGGCACAAACATATGGAGATGGACTTGACATCAGACTGTGACACAAAAGCTGAACAACACTCACTTTTTGGAGCTGGAACATGGAGAANATCATTAAGCAAGAGAGCTTTCCAGACATGGCTTGCATCCAGTTTGACCTGTGATGTTGTGTTTGTGGATGAAGATGGACAAACAGCTCAGGGACAACTGGTTCATCACAATAAATCCCCAATACTTTGGTCAAGACCACATGTGCAGAAACATGAATATCAGTGCTACCATGGACAGGGCAGATTACCCACTGAGAATTTTAGGGTAGTGTCCCTCTTGTTACATTCTGACCATAGTCAGCTGTGAAGTCAGATCAACATGGCAGTTTTTAACACATGGTTGCCTCCTTTGAATGCAAGTTTTTGTCATTAGAATGTTGACATTCAATACTATATATATAAGCAATAGTGGAATTGGTTTACAAAGAGTGGGATTGAATTATAGGCAGTGGTATTAAAATATCAATAGTGGGATTGAAATTTCAATAGTGGGATTGAAATTTCAATTGTGGGACTGAAACAGAAAAGTGGGATTGAATCTGTTCCATTGGGGTTTGATTCAAAATTAAAGCACCTTTCTAACAAATGTAATAGTGTTATATTTTGTGCAAACTCATCAAGTAATTGTGAAAATCATGTCCAGTTAATTGTGTGAGAGGCTGAGAGCCACCACTGTAACACCTTTCAATATGCCTTGCCTTGAATGTGTCTATATGATATGTCATGATCTTGTCATATGATTTTGCCTGCATTACAATTTAATGTTGTCCATCACCTGAACTCATTATCCAGCTTAACCTCACAAATAAAGTTGTATTTTATTTGCATTTGAACTACAGTGGAGAGCAAAAAGAATGAACCATGGGTCATTTTCCAGTTCTTTCTAAATACATATTGTGGTCTAAATGTAGTTGTGTATTCTTTTACATTATGTAGTTGTATTACACTTCCGTTGGTATGGACTAATTTGGGTAAGAGCTGGGGCTGTGATGGGGTTTTTGTTTTGATGGCCATTTTCAGCAGCTGTTAAAAAAATATGCACTAACTGGACAGTAAGCCAAAAGGTACCTCTGGCTAGCCTGAATGAGCCCATCAAAGAATCAGTTGAAAATACTGAGTGGTTATGTCTGTAAAGTCCCTAGAAAATGACTTGTTTTGCCAAAAAATGACCAAAATAGCACAAAATGACCATTTTCTACAGGCTCTACAGGCATAATCACTCAGTATTTTCAACTGATTCTTTGATGGGCTCATTCAGGCTAACCAGAGGTACATTTTAGCTCTCTGTCCAGCTAGCGCATATTTTTTTTAACAGGTGCTGAAAATGGCCATCAGAACAAAAACCTCATCACAGCTCCAGCTTTCACCCAAATTAGCCCATACCAAGGGAAGTGTAATACAACTACATAATGTAGAGGAATACACAACTACATTTAGACTACAATAGATTCTCAGAAAGAACCGGAAAATGACAGGTGGTCCATTCTTTTTGCACTCAACTGTACCTTTCTAATGAATGTAATGGCATTATGATGTGTAAAAAGCTTGCCAGATTAATGCAAAAATCCAGTTTCTTGGACCACCATTTTGGCAGGTAAGGCACATCCACACCACTGTGTTGGAGTTTTCTAATTGGGCATCACAACCAGTTCTAACTTGTTGTGGACGTTCCTATCAAAATGGCTGTTATAAACAGAACCAACCAAAGAGTTTTTAGTCACAATTTTGGTCCCATCCAGGGTGGCAACTGGTTGCAACGGAGCTTGTAACGTGATTGTTGCATGATTGTAGCCAATTTTGGACTAAAAAACAGGAAAATGGGCAACTTTCAACAGTTAGCACTGGTTAGAACACCAATTCAATGCTGTCCCAATCTCAGCTGGTTGTGACGAAAGAATTAAATCTCCAACATGGCACCAATACCCCACTTTTGTGATACAACCTCACTGCTGGGACTCAGGACTACACTATTTCAGCCTTCTAACCCACTATCTGGGGTCAAGTCCCACTCTTATAATATGATCCCACTCTTACTATTCTCATCATCACCCCACCATGCAGGTCATGTCGTTATGTAATATATGAGTTATATTTTAAACGTACTCCTTTTGTTACAAGTGCCCCATGGCTGAGTTGGTTACAGCGTCCGACTGTTATATGAGGATAATACTCCATTGTCAATCGGAAGGTCGTGAGTTCGAGCCTCACTGGGGCAGTTATTTTTAACTGATTGACACATATAATTTTCTTGCAGAAAAATCAAAGAGAGAAAAGGCTTGTGTTTTTTTTTACAAAAAAGTGTCGGAACGTCACGAAATCCAATCATTCTGTCAGAGGATAATTCTCGTGACAGCCTACTACTACTAGTACCCCTCAGAGCCCTCTCACTCATCTTTATCATCCAGGTTTCTCTTGAAAAAGTTTCTAGTACAGGACGGTATATTGTAAAGAAGATTGGCGGGGAATTTGTATTCAGGGGCCTGGTGGCATGAAGGCGTTCGCTCTCCATCGATCTAAAATAACTCTTCTTGATCACATTTCTTTCCAAAATTTCTGATCCCAAGCCTTAGCCGCCTAGGCCAGTTCCCCTATAGCTAGCTATAGCTGGTTACGCACCAGTTTCTTTTCGCGACTTTTCAAAGGTGTTGTAGCGATCAAGTTGCTCCATGCATCTCAACGCCGCGTCGCATGGTAGTCGGAAGCCATACTCAAGATATCAAAGTAAACGGACTAGTGTTGATGAGAGGTAGCCAGTTGGTGAACACTGTACCATCTTTGCACATCCGATAATAGCAAAATTTCCGAAATGTCGACTTACATGATAAAAGGAGCGTCCGTTGATAACTAGTGTACGAAGCAGAAAAAAAAGAAGAAAAACGAAAAAAAAAGTCATGATCTCCATGAAGTAGAAGTGCGTAATTCTGGGGAGGGTGCTGGCGAGTAAGACAGTCTCCGCCCATCCCTGACAGGGCCTGAACTGGGAAGGTAAAGTGGGATCGTAGGTATCAACTCAAACACGTGTTGGGCAACTGTCCTTCCCCTGTTGCCTGGTACGACGTCTGTGCTGTTCATCACTGCGTGCACCTGCGCCTCCTGCAGCAGTGATTCATTGCCTCCTTCGTTAGCTGATGTATTTGGGTCGTTGGAGCCGACCCCGCGTCCGTCCCAGATGCACCGGACCTCATTCCCTGGGATAATCTGCGCCAGTCGGCCGGTTTCAATGTGTCTGATTTCGATGAATCGCGTGTCGAAAAGCAGCACGTATGGTGAATGTAGGGCCACCCGCTCGGCAGTGCCTTCCCATTCGATAGTAGCTGCTCCTCGAGACGGATCACCATGTTTGTCAACGTAGATGCCGAATTCTACCAAGATATGTAGTTGAACGTGAAAGCGCGGGCAAGGAAAGGATTGCTTACCGTCGTAACATAGAAGGAATTCGTCGTCAGCAGAACGAAACATTCCCATTGGTCGACATGATTCGCAGCGCTTGGAAAGTTGGGCTAGTTTTGGATCTTCACGCTGGGGAATTGTGACGCTGTTGAAACTGGAAAAAAAAGGTTTGACATTCGCAGGACTGTCCCGAAAAAAACACACTTTTGTAGATCCATGATCTCAAAGCCTTTCGCACAAAGAATCGCTATCCTCGCCTTCAAGAAAATAAGGTCAAACGACTCAGAAGGTAAGAAAAAGTCTCTGTAAATGCGGAACCACTCCGATTTGGCAGAACGGAATCCAAGGCGGGAACCAAATCCGACAGGGGCCTTGACTCTCTCGTTGATTTTATCGTTTACAGGTTCAAGCACCCGGAAGATGCTGTCCAACTGTCGATTCAGAACGTCAATGATATGCAGACCTCCAAGTGAAAAAAAAAAACTCACCCCTTTCTTCTTCATATAAATGATCAAGGTACGTCCGTGGAGGGTACCAACACTGAAAAAGTGGACATCCTTTGTGCCGTTCAGCTTTTGGGGGACTTGGGAGGTATGTGCGCCGTGTGGAGACGAAGGAACAAGAGCTTCAATATGGTACGCGAATAGAGACTAAAGTCGAAAGTTAGAATGATGCTGTTAAAAAGACAGGACTTGTAACCCACCTTGTCAGCCAGTACCAAGAAGATTCCAAATTCCTCAAGCATAGCACATTGGGTGACCATTTTAAGATGAAGGACGCGACGCATAGCTGATGGATCATCGGTAAAAACCATCGATATGGGACATAGGAGAAGTAAACATACACTTGGGATCGTGTCTGAATCCAATCCAAACACCCTCGGCACATCCAATTGCGACCAGCGCCCGCCCATCGGGTGTACCTGTAAGTCGAATTAAATAGCGACTCATTACCAGCGCCAGCTTGCTTACTAAACGGAACGGAGCATGTCACTTTACCGGTATAGGTGCTTTCTTGATTCCAAGCAGGACCCTGTGCCGCGGCGGACATGGAAGGGACAAGAAAAGTATCCGCACTGAGAGTCTCAACTTCGAACACTTTGTTCGAGTCTTGAACTGCCTTACGCAACCCAAGGGCCTCCTCAAGTTTCTGCTTCCATTCGGTTCGGATTTGTGCAGATTCAGCATAGAGAATGTAGGGGCCCCCCATTCTTCCGTTGTGATGAATAGTTAGTGGATGCACCGACCGAGAGTCAATAGCGCTATCGGGCGCGGGCATGTTCGGATTCGCAGATTCACCGTGTCGTTCACCTCCACGCAGGTTGCGAAGAAGACCTGTACCGCGTTGGGTTGGGGGATCGGTGAAGTTAACGAGAGTGAGTAAGTCAAGAGGGATGGGCTAGAAAAATCTTAAGTTAGGATAAGCGGCAATTGTACACAGGAACTCACTCTTCGGTTAACGTGATATTTTACAACCCCATCTCGTTCTTTCGGTTTTGTCATAACCACTGGCGTTGCTTTAGCACGCAAAGGACACGAGCTTGCTCAATGACTTACAATAATTGTCGAACAAAAGAACAAAGAGTTCACTCCAACCATTCCATTCCAAGCCACTCTCAGGCTGCCGAAGGAGCTTGCCCGAGTGAATCAGGGAACGATTTTGGTTGAGTAAGTCCATGTCCTAGAATTCTTTCAATCTACATTACTGCAATATCCAGCTGGAAGGAGCTTACAATCGATTCACCCGCCTTGAAGACAAGATTGGAGTTATAACGCCATAGCTCTACTTTCTGCTTTGCCGAGAATACACCAGGCTCCGTCTCTTTCCCAAGTGCCTTGATGACATCGACGACATTGGGAATCGTGTCTAAGTCTTCATGCGGAGGCTTGGTCTCATCCATAATACCCTTCAAGAGCAGCTCATACCGAAGGAGTCGAGGAATCGGACGATTGATGAAGTTTTTCATGTCCAAACGATGCGCATCTGGGTGCCGCACGCATTGTTCGACAAAGGTCTTGAACGGTAGGTTATTGGCCATTTCATCGTCAATCCTATACGCTGCAATGGGGTAATTTGGGATGTACTCCATGTAAGCATCACGGAAATTGAGCGCAGCATCAAACATAGCAGCGGTAATACTGCGAATCGTAGGATGCTGCTCCCGTTGAATTTCGTGAAACATCGTGACAAGTTTTCGGTGATGCAGGTGAAGCTCGGCAAAATTGTGGAACACATCTTCAATGAACTGGTCAAGCCTATCTCGCGAAATAATGGATGGTTCAGCTGCACGAAGCGGTTGAATGTACATCTGAAAGACGCGTGAAATTACAAAAAAGATGCGACGAAAAAAGCCTACAATGTCGATGTTCTCCAGATCTTTGACGTATGCCATTTCTCCCTTGATCAACTCAAAGATGATCCTAATGTCACATGAGTTCAAAATTCAGTGGCAGATACGAAAAATGCCCAACGATTGTCGTTTTCCCTCTTCTTTTGAAAGGGATTTCCGGATTTCAGGCGAGACGAGATCGTGCCATTCCCATTTTCCGGGAGTGCCTTTACCCATTGCAGACTGGAAAGTGCGTAGCTGAGCTACAGATTGCAAATTTTTAATCGCTTCAATTGCCTCCACCAAGAAATCAGCGTCGGGATTCCCGACTGCCGTTTCATGGAAGATAGCCTCCAAAAGAACAGGATACTTTTGCAAATGTTCAGACGGACGATTGAGGAAGTGCTTGAGATCAAAACGAAGAGCTTCTCCCGACCGAGGTGATTGCCTTGAACAATGCTAGACAATGAAATGTCAACCATGTCCTTGAAGCACTTGGCAGAATAACACACCTCAAGGAACAGCCTGAATTCCGGGTTATTGTCTATCTCATCTTTGAGCCTCTTCTCCGCAAGCGGGTAATGACCAATGTAGGTGGGATAGGCCAGCCTGAATTCTGTGGCAGCATCCAAGAAGATATCGCCGATTCGCTGGATGATTGGGGCCTGTTCCCGTTGTCGAACGTACATCACCTCCAAAAGACGCCGATTGCACTCTCGAAGATCAAGAATGTTACCAAAAACGTCATCGATGAAATCGTCGAGCACATCCGGTCGCATCAAAGGAGGATTGGACGTGCGAAGTGGCTTGATGAAAACAGATTCGACGATGTCGAGATCTTGGAGGTACTGCTCTTCTTTGCTGATGAGCTTGTGGATAATCCTAGGGCAACGGTTGAGCATGTAGGTACGATATTGAAAGAACAGACTTACGTTTGGCGATTGATTTCCGTCTCAGGCAAAGATTTAAGGACAGCGCTGTCAACTGTCTCTGCCCATGACTCTCTTTTGACAGAGGGTGCCTCCAGAGGGGTAGGGAGTGGTCCAAATACATGGTTGCCCTATAAGAGAAAATCGATAAAGATCGTTTGAGGACGGACACATACATACCTTTCTTGGACAGGAAAACGAATAGCATCTGGCGCCTTCGCCACAGCTTGGAGAATAGCATCTGGTCAGCATCGTGATAACTCCCGTCGGAAGTTCTTCCAGCTCAGGGACGAGCTCAGAACCTCCTTCTAAATCGTTGAGGAACATATAGACATCTTCAACGCCATCCTGGAGAACACGACCACCCCATTCTACTTCGTAAAAGAAGAGTTGACTTTGCAGGCTTCGAGCAACTTGCAATGCCACGCGCCTGTCGTTGGTGGATACTCCGTGATTGATTGCTAGTTCTCGTTGTATCTGGGTTTGAATTGTCGACTGGATAGATTGTTAATTCCAATTCTCAAAAATGAAAACAGATTAAAGCATACCACGATGTCTTTACCGGTGAACGCCCGAGGATACGGGATGCTACCTTTAACATGGGTTCCTCGAGGAATCTTGTCGCGGAGCTGAACAGCGATGTGCGATAAGAGAGAGTAGTTGACAAATCGATTCTCGTCGTCTTCGTCTTCATCCTCCCAATATTCACCCTCTCCTTCATCGTGCAGCTCCAAGGGCCCCGTGTTATAATCCGCCAAAGTTCGTAACATATCAGTTGGACGTCGAGGCATGTGGCCAGGGCCTGCTCCACTCTCCTCTTCATAGTTATCTTGAGGATCCGTGTAACTATAATCATCAGCCTGATTCCAACTCTCGTCCGCCACCGATCCTGTCACGAAAGTCGACGGCCCAGCAACAGGCTCATAGTCCCTGAAGCTGGCAGTTGAAGCGTTCACATTTACCAAGCCACTGGAAGAGCCTGGCGGGTTTATTTGAAGACGCGGATCCCCGTACCCTTCGTCTGAAAAGGAAACAAAGTCTACTTTGAAAAAGCTGGCAAAGAAACAGCTTACATGGGGATAGGACTACTGGTGACGTAGTCATCGCAGCGGTGGGAGAAATGGGATGGGAAACCCCATTTAAAGTTTCGCGGCTTGTTTGTCGAGATATTTCCGCAGGTACTGCCAAGGATTTGGAGTTACCCTGTTGTTGAGATTGGTTATACAATGGTTGGTCTTGAGGCTCGCCATACTGAGCTTGGTATTGGGATTGAGTATGTTGGATTTGTTGATAATAACCATCTGTTCCGTTATATTTGCCACCGTCATAGGTGTCAAAGTCAGGGGATTGATAAGAGGACGCAAAATCATTTCGGTCATAATATGCATTGGGAGGGAGGGCTCCAGGAGGTCGCGCTGAAAAATCTCCGCTTGAGGTAGTCGATGGTACACTTGGGCCCGAAGCCGGCGATGCACGTTGATTGTAAGCAGCCTTGTAAGCGGCAGGATGCGGGGGAATAGGTGGTTTTTCTCCGCTGCTGGGTGGCCGATCCCCGACTGCTACATTAGGAACGTAACGCCCACTAGCACCGGTCGTGGCCTTGCGCAGGAGATCCGAAGAAGCGCTGGACGAAGTATATGATGAAAAGGAATCTGTACTGTATACGCTCGGACGCGAAGAAACACTTTGGTCGTAGTAGACTTCAGGGGAAGGCATGGGAAATGTCGGCGAAGAAGACTTTGCCGAGCCAGGAGTAGGCGGAAGGCGACGAACGCCAGGTAATTTTGGTGACGAATGCCTAGGTGCTGCTTTAGTTGATATCGTTGGTCCATTGGGGGTAGCTAGGGATCTATCAGTCCAACGTCCAACAAATGGAGAAGGTTCGCACATGTTTGAGGGCTTACTGTAATGGCAGGCTGTGAGGCTGGATAATCATTCTCTCCCCCATATACATTATAAATGTTCTCCAAATCTTTCTCGCTCGGCGCAGCTGGTGGTTCGTCAGCAAATCCAGCCCAAACCTCGTTATACAGCTTTTGGAGGTCTTCATCCACAGGAGAGGCTGGGCGAGCGTTGGGTAAGATTGACGGTGGCATCTTGTCAAACTTGGATTACAAGAATCAATTTCGTTTCCAAAGATAAGATGCGTTGGCCTGTTGCGCCAAACGGTGTCGGCTGAAGTCGGCGTCCTGGTGAAGGAGGGCGGGATCATGGGCACAGTGTTCATCAGCAAGTAATCAACATGGCTTATGAAGACCGCAGATAGCTCACCTCACTGTCGTCGTTTAGAAGCCAAGATCGTCAATGGTTGGTCAATGGCATCAACGTCCAGCGGTTGTGGTGTCTTGAGCCCTTGCTAGAGCCTGACACTTGTGGCTTACCAAATACGAATTGGGTTATTCATACAGCCACCACACCTTCACTCAAACTGAACACTCGGGGACACTCACCATGGCTGGCGATAAAGAAACCCTTTTAAGCATGGGATTTGATAGCGCGCGAGTCGAATGTTTGCTTGATTTTTCAAATCTACCCCCGCGGACACTCATACTTCTGCTTCATTGTTCGTTTACGGCTTCTAGGGGCGTTAAAGGCTACAGGAAATCGCGGCCTACAACCTGCGATGGATCACATAATAGAACACGAAGGTCAACCTGTTCCAGAATTAAGTGGTGTCAACGAGTCTACGAACAGCAGGGTACCGATGGACGTTGATGATGACGAGGATGCAGAGGCGTTGAGGAGTCTTGGAGTTGTGGCCGGGAATGCAGTAGAGGCTAAGGTACACCTGGTCTTCTACACAATCTCGCCAGCATATCAAACTTATTTTAATGAGAAGAGTATTAAATGTTCAGAGTGTGGCAAGATATTCAAGAATACGGCGCTGGCTAACTTCCATGCGGAGAAAAGTGGACATGATCAATTCGAAGAATCTACCGAGGAAGTAAGCAATCCAGTTTAATTAAAGGCAGGTAGTTAACAGCGGTTTAGATCAAGCCCTTAACAGAGGAGGAGAAGAAACAAAGGTTGGAAGAGTTGAAGGCGAAGATGGCAGAGAAGCGCTCTAAAAAGGCAGAAGTAGAAGCCGCAGAGTTTAAGGTCAACGAGGCCATCCGACGCAAGGCTGGAAAGGTTTGTTGGGTTCGTGCATCAAAATACATAACGGTGACCAATCTTTTTGCAGGAGATAGGCAAGATCAAGGAAGATATGAAACTTAAGGAGGCAATGAAGGAAGCGGAAGCCAAAAAGCGAGGTTAGCTTCTCCCCATCCATCTCTGGTCAGAGGTAGCCCTGATATCCTACCCTGTTAATTTGCGCGCGTTCTTAGAAAAAATTGAGGATGCACGCGCTAAAGCAGCAGTCAAGGCCCAGATTGAGGCCGACAAGAAAGCTCGGGCCGAAAAAGCAGCTCGAGAGAAAGCGTTGCGAGATGGACAACCCCTTACAGCGACTTCTTCAGCCGTGCCTGCAACTCCAGCAGTGGCAAGCATCAGTGTCGCAAGTAAAGACTTTAAAGAAACCAGGCTACAAATTCGCATGGCTACTGGTGGACAACCGTACACCACGACACTACCAAGCGATGCGCGTGAGTGGAAATGAATTCCACAGGCTAGTCGCATGCCTGAAACAGCCCCTTTTCTAGCCTTGCGTGAAGTGGCCGAATTTCTCGCAGGGCAGTCACTCGCAATCGATGTCGACACCGTTACCCTAACTCAGCAATTCCCCAGGTATGTAGTCAGAGATCCATGTGTTTCCTTCTCCATCTCTTGTACATAGGAAAACCTTTGCTCAAGCGGACTTTGGGAAGTCTTTGAAGGATCTTGGGCTTACTCCATCTGCCGTACCTATCGTCTCTCTCGTCTATCAAACTTATCGTCCTAATATCGGTCCTAGGTACTCATTGCAAGCACGCCTTGATAGAAAGCCATCCAAATGTATCAACATGTGTATTAATATCTCACACGTTTTCGACGGTATTTCTCGAAGACATTCATGTTTTCTTTGTGCTTCAGTACGAGTGACAAGATGAGTTTTGAGTTCAAATGATTATTCACACTGTATGAAGATGCTAAAGCTTCAATCCCGCTCACTCACGAAGGACCGCGCGAGTCATCAGGCATAGCCGAGGATTGAGATTTCGCCATGAACGTGACCAATAGCAACCCTTCCCTCACACTCATCCAGGGCCAATCGCACCCAACTATCTGCCTCATGGACTCTGTATACCGACGTCGCCGCTGTGGAAGCTAATTGGTCAGAAAGTGTTGCTTCCTCATCTTCGTGGTCCTTAGCCATCAACCCTGATGAATACTTGCCCGCGAGCCTCTGACCGCAGTTGCTATGTCCGAAATAGTCCTCCGTGTGACTATCTATCCACATGGCACTTCCACACGAGCCAAGCACCAAATCAGTTGGTGCGAAAAGGCGGACGGGGGAGCCAAACGTTTGTCTCAAGATGGGGGGGAATTGAAATGGCAAATTCTCTTCGCTGATAGAATTTGACTGGACGTAAAATGTGTTTGGACGCAGCTCGTAATGATGAAGGAGGTTGATAGGCTAGCAGATAACCGTAAGGCATCATTTAGATTTAGACTCTGTTCACGACTCACCCAGGGAAAAAGACTTCCGAATCGTATTAGGATGTTGATGGGCGCAGGCAATCTTAGCTGCGTCCTCGGCCATACGGCCTGGGCAGATATAACGACAGTATCGATACGCCATGGCCACCGATGTTGAACAATAGGATGAAGGACTCTCTCCTGCATGGTTTCTGGTGTCACTCGTGGAAGTTCGTAAACCTCCAGCGTTGTCGACCGGACAACTACAACGAAACGCTCGTCAAGCAACGCGGCAAGAACTCGCTCTGCCTTGCAATCATGTCAACGGGTTCGGTGGCGGACTCGAAAAGAAATACCTGATGATGATCTGGATTCTGTAGTTCGATCTTCGTCTGGGGGTTTTCTATCTTCCATAGTCGAAATCGAGAATTAACATCACCCGTCAAGAGTGTTGATCCGGTGAAGAGGTGCGGCGTGCTTATATCGTCCCGGAAACTTGCTAGAGTGACGAACCCATTCACAGGATTTGAAGGGTTTGGAGAGATGGAGAGAATCTGAATACTGTGCCTGCCGTTATTTCAAATGAGGCGAAACCACACCAACAACCGCTTACTGTGGGCACTGTACCGCAAGCACTGCACTTCCTGAAGGGTTGTTAGTCGCAGCCATGCTTCCAATTTGCCGGAGTTCTCGAAGCGCGACGCATGTAGGGGAAGGCGTTTGAAGATCCCAGCATTGGAGGAGGAAGAGGCGAGGTCCCGTCAGTGGAGTGACCATAGTCAAGGAGATAAGCCACTGGCAGCCGCTGTTCGAGAGAAACTGAAGAGAGACGATGCGAGAATTTGGGACGGTAGAAAGCGAGACCTCTGTTGTGGGCATTGGGGACTCGGAAATCCAATTCTGCCGAAAACGCAACGCCTGGAAAGTGTGTCGTTCAATTTCCCCAGCGGTCAACGATTCGAGCGGCCTTTGACCAAGTCCTGGAACAGGTATATTTTCCTCAAGCACATGAGATTGCATGAGACGGTGCCAAAGGCTGCGAAGGTGTGTTATTTCAAATAATTTCTTGCAGGTCTTCGATGAAAACAAGATGTCAGAGATAAAATACGGCCCCATATTGGAAAGCTCTTACCTGCCTCACAATTAAAATATCATTGGGGGTAAGATAGCCAAAGATTGCAAGGAGTATGTCGACTGGCAGCTCGACGGTCGTCATGAACATAGTTGGCTAAAACCAGATAGAAAGGCATCCATCTACATCAATTTTCATTTGTTTCTTGTGATATTTGACTCTCACCTCCTTAGGACGCTGAACCTCGCAATTCGGGAGTAAAATGCGAGGAATGCGAGCTCTTAAATATGGTGATTCTCTTGGTGATGCGGAAGTATCGTCATGCCATTGGTCACCAGGATTCATTGAAGATGTGATCCAAGAAAATCGCCGGCTTCCGGAGGCAAAAGGCCTGCAAAACCTATAATTTGTGAGGCATGCCCAAATCTAAACGGGTAACGTGTGCATCACCCGTGTGCGAGGAGTAAAAGCTAGTAAAAGTTGTATTACCTCCCCGCGTGCCTCGCTCTTATCTTGATTCCAATACGCGATGTTTGGATGTCTTGGGAGCAAGATCTCTCAGGTCCATTTGTGTTTGAATAAGATGGCTAACGCCGACATACGAAAGAAACGGAATGCCCTGGACACCGGTCCGCGGAATGTCGATGAAATCGCACTTTTCATACCAAAGCGCCAAGTCAGCTCAACCAGCAAAGTAGAAGCCTTGTTGCGAAACAAACTGAACGGCTGCAGCCTTGCTACTCCGATGGTTTTCGCCTCAAATGATACCTCAAGGCTCCAGCCAAATCAATTTGATCGGTTCCTTGACGGGAAAGCCTTCGCGAATGGCAACTACTTATGTGAAGTACTCGAGTGCACAAAATACATTCTGGCCATTCAAGCGATGTAAGTAATACGTCGAAGGTGAATTATTTCTTACACTGATCAAGGCTCGCTAAAAACCTCTTTTTATGATTACCACCTAGGTTAAGCCGAATTTGAACGCACGAGATAGGTGCGTGTGTCAGATTTGATGAAAGAAGAGTGCATCAGAAGCGACCATCGTGAAGTACGGCGGAGGTAGTCTGGTAGACACAAGCCTGGGCAGTGTCCGATCCAAGTCCGATCAAAGCTTTGGCTTCTTTGTCGTACTTGTATTCACCCTCTGTTAAGCAAACCAACTTTGAACCAACTCACGAACTACGTCAAGGGAAGGAGCAACACCTAGTCTGCTCACAAATTTTATCATTGAGCACGCACCATCGACGGAGGACAACTCCACATTTTGCTCCTCCTTGAACCGCGTTGTAGCAACTTGAAGCTGAGCAAACCGTTTAGTCGTCAAGTTGATCGGTATCTTCGTCACCTCACGTAAACCTCGCACTGGTTTTTGTTCTAGGCGATCTTTGTTAGCGCCAATCTCCTACGGTATCAATATAGTGACATGAGAGACAAGTAAGACAGAGAAATGGCGATTGAAGCGCATCCGTTGGGTGCAATTTCAAAAACGTCCGAGCGATCGCCTTTGCCGCTGTCCTTTGCCACCGTCTCCGACTAGATCTTGAAGCGTGTCGAAGAAGCCTTTCTGTACGAATCTAAGCGCCATGATATTTCGCACCAACATAGAAGAGGCGATCCTCCCCAGTCCTATAAGTCATTTTTCAAGTAGTAAAGGAACCTTTGGAGAGAGGAACTAGCCCTACTAGGGCACCAGGGGAAGTAAGGGACAGGAAAAGTCTCTAGAACACAAAGGGATTTTCGTCGCATTTGTAGGACAACGCCGCCTGCTGACAGCGCTGACAGACAACAAACAAAAAGAAGGAAATCCGGTGGAATCGGTATGGTACGAAAGCAGCTTCAAGGACGCAGTAACTTGTAAGGCGACATCGCAGTGTTGCGGCCGTTCAAGTAGGTTTATTATTTAAACTCGTGATTTAGGTCGACTGATTGTTGCCACTCGTTACGCACGACCAACCTACCGAGTGCCAGATTTTGCAGTCGAATTTTTGGGAGAGGATCTGAGGGGGACTCACCTCACAAATCCTCTGCGCCTTTTTCTGTCTTCGTAGTGATTGGCGTTTGTTAGGGTGAGTCATGAAATTATGATCTTGAGATGATCGAAGATGATCGATCGATAAATATCGCCGCCATTTGATGTAAATAGGGTATAGGAGCAGATCTAATTTGAAAGGGCGTGGTGATCCCTGCCCACGCAAAGGTCGCCTCGTCCTCTATATCGATCGGCGACGGAAGCTCGACAAGCAGCGGATCTTTTATTGGATTGCCCGCGACATGATACACCACATACAAGGTTGCAACCACTTGTAGACGGATATGAGCTAACAGAACAAGAGGTCGGGAAGGCCCTCACATATTGCAACAGCCAACCAAAGAAGTAAATGGATATTTCTTTTAACTTCATCTTCGCAGCGGCCCCAGCGTCGGTTAGTGCATTCAGAGTGAGAAAAACTTGAGAAAAACGCGACGACTTGGCAGACTGTGATCCATGATCAGCCACTGCCGGCGATTCCTGAAAGGTCGGGGAGCACACCAAATATTGTCGTTGTTGAAGACGCAAGGATGAGGATATGGCTTCTGGCTTTTGTCAAAGCGTGATTTGAGTTCCGTTGGTTGCTATACCAATGTCTAGAGCCGACGTGAAAAAAGGTTAAGCAGCCGGGTCAAAGGGCTGGAGACACACACATGAATACAACGCCCAAAAGAACCAACAAAGGCCTGCAAAGGCTCAATGAGTCTTTGCATGATGTTCAAACCTAAAGACTCTCGTTAGGAACCCCCTTTCATGATTTGAAAATGTAGGAGGGCTCACCACTGCTCACCACTGTCCTGATAGAAGGGCGGATATTGAGCAAGTCCCAGAATTAGAACAAGTCCAGCGATAAATTCCAGTAATGCTATATAGCGAACGGATCAAGTCAAACAGGGCGGAAGAGCGATCGGCAAACACGTACCATAATATGTCCTATAAGACCCTCTCTTTCCAGTGTTTCCAAATTGCTCTTGGATCACTGAGAGACGCTTCTGGATCAGAGTCGACTATCCGAAACGCTTGAACGGGCATGCTTAACCTCTGTTCAACGATCTTGACTCGTGGTTTCTTTCAGGTTGTGACTTGTTCAACGTTCAGCCTGAATTGACTCTCTGAAAGACCACTAAGACTAGTATAGAGCTTCAGAAAGGGAAAGATGAGTAGTCATCATCCGAATCAAAGCCATCATAAATGTGATCATCGATATCCGAGTCCCCCATGAATCCAAAATGATGGCCATGATAATCTGTACTGACGTCCGATTCGGTAAAACCTGTCTCCAACCCATCCCAAATTACATCGACAACAATTTCTCTAAGTTCGTCGACATGCTCTGCCGTCAGGCGATCACATTGAGAAAGCGTCAGCTTGCGCACTTCGGCCTTCCTCTCGTAACGTTGTATCAGGCAGTCCTTCAGATCCTCCAGCTCGGCATATTCGTCATCGTAACCTGAATCAAAACTCGTGTCTTCAATTGTAAGATGGAGTAGGGAGGGAAAGTAGACTGCGGGTGGCATGATCTTTCTCCGATTGCGTGAGCGTTTCCGCGTCGATGAATTCGTGGGCACACTTGCGCCGGTGGTAGTACTAGGCTCAGCATTCATGGCTGACAGAAGCGTGTGTACGGCCATCCTTTGTGCACGTATGGATCTTAGATGTGTAAGCTTCCCAAACCTCCTCAACCACGTTTGTTCTGTCATCTGGCTTGCGGAAACGTCCAACGAGGTGAGCTGCTCCAAAGGTAAAGCAGCACAGGTCTCTCCGATTACCTTATTCCAAATTCCGGGCGTAATGGTTGAAGACCAATGGAAACCTAAATCTATGGGAGGCGGCAGATTCAGATCCAAACCTCCAGATAACCTTTCAAACGACAACATGGTAGGCCAAGCTTGTAAACTGAAGCCCGTTGAATCATCGCCCACGATTTTGAGACTGCGGATGGGTGGTTTTGCACTCAATATGTTAGCTGTTGGTTCCCAGAAGCCGCTGACAAAGGTCAGGATACTGGAGAAATCAGCTTCAGAGACCGCTGTGCTTCGGCAATATAGCTTGAGGGTGGCAATGGATGACACAGATAGATGCCTCAATGCAGCAGAGCAGTCGTAATTAGAGCCCGAGAGATGTAGATTTGTCAATGAGCGCAGTTCAACCCTGCGTTTGTATGACACCGTCGAAGAGCCATCAGCAACATGGGGAAGAGCGTCCTTTAAGTCGAGTACTGTGAGGGTTGGAAGTTGCTCTAGAACATCGAGAAAAAGGAGTGTAGACGGTCTAGTTCCTGGAGTAGTATTGTGAATTTTTAAGTGTGTAAGACCTCTGAGAAGGTGGGATGTCCAATTGATGTTGCAATGTGATAGTTCGAGGCGTCGGAGCTGAGCGGAGTTGTCACTAAAGAGTTCTGGAGGAATGGAGTAGTTGTCAAGAAACGGCTCTGCAGAATGCATTGTCGAAGTAGACAGCACGAGGGTCTGAAGCATGGGCGCTGCTCTGGGGACACTCGAGAAAAGTTTTCCAAACCATGCGCTCGAGGAATCCAAGTACAACTCCCGTGCACGGGAAATGTGGTTCATGGCCAGTTGAATGGCTTCATATTTTGGGCCCGCCATGTGTGCAAGCCGGGCATCAATGACAAGAGGAGCCATTTTGGACCTCTTCAACATCTCTTCCACCCACCTCGGTCGCGCGAAAACAGGCATTGTCCATAAGTGAGGGCAGCCGATAGCCACCGTTCGCCAATGGCGTGAGACATGAGTGATTTTAACCCAATTCATAGTGAGCTGCGGGAGCTCGTAAGTGGCTGCGCAACAAACGAATATCTTGGAGAGTATTTCAGGGGGGAGACGCGATATGGCAGCTAAGCTATTGCGGCGAGACTTGAGCGCTCGGATGGCCCCTTCCATTTTCTCGATGTCCTGATCAATACGGCGACGGGCAGCATCAACGGTATTCGTCTCGTAGAAGTCTTGAATTTGTGGCTCGGAAGATAATATGGGGGTACTTTCTTTAATTGAGTAAATATTCTGACTTTAAATCAAATCGAGCTTGAAGGTAAAAGCTCACCTATGGAAAGAGAGCCATCAAGTTTATCAAATGGAGGGTTCGGACCAACGACAAATGCTGACATGTTGAGGTTGAAAACGTTGAATATGTTGAACGTTGAACGTTGAGTAAACGTTGAGTACTATAGTGAACTGGCAAATGCCGGTTGTGGAGCCTCGCGTCCTGCCACATGTGGACGCGCAGAATTTTATGTCGGAAAAAAAAATACTGCCATATAGTTCCGCCAACGCTAGGCGTGGTTCCTCAGTGTTAAAGCATGTCTCATCTCACAGCTACAGTGACCCGCCTTGCGGTGGAATAACATCGTTTATGAAAATAAATATCACGCTTTACGTAGTCTGGTGACCGTTCTTTCCACGAGCAAAGCTCCAGGCTTGCTCAAGCAGCGGACGACCGGAATTCTAGTTGAGCTCAGGGCACCGTCGGACATTGCATCCATAGAAGCGAGAGCGACATCTTTAGTGTCGAAAGAATTCAAAGATCGACATCGACCAACCCAGCATCAAAGACCATCGATGATTTTTCTGACGTCCTCCGCCCGCTTCTTGAATCTCAATAGCTCCCTTTCTCCGTCTCTCTTGAACTTGTCATACTCCACCTCCATTTGATACCGGATCCACTCCTCTACAGTCATATCGAGCTCCGCTTCCGTGAGTGTGTGAAGAGGTGTGAATGGAAGCTTGGATAATGCCGGTATGAGGATAGGCTCTGGATCTGTGGAGACGGTCGGTGGTGGAGGTAGCGTTGTAGTAGGAAGGGCCTGAGGAGTAGCTCGAGGAGGCGTTTGCGGTGCCATATTTTGCCCCTCCGAAATCTCTGCGTCGACATCGTTCATTTGGACGTCTTCACCCTCAGCCTCGGGAGATTTTGGTGGGGCATGAACGATAGGCGTTTCCGGTGAAAATAGCTCTTGCTTCTTCTCTTTCTTCGTTGCTGCAACGACAGCTTCGGCTAGGGGCGGGACTTGCTTTGATACCCTCGCGTTCTCCTTGCCTTCGACTCCCAGATTTATCTTCTTTGCCTTCTTCGCATGATCAATCTCCTTCTCCTCCTCATCGTCCGTCGATACATTAACAACCGTTCTTCCTTCGTCAAGCTTTCCGCTATCTTTACTGGTAAGTGCTTTCTCCCTAGCAGCCGAGTGGGGGGCGTTGTTCGAGGCAGGAGAAAGGGGAGCGTGATGGTTCTCAACAGGCCATTCTTCCTCTTCCGCAGGCGCAATGTGGGCAGGAGAAGGCGCTCTCGCCTTGGATTTTGGCGGTCTCCCCGGTTTCTTCCTCTCTTTCTCCACAGGCCGTGTCGCTCCTGTTTCTGGTTCCACAGACGTGGTCTTCGCCTTCTCTCCCCGCTTGGGGATAAACAAAGGGGGCAGCTCCACTGTTGAAGCGACCTTGGGAGGTGGGGACACATAGCCACCCATATCGTCGTCGTCATCAAGAAACAAATCTGCTGCAGAAACTTGCTCCTTGTGACTTGGTTTTGATTTAGTGGAAGATGACCCCTTTTTGGATGGTTTGACGATGATCTCAGGTTGCTCAAGCTCGGAGGATTCTTCTTCCACTAACGTTGTGGCCGCGGGCGTTGCTTTAGTGCGAGTTGGTTCTCGAGGAGGTGCGGGCTTCGCCTTTGATACGGGTCGGGTTTTCCGTCCTGGCTCCACTACTTCTTCCTCATCAAATATCTTCATCTTTGACTTGGTACGAGATGGCTTGCGGGTAGCTGTGTCTTCTACTGCTTCAGCCGGCGGTGGCGGTGGCTTGGATTTGGATCGAGAAGGTTTACGAGGAACCTCGTCTTCCGTATCACCTGTTGGTGTCAATTTCGCTTTCGCCTTGGTACGAGACGAAGTCTTCCTCGGTACTGGGTCGTCATGATCTCCCGCCTCGCTCTGATCTGGTGTCTCGGATCTAGCAACTGCCTTGGCTGTCGACCTCGCATTTTTCTTGACAGTCGGTGGAATAGTTGCTTCAGCCGTTATTACCTCCTCCACGACGTTCTTAGCTACCGACCTAGATCTCGACCTCGCATTCTTCTTGACAGTCGGGGGTGGTGCTGGAATAGCCTCCTCGTCCTCCGCTTCCTCATCCTCCGTCGCGTTCCTAGCTACAGACCTAGATCTCGACCTCGCATTCTTCTTGACAGTCGGCGGTGGTGCTGGAATAGCCTCCTCATCCTCCACTTCCTCATCCTCCGTCGCGTTCCTAGCTACCGATTTGGACCTTGACCTCGTTCTCTTCTTGACCGTCGGAGGTGGGGCTAGAATAGTCTCCTCAGCTTCCGTTTCATCATCCTCCATGACATCCCTCAATCCCGACCTGCTGGTGCTTCGAGTGTGACTTCGGGCAGGTGTTTTAGCCGATGACTTGCTAGAGCCAGAGGTGGAGCGACCTTTTCGAGGGGTCTTTGCAACGACGCGTCTGGTCGCAGTAGACTCAGAATCAGATCCAGCATCTGGGTCTCCGTCATATGTTTTGGTGGGCATGAGTACGTCTTGGTGAGTTGTGGTTTTCGATCTTGAGGCGGTGCGTGACTGAGGTTTTGAAGGAGGTTTCGTAGATTGAGTCCTTGATGACGGTTTGGCAGGAATTGGGTCTGGGGAACTATTCGAAAACATGGGGCAAATTTGTCCTTGCTTCATTCGTTTACGATGCTCCTCCCTGAACGTATTTGAATTTATAGAATCGACATCAATGAAAATGACTTACAATGGATTATCTTCCTCATCCCAACCACTCAATGATATATGGCAATACATGCAAGTTGCAAGGTCGTCACCAACGTGCTGAGGCGTACAAACAAAGCCTGCCAGAGCCATCTACAGAAGTCAGGAGCGGTTATGACGCGTAAAGTTCTTGAGTACCTTCTTTGAATTGGCACCATGGCTTTTGACTTCGTCGTGAATCCAACCTCCTCCGACTGAGAAAGTCTCCTGCCTCGCCTTCTCCATGACTTTAGACGTGGGGAGACGCGTTTTATCCGGAAAAGTAAACCTAAATATCATTTGAATTCTGTTCGGGTGAGAGGAGTACTATTTACCTGCCATATCGATCCATATCGCCTCGCAGTCCACATCTAACGCTCGCCCAACAACATCGTTTCCCACATTTCTCCCAGTGGATGTCAAACGGATCGTCTTCCGTCTCCCATCCGCTTAATTCTTTCCCGCAGACGAAGCATGTTACATTGTCAGGATCATCGTAGCTGGGGGCATAGAAGAAGCCTGCCTCCGCAAGAGTATCTGCGTTCGCCTTGAAATTGCTGAGATGTGGCCATTTGAGAGTAACATATGAAGAAGGTTTTGAGGGGTTCTTGACGCGCTTTGTCTTCGCAAAAGAGTCGGTCCTTGCTTGCAGTGTCTCCATCCTTTGCTCGTCGTCTCTGGTGTGGTTCAACGAACTTGGCGTGACATTCGCGTGCGTCACGCGTCTGTCACAATTTCAGGGTCTGCTTTCAGCGTCACCACCTCTTTATTGAGAGCTTTGGCCTACTACTATGCCAACAACTTACGGCTCCTCAACGTACAACGCAAAAACGTATGGCAAACGGTCACTAAAGCGCGGGCGGAAGGACGAAGAAAGTTCTGTCGTGGATCAGGATGACTCTTCGAAGAAACGACAAAAGGTTGGCACGGAGCAGCCTGAGCAGCGTTCTCTGACCCCCGAAGCGAACGTCGATGCGTCACAACTACGCAAACCTACCGTCCTAATGACATATGGTACACCCAAAAAATCAAAACCAAGTACGGATTCACCGTCTCCTCGTTCAACACCCACTGCCTCACCATCCCAACCCCCAAAGCTTGCAAGGGATTTATCCCAGATTTTTGCCGCTGTTACTCCCACACATTCTCCATCGCCATCTTCTAAGAAGCTGGCAAAACGTATGCTAGCACGGTCAAAGACAGAGTCGTCAATTGACAGCCAATTCACAAACGACAATTTTCTTGACAGAACTCCATCTCTTCCCAACTTTCCTTCCTCATCTCCTCAACGGAAATCAAGCACTGTAGACGTAAACATCGGGGACTCTGCTAATGCCCTACCTTTCTCTGCTCATGCTCCCGTTCAAACAACCACCCGAACGTATGCAGGGAAATCGCGCTCATTCCTTGTAGCCTTACCATCCTCAAGCCTCCCCGCCGATGCGCTCCACGACCTTGAACAGGAAGAAGACGATTATTTAACGCGCGAATCATATTCTTCCTTGCGTACTCGATGGGGAGTCGACAATTCTGAAGACGATCCCTATTCATTCGACCCTCCTACTCCCAAGAAGTCGAATTCTGCCACCCCCGATGCATCGCCAAGCAAGAGAAACAAAGGGAAATCAAGGGTCCTCCCTGCGTCTGCACGGCCCATACCGCCTTTGCCAAATGGATTAATGAATCCTTTGAAGAGCATCACAGAGTTGAGGAATAAAGGTGAAAGTCGACGTTTCTTGGATGAGGTTGGGTACCTCTTCGAGGGAATGGATCCAAGCGGGGGGATTGAGTTGCGAAGAGCTAGGTGAGACGACTCGTTATCCTGCGTTTCTTTTCATTTACTAACTCTGAACACCAGCGCCCTTGAAATCACAACCAAGCTCTGTAATCCGGAATTTTCGCGAAAAGCAAAGGCAACGGACTTTTTTCGGCATACTTGGGACCTCTTTTTAGATGCGGGCGGGGGCAAGGGACGCGACAAGGTGCTTACATCGGTCCAGCTGCCCTCACTTACTGAAAATTAATTTCAGATCTTGGATACTCTTCTAGTCTTTTTCGCCTCTCTCGTTGCCCGTGATGCAACCTCGCTAGCTGATTTAGCGCAGCGCCGCCCATCAACCCAAACTGTCGATCCCACATCGTCGTCAACAGAGCAAAAACAAGGCGATCATAAACCTTGTTCCTTTGTTGATACCCTCTTCACGCTCTTAGAAATAACGACGTCTGATCCCGATCCTCTGAAACTTGTTGGGCCAAAGAGCAACCTTGGAGATGCGGAGTTCAAGAAATTTGGTTTCAAAAAGAAAGATCGTGGGACGGTTAGTTTTCGTGCTCATGCATTTTTGTGCCTTGTTCTGAGAATCTTTGGATTTTTGATTGGATAGTTGAGTACAATTTACAAAGCCATTGCCACGGACTCGGGTCTATTCCCCTCCGAGACACCCGTACGTTCATAACTTGCCAAATCCTAGTCAGTTTTGCTGACAAAATCGTTAGATATCGACATCACTTTTGATCACTCAAACCCTTCAGGCTATTTCACCCTCGTTAATCCCAACAAGACGCTTTCCAACGCTTCTCGCTTCACTGCGAGCATCGTTGGCTTCCTCAACATCCATTTCATCTTCTTCCCCAGGATCCTTGGCGTCATCGCTCCACCTCCGATGGCGTGAGGCAATGCAGGAAGTACCTTATCTTGGTGTCTACCATCACTTGAAACTTTTGGATACATATTTATTGAGCCAATGGGAGTCGGATGAAGATGTTGACGGCCTTGAAGAGGGGGTCCTGAGTGGAGAAGATCTCAACGCTCAGATCATGGACGAAGCTCGGGATGAGTGGCTAGTCGACGATCTGGTGGCGCTGGGTGTTTGTGCCGAGAATCAGATGGCGAATGATGCTTTGGATCGACGTACGTCGTTTACTTTGACTTCATCCACTTCATACATCTCTGATCCGGTACATGGCTCATAGATTCCGTACGTAACTGCCTGGAGATCACGCTGAGAGTTCTTGTCAACCTAACGCACGGAGACGAGCTGTGGGGGGAAAAGGTGGTACAGAATACTTGTGCGATGAACCTTTTGATGCGGACCAGTGCGCAAGCAGGCAGAAGAATGATGCAAGGCAGGGATGCAGTTCGAGTGAAAGAGGAGGTCGACATAATGCCAAAGGTCGAAGATGCGGCTGAAGGCTCTTCAGGGTCTGTTGCTCACAACAAAGATCGAGAGGAAACACACGCCTTGGATCAGCTGTGTTTGTCCCTTGGTTTACTGACGAATTTAGTTCAGGTTGCCCCAAGTGCTAAAGACGTCTTGAGGGAAACGCGTAAATTTATTTCATTTTATTGTAGCTTTGATACTCATAACGTCTGGTAATATCACAGGTCTGGATCCTTCCTGCACATTAAGGAGGCGCAGCTGCCTCCACAACTGCACATGTCCGAATGCTATCACCGCCCTCGAAGTCCTAATGCACCTTTACATCCAACAGCAGCCTCCCAGCTCAAATACGGTCCCAGCGCCCAAACTTGATCCCGCGCCTTCTCCAGAACCCGAACTGAACGCCGAAGCTGATGCTTCCTTCCTTCGTGGCCATCTTGCGGTCCTCTTCGGGTTACTCATGCGTGGAAGCCCCGTTAACCAGACTGCAATCCTTGCCTGTCTGCCAACACCGTCTGGTGGCGTTGGAGGGAAAGGGAGTGACAGGATCAAGCTGAACAGACTCGTGGACCAAGCTCGCGAGTTTGTAGCGTTTTTTGCTGTTGTTAGTGGTGGTAGTGTGGATGGGGAGAAGGAGAGCAAGGTTGCGAGAGATATTGTACGGTTTTTGGAGCAGCAAAGAGACGCTCTTTGATGAGGTCTGGGCTGTTCTTCGTCGGCCACGCTTCGGTGACTGGTAGACTACTTATGATAGAGTCGGTGGTTTCTTGATTACCTGTTGATGTAATTTGGGTCCTTTTGGGTTGCTTTTGGGTTACGGTCAATTTTGATAACTCACAACTTGTTACAACGATCCCGCTGGAGGCCTGGTGGCCGCTGCAATGGGCGCTCACTCAATACAGCATTCAAAGACTCTGTTGACGATTATATGTCTGTGTCTGTTAACAAAGGTCGTGATCGCTCACTCTCACCATGACGAAATATCGGAAGAACAAGCTCAAGCACCCATAGATGCTATACTATGGATACACATCGCTCTGCAGGCCATAGTCTGGGGCGTTTTGTTCCCGATTGGAATGGTGCTGGGAATTACTCGAAGTCGATGGCATGTCCCACTTCAGGTGCGTTCCTGCCATGCCAGTCCTACTATAGCATGTTACTGACCTTCAGTATGCACAACAGGCCACAGGCTTCGCGCTGACTTTTGGCGGTTACATCCTAGGTCACTCTCATAAGGGCCGCATGTTCCCGAGGTCGGCGCATGGAACGTTCGCGTCGATACTTTTGGTTCCAATTATTGGCCAACTCATCCTTGGAATCTACCTAAAGCTTCACATCCATGAAAAGTCGATCAGGCCATATGCGGTTGTTGCTCATGGTATCATTGGAAAACTATACCCAATACTTGGCTGGACGCAAATGTTGTTCGGCATTATTACATTTCGAGGTTATTGTTCGAGTGATTATTTGGGTGAGGAGACTTTTTCCGTCGAACCTACCTCGTTATCTCAACTTCAACTTCATCAAGAGCAATGTATAGCCCATTATACGATGGGCAGCAGTTTTATTGCTCACGCTATAATTATGGTAATTATCTTGCTTGTTGGAGAGTCTTGGGTACGACGAAGCGGTCGGAGCCCGGAGTGGTGGGATTCGTGGTAAGACAGACATATTTATTCCATTGGAATGCTAAAAGCATATTTTGTGTAGGGTTATTATGATATGGGTACGTCTCCGACACCAATAAGTAGGTGCACACCGATTCACACGCCCTTTTTTAACAGGGAATTAGTAGGTCTGTCAAAAACGATGAATGACCACTGACGTGAAGTACGTGCAGTCAACACCTTTACCGAGCATGACGGTGGAGTCTGGACTGTTGAAGACATGCAGCACACGTAGGCCTTTGCTTGATTCTTTTCTTTGACTCTTAACTGGAGTCTGGCGTAGGATACTTGGGGTCCTTTGTATGTTTCAAGCTCTGTCTCATTCTTTCCTGTGGCCAAGCTAAACTTAAATTAGGGTGGACAGGTGGAATTCTCGGCATTTTTTTGTCAAGAAATAATCAGGTCGGTTCCGATTTTTGTAAATCACCATCCAATGGTCTTATCATATTTCAAGCGCAATGTTGTCCCTGCGGTAATGTATGAGATGAGTTCTGATATTTCCCCGACTCTGAACCGTCGACCAGAATCATTCTGACAGGCTGGGCCATGTCAGACCACGTTCAAGCCCTCATGATCTCGACCAAGGTCAGCTAGCTCTCTTTTCTTGTTGCTACAGCCTACAGGACCTCACAAGTTTTTTTTTAGGTTCACGCAATGTGTGGATACACCCTCATGGTGGCTGGTTTGGCTCGTATCGTCGAAGTCTGCTTCTTCATACCGAAGTATTTCCCGGAAGGTGCAGACAACGATAATCACAGCGAGCGCACGCTGGCTGAGAGCACGCGTAGTCCTGGGTTTACGTCTTTGTTCGATAGCGATAGAAAGGCAGCGGCAGCACAAGCATTCCGTCATCTCCCTCCTTTCGTACGTAACTCCCTCTGTTTCGTTTTATTACTGATATCCACATATCTTCTGATACTTAGCTTATGGTGGCCGTTGGGTGAGTACATCCACACCTCGATGTGGCTTGCCTAAGACCTTTGACAACTTCTCAACAGTATCCTGTTTATTTCCGCCACAGATGAAGCATTAGAGTATGTGCATGAAAACGGGATGGACCATGTCACATATGTCCTCATTATGTTCAGGTGTGTCTCCCTGGCACTATTAAGCCTCCACACTGATTTGTCTCCAAAAGCTCCGCTTTTGCATTGTACACGTTTATCCTTTTCCTCATCCATCTCTATTCCACGACGGGGCGCAATGCAATCGCCAAACCCGTGGACGATACTAGCATTGAAATGACATCTGGCCCCAAATGGTATGCGCGTGTGCCTAACGCTGAACCAAGTCATGGCGGAATACTCCACGTCGTTGGAGATGAGGAGGAGGATGAAATGTAGCCACGGTAACCGGTCTGGTGGCTTCCTCCTTTATCACAGCCTGGTTTGTTGTATATGTAGTAAGTATTTTTCTCTGCATCTAATTGGTGGCTTCATATGACTCATTCTTGCAGGATATTTAGTACATTGTTGTTGCATTGCCACATCTCATTCTTCCTAGCACACTACTAATTGAGCGATATTAGACTCCTTGGACTTCGATCTCTCCAAGGCCACCGCTAAAATCAAAGGTAAACCGAGGCCTCCCTCCTGACCATGCTTCAATCTTGAGAAACGTTGCTGTCCCTTTTCCGATAAACATGCCCATCAACAATTTTGGAACCATGAAAGCATGCAGGACAAGTCGAATATGCTCTTGCGTCTGTGCGTTGGTCAGAACGATTGGGAAGAATGTCGTTCCAATCGCCTTGAAAGGTTGACCCATTATATAAGGGATGGTCTGGCCTGCATCATCGGTCTTCACGACTGGACGATGCGCAGCTGGGATTGAGTCGATTAATTCCTCATGGAAGGTTAGCGTGATTCCACGAGGCTTAAAAGCTGCATGCTTACCTGGCTCACAACATTCCCGACTCCACCTGCCAGGCAGATACCAAAGGAACCATCTGTATCAGGTGAGTGATGGTCGAGATATCCGATGAGGTTGACGCTATTGGCCATGCTCTGGATGGATGGTTCCATGTGCCACACACCGCGATGAGTTTCGTCATAGACCGTTCGCGCATATGCTGGTGGTGCCTCAGAAGTTGGAGCTGCCATCGTTGCAGTTCTGAGAAAATTCAAGTCCTAGTTTATAAAAAGATAGCGGGGGAACAAACCGAATCAAGGCTGCAAGCTGCTGCGAGGTGGGCGGTAGTACGGGCGCTTTAATTAGCCGGAGTTTGAAGATTCTACTCCGACTCCTACACCGCCAAATGTTCGAAATGCTGATGGCATCTGGCACGAATCTCCGCTTTGACAGGTTTTTGATGGAGGTTGCCTCGGCATGGATGGCAGGTGTGTCGGAGCTTGGGGCGTAAATGTTAGCCCCAGCGGCTCGACAGCTGACCCACAGGTTTACAACTCTTCTTGGGGAGACATGTAGTGTTGGCGAGAACTCCACGGTAGGATTTTGACGTTTGACTTCTCTCGGCACTCCATCACGCGGCGGCGTTTGCCGAATTTTTTAGCTTCACGTTCTGAGTCCTGTTTGGACACGCACAAATCACTATGTTTATTGCCGGCTGAGAGAACACTTCTCCAAACTCTCAGCAATCTCATGTCACTTGGATGTTAGTAATATGTATGTCACACATTATAAACATGTTTTACACATTATCAACAAGTTTTACAAATATCACACATGAACATACTGTGTTTTTTTGGTGATGACCCCAAAAGACAAGCTTGAATACAGATGTGCAGCTTCTCAAAAATGGTGCCCACATTTCCCACTAACTAATGAGCCACAGAACATAAAAAATAAGCAAGAGCTTGGAATAATAATAATATGACATGCTGTGTTTTTGGTGATGACCCCCAAAAAAAGCTTGCGACGAGCGCAAACATCAACGTGCAGCTTTTCAAAAACAGGTCCCATGTTTCCCACTAGCTAGACAGTTTCTATGAGCCCAAGAACATGAAAATTGAGCAAGAACTTACAGTAATATAATAATATTGCATTATCTGTGTTTTTTTATATATATAGTAATGGTTCGAAAGCATTGCAACGAGTTTAAACTTTGAAGTGTAGCTTCTCGCAAATGGGGCGCACATTTCCCTCTAGCTAGACGGTTCCTATGAGCCCCAAAACATAGAAATTGAGCAAGGACTTACATGTCGTACTCTGTGTCTTTTTGGTGATGTCTCTCCCAAAAGCATTGCGACGAGTTCTAATGTCGACGCACAGCTTCTAAATAAAAACCCACGTTTTCCACTCACTAGACGGTCTGTATGAGTGCCAGAATGTAAGAGTTGAGTGAGAACGCACAATAATATGACATATTCTGTGAATTTTGGCGACGTCTCCCCCCAATGCATTGCAATGAGTTGGATGTGCAGCTTCTCACAAATGGGGCTTGTTTTTCACACTAACTTGGTGGTCCTATGAGCCACAGAATGTAAAAGTTGAGCAAGAACTTACAATGATACGACACACTCTGCATTTTTTAGTGATGACCTCCCAAAAAACTTGTGACAAGTTGGAAAATTGATGCACAGCTTTTCAAAAATGAGGTCCGTGTTTCTCACTGACTAGACGGTTTTTACGAGGCTCAGAATGTAGAAATCAAGCAAGAACTTACAAAAATATGACATGCTTTGTCTTTTTTTGGTGATGACACTCCAAAAAGCTTGTGATGAGCGGGAATGTCAATGTGGAGCTTTGCAAAAATGGGGCCTGTGTTTCTCACTAACTAAATAATTTCTATGAACCCCAGAATGTAGAAATTGAGCAAGAACTTACAATAATATTCCATTATCTGTGTTGATTTTTATGATGGACTGTGGCTGGTGGCTTTTGCTTCACACAATACATGGCTTCCTATTGAGTTGAGAGTAAATTGCAACCTCCAAGTAGCACAGCACCCAAAGAGATAGATATACTCCAAGTTGAGGAGGTGTTGAAGCCGTGACCGAAGATGCGGAAGAAGGCCTGTGAGAGTCCAGACCGTCAACGGCACAAGTGCAAATGCAAATCCTACCGTGGAGTTCCCGCCAACCTTCTTACTGAGAATAGACGGTTCAAAGTCATGCAGAAAGAGCCGTCCCCCGCCAAGTCAGGGTAGGGACCATTCCTCGGTTCCCAGGACTGTGTTCCCTCTTTTTGGTAGCCTGTCACAGCCTTTGCTGCTGTTTTCCTATCCCCTCCGTCGCTCCTCGCCGCTTTATCTCTGATCTCTATTGCACAGATCGATCTGCGAGCCCACCGTCAGCCTCTCCGCCTTGAAACAGATCAGTGCCCGCCTACCATGGCTCGTCTCGGAAGTGACGTGCCCTTGCTGGCTCGCCGTCACCCTTGGATTACTCGCCACTGCCCTTCTTGTCTACGGTACCGGCATGGCCTCACCACAAGTCGAAGCAATGGACGTCGATCAAGACGTCGACTCCATGGATGTCGATGACCCACCACTCAACTCCAACTCCAATGATGAGGGGGAGCAAAGCCTTCCATTTCCAGGTGAGATTGTCAATGGGAAGCGGCAGGTCTGTTACATGCGAATGTGAGCTACACTCGCCGTTTCCTTGACTTCAACATGCTAACTTTACGACAACAGTCATGGCAAAGGCATCTCCAGATCTATGTTGCAAGAATGGTGCAAAAGTTTTTGCCATCCCGCATTCTGGAAACATGAAAACAATGCGAGAGAGGCTCGCTAAGTTCAGTGGGGATTCCGATGCTTGGGATAGGTGAGTGAATCCATGTCACCCCCATCCCCCAAGACATTTATTACTGTGACCACAGGACAATTCCCAGGGCGCGAAGAGCCCATCTCAACACAAGGTATGGAGCCGTCTCGAAGCCGACCAAGACAAAAAAGAGATCAACCAAACACGCCGAGGAGATGTTCAGCAGGTCACCAATGGCCACACCCATCACTCACCTTCTCCCAACAGAGACCGAAAGTGGCCAAAGCAAGCAAATGGCATGCGAACGAGAGCAGCTGCTCAGCTGGGTACGTCTTCACCGTCTTTTCTTTTCGCTTTTTGAATCAAGCTCTTCACAGGCAAAAAAAATTGTGGAGTCCCATCCCTACTTTCCATTGGCAGCCCGAAAGTTAGCAGCAGAGAAAGCTCTCGCAAAAAGAATGGTGCGTGATTCATATTCTCAACTAACATTTATCTCTAATCTGCCGCAGGCTGGTGGCGACCTGGCGCTACAGGAAAACCTCAAGCTCACCAACGCACACATCGAAGAACTCAATCACCGCCTCTCTCACATGAGCGCTGGCATGGCCAGTGACTGCATTACCATTTCCCTGACAGCCACCCCTCCATCTGCCCCTCCCTTGCCATCTGAGCACATCACAGCCCCAAACAAACAGCCAGTACAACCCCATCCAGCCACCTCAGCTGCACAAATCTCCACTTCGGCTGCAACCCCCAGCTCTGCTCTGACATGCACGATCATACTAGGTGACGGTACTGAGCTCACATTCACGGAGGCGGACGTTGGCTCTCCACCACTAACTGGCTTTGCTGACAACGTTGCTGGCCTCAACCGAATGTGGGATGATACCACTCCCAATTGGGGTGGCACATCGGTGTTGGAGATCAAGGGTCACCCAATACCCATTGTCTACTGGAAGGACGTCTATATGAATTATAACCGTGGAAGCCCATGGAAGCCACGCCAATGGCATGGTATGAAGAGCAAGTGGTTCAACTGGAAGGTAAGTTTTTTTTTAGGTCTCTCAATGCTGTTCGTTTGAAAGTCAACTTAACAGGTCGTTGTGCATCGCTACTGCCAAGGAACGCACACCCAATTTTGGGATGAGTTCTCACATAATGGGGAGCGGCTTTGCTTCACAAAGATCGTCCAACAACTTTCGGAGCTTCGCAAGGATGAAGACCAGGCCACAGCTGAACACGCAAGGGCGGAGTACGCCGCCAACTTCCCATCTTTCTTTTTGTACAAAAAGAACTGGGTTTCTCACATTAAAACTAAGCCTTCAGATATTGCGAAGACATATCGTTTACTCAAAGGGATTTCTGGTGTAGAATCAGATGGTGAAGATTGAATGAAGTACATAAAGCTTTTCGTAGTTAGATCTGTAGCCTCCTGCCTAATACAACATATATAATTCTTATGCACAAGCACAAGAACGTCCGCATCACGGGCACTTTACGGTTGGGGCTCGCCTTGGGTTGAAAAAGTCCTCGTGTGATTCTGTTGGGTTGTCATTCCACGAAATAAGATACTTAACAATTGTCATGCTGGAAAATTCAACGCTCCAGCCACCCCAGTCACAAATCGTGCGTAGAGGCCAACAACGTTCTGACGCCAGGTACTGACAACCACCACGTCAAAATGAGTGGGTTCCGTAAGGGGATGGGTCAATCCCAATATCAAGAAGATTGTTACGAAAGAGCTCCAGAAACTGTTCAGAGGTCTATAGATAAAATAAAATATTAGTAACAAAGTAGGGAAGTTAAATAGCAATGAAACAGACCATTGGAGAGTCCTTGGTGACAGGCCGTTCACCTGATCCTATTTTGTGAAAGATGTAGCCCTTGGCGATGGCAGTGGTATTGATCCAATCAGCGAGTGCACGGACAGGACAGAGGTGGGCATCTGCCTCATCAAGCATGTGTAGATAAAATGGCTTTATCCCTGTGAATATAATTTGTAAGGTGATCTAGGGAATATGAACAGAGAACGTACGGCCGTATTGATGTGTTTTTCGGAAGGGTAATGTTAGAATTATGAGATCGCCTCAAATTTCGATGTGGGACCGTCGAATTTTCAGGACTTCGTCAATGCGCAGCAAGCACAGAAAAGATATTGTATATATTGCGTGCAATGCCCAACGTGTCAACCCTCCACCCCACTCATGGAGTTTGGCGGCATCTTTTCTAGAGGCAGGGCTGTATTGCTTCAAAGCCCAATTTTCCGGGTGGTGGTTAAAATCATAAAGCCTGCCAATAATATCCTGTCCACTCATGCTTATCAGGTCATTCAATATGGACTTTGTGCAATGACCTACCGCTGTGACGGCACATGCACTGGTTGCTTCGCAGCCAGCTTTAACCTGATAAAAATAAAAAATTGTACCCAAGACAATGTAACAAACCAACCTTCTGGCAATGCAGACCACTCATATAATTGGCAACCTCTGGTGAGATGGATGGGTTGCCAACCATACCATCCTTGGTTCGATGCCATTCAAGTGACCCAAGGCCATACTCATGTGAAAAGATTTTGGTCATGGCAGCACACATCTTCTGTGCTTGCGCATATGAATCATGGATCTCATTCGATGGCCAGGCCTTATTGTCCAAGGTGACCTCATCACACCTATTATTAAAAAGGGTACATAGGAGCAAAAATAATAATTTACTTGTCCATAATCCATGCACTGATAAAGAATGGTGCATCTTTGGGAGGGGATTTGGAAAAAAAATCTGCCTCTTTCTGAATGAGACCTGAAGATATCAAGAAAGACGTGCATTGTATCTTCAGCCTAAATTGAAGACATGTTAATATGTGCCTCAATTTCAACAGAGCACATTATCACTGTTGGTATTCACCATCAGTCTTGTCGGTCACCCCTTTTGATGTGCCGAAGATGGATTTCTTCCACGTTTGCATGAATTCACGATTTCCTGGCTCCAAATCCTCGTGGACAAGATCTGGTACAGTGGCTTGTTCATCCTTGAGGTCCAGTTCAATTTCTTCTTCTGTTATTCTGTCGTTGTCATCACGAGAGTTGAGGGCTGAAAATTTATGAGAAAGATTGGATAGCGGGGCAACCATGGTGGGGAAGGCAAAAGGAGTTGTTGTTTCAAGGGATACTATATATACAATGGGGGGCAGCTCCTATTTACAACTCACCCTCTGAGTCGGTGATGAACTCAATGAGGTATCCATCATCCGAGACATCAAGGCGATACTGCCTTTCAGGGATCCCGGTGACTGTGGATGTGTTAAGGGGGTCATGCAGTGGTAGAGCAGGTTTGCTTTCATACCTGGTTCGAGATTGGATTGAGTGAGGTCAAGTGCATCAATGACATTGTGGCGATTCTGTTGTTTGTTTGTCAATACATTGGGCTTGGGGGTGGTAAGGTCGATGGTGTTGAAATGGTCTGCGGACGATACAATTTTGTTGTGCTTTGGTCGTTTACTTGAAGATGCAGCGCCATCGTCTTCATGAGACTTTTGTTTGAGAGGGCGAGGCATGCCCGTTGACCCTGGAAGTTATTAATTACATTAATTGAGGCAAGGCTGTGGAGTGGTAATTCACCTGATGCATGAGGGGCCTTGCCACCAGTACTCATACGGGCACAGCGGGTAGCTTTCTTTTTACCAGCTGAGAAAGGATAATTCCATGTGAGCACATGTTCCGAGGTTTCATGAAGAACATACTCACCTGCCACAATGAGTTCTGGGAATGTTGTGTGAATCATGGCAATGGGAAGCCACACCCTCATCCTTGGGAACACGCTCAATCGCCACTCATTTACTCTCCCTTCAGTTTCCCCATCATTCAACTTGCCTAATAGAGAGCCGATGATAGAATCTACAAGCGCGTCTGACACAATGAGGGATAACCTGACCTCAGGATGGCGTGGACAGTCTCGAGCTTTCAAAGGGACCCGGCGTTGAAGGACCTCGCCAATGAACTGACAGGGTCTTTTGGCCAGACCGAGATCGGTCTCACGTGCAATGCGGCAAATGTCGTCGAGGGCCAAGCCAGGAAATATTGTTGTTTCAAAGTGCGAGAGAATCCCGTGAGTACTACCCCAGCAGAAATTCTCCTCGGCAAAATTTGCCAGCAAAATAGGATTGGGGCTACACCCCAGAAGATCCGTGGGATTGGTCTTTGAGCTGAGAGGGTTTTGGTAAAGGTTGATGACCTTCAGTTGAGGGAAATCGGAAGGGATGGAATTAGAGAGAGCAGGTTGGCAGGAGGGGAGATGGCCGGAGTCATTTGTCCTAAGCTCCTCATGCAACTCATTTCGCCACACCTCCAGAAAATTGTCAACAACTTTGGATTGGGACAAGCCATGCAGAAGGCGATGCCCAAGCCCTGCCCTTGCCAGTCCAGTTGCAATCCGGATGCCACACCATTCAAGGCCACCCTAAGGCAAACCCAAGCGTCAGGTCCCAAACATGAACTATGAATTAGAGATCTTACATCATAGTCACCACCAACCAGCAAAGCAATTACTAAGAAATCAGTGTCGGTGAAGCCAAGGGCAGCGTGCTTTCTGATAGCTTCTGCACGGTATACAGTAACCTTCTCGTTGTTGTCCTCATGAAGAAAGCTGCAGGAGGTCAGAAAGGTATTTCGACTGTGGTAACACACTCACTTTCGAAGGACAACCGCAGCGCCGAGTACTATCAAGTCAGAATCTTCGCTTGCAACAGCATCAATATAACCCTCCTTGGACAGCCAAGCAAGCTCAGCATCAGCTTCACCAAGAGCCTACATGTGTCCATATGAGTGATAGTAGGATCAATGCATGGAGAAAACCTACCACAATTGAAGGAAATCCAAAGGAAAGTAGCATTTTCTGGAAATCCTGCTCAATCCAATGAGGGTTTCCTCGAACATGCTTGCCCCATTTCACACAAGGGCACTTAGGACCATCAAACACGAAGTATGGCCGAATGGGTTTATCGAGGAGGCGGCAGCATCTTGCGTACAGTGTCACCAGCTCAGGGTTTTTTGAAGTGCTATGCCTGTAGAGCGCGTGGTATACCCAACCACTGAAGATGGTGAGCCAAATGAAAAAACTCAATGCAGGTGCATACCTCGCATCAATGCCCACCCGATATGCCCTTACCCCCCCAATATTGTTTACGAAGCCATCCTCAACGGCCAGCTGATGCAGGGAGATGCGCTCCCCAACTGGTGCTAGCAACTGTGATTTCCTAGTTAGCCACCATAGTCACATCATCATGAATATGCCTTACCTTCCAGAGATCTTCGATGCCCATAGTGGGGAGATGAGGGAGTAGGTCTTGAAAGCGTCCCCGTTTTTGTAGACCGAACTTGTCTAGGCTTACATTTTGAGACAGTCATTTCATCTTGCCTGAGCAGTGTCGAACAGTGGCATCATCACACAAGAGCACTGCTCGGCAATTGGCAACGGACAATGTGTCAAGATGTGGAGACTGGTGGGTGGATCCAGGCAGCTGCTTGAAAATAATCAACCTATAATTATAGATTTCCAGGTTTCTCCAGGCTGAATCTCCAAGCCAAGTCCCGGGCTCGAGTCTTCGCAGGAAATCCAGCCCTGGAGAAGATGAGAACACTCACAACAGTGGGGGAAAAGGCCCCTCAGCTCGGCAAGGTCGCTGCGGGAGCACAATGCAACTGAGGCGTCAGACATGGCTGTGGAAGGGGCGTTTTGATGAAATTGCAATGTTCAGAATGCCCAGGCTAGCCACAGAAGCCGCACACAGGCAATAGGACATTGGACGAATGGGGAAGATGATGGTGACTGCAAGATGAAGTGCATACGTGGTGTTGAGGGAAGTGGACGTGATGGCAACAGTTATACCATCAGAGGTGCCGCGCACAAGCGCTCGCTGGAAGTGGGGAGTACCTTTCACTGCATGGTAATGTGAGTTGAAGGGCAGACGCAGAGGTTGCAATACTGACAATATTTGACTACAGCTTGCGTGAACTATTTCAACTACTGGTGGTACAGGAATAAATGGCATTCATCAATGTTCTGAAAGGGGAGACATGCCAGCCGCCCGATCGGCATTCCTACACTCAGGGCCGAAGTTCACCAAACACGACACCCTCTTTGACCCACTCACCCCCTCTGAGGTCTCATGTAAGTACGAAGCCTGAGGGGAAATCTATCTGAGAAGGTCAGCAAAGAGTGAAGAAAGAAGGAAAAAGACACAGACAACTTGGTGGGCAAGTAAAAAGATAGTCCGGAAGGTGAAGAACCCTAGCATTGTAGTTGCATTCACCATCTGATGAAGGGGACACCCATGCCGCCTGTGGGAGTCTTGTAAACCTTTGGTTCATACTCTAGTTGAGGGTGCTTGGCTCGATTCTTCACCTAAAATGATGTAAGCAAGTCGATGGCAATAAGACATCTTGAGACGCACCAAAAGAACCAGAGCCATTTTTTTTCCAAGCCTATATTTGCCACCAATACGAAGAGCCAAACTATGACACGAGGTGTCCACCATGGGCTGATAGATGTGAATATGAAGCCTGCAAGTGGGAAGAGTGAGTAAGAGACGGTGCTGAGAAAACGAAAGATTAAAAAAGAGATCAAAAGCGTTTGTATGAATCTGGTACACATTGTTGTATGAATCCAGTACACATCACGGATTATTCGCGTGTCTGATGAGGATAAGTTCATGATGATAGCTGAGTGGCGGCGACGACATTGGGCATCCAGACAAGTAAGAGATATGAATGCCTGGGAGACTCAGTCAGTGAGAAATGCTGTTGGTCACCACTGGGAAGAAAGAGGAGATAGGAAAGGGTTCACGCCCTCAGATTGGAGTAAAAAGGGGAGAGGAATGAGGTGGATTGGTATAAAGATGAGTGTGTCTGCGCTGGACGAGGAGGTTTGGTTTGGCAACAGATATGTATTCGAATTCGATTGGTGGTAGAATTGCTCCTCAGAAGGGTGGTCGTCAGCCTGGATGAGGAGGCAAGAGTCGTTCGAGGAGAGGGATATCAGCTTTAAGAGGGAACTTGAGCCTGGGCATGGTATACGGAGAGAGGGTGGTGGGCAAGGAAGAGAGACTTGACAGACGAAACACACATGCAAAGGGTGAGGTCAAGGTTGCTGATGAAGCTTGAAGGGTCACACACTGCATGGAACTGGGGAAGGACTGTTGTTCAAGCGTCATAGGACTGTCTTTTTTGAGGTTCGCGACAACTTCACATAGTGTGGGAAGGGTTTTTTCGCAGAGGTTCGTCATCCATTTGCAAGCAAAAAACAGTTCTCTCTGGGCGAAAAGACAGTTTTTGCGTTGTCTTGACCCTACTCGGCTCTGGCTAGAACCGCTGACATGCAACATCTAGGGACGTTGCCAAGCCTATCATTCAAAATCAGTGATTGCATAAATTCAAGCCAGGAGAACGGATTGGCAAGTGTTGGCAGTTCTCTTGCACTCCATTAGCCAGCTGAAATTTCTCCCCTGCAGCGGCTTCCTTCCTTCCTTCCTGCTCCTCTGCATTTGCTTCTGTGTTTAACTTTCCCTTGTCGAGAGTGCGCTGTCCCCATGGCTCAGATCTCAGCAGCTATTGACCCTGGCGCGGGTTGCTTGGCTGCATTCGCGACCTCCGTCGCATTGGCATCAAGTGCTCTGAAAACCATTCTGTAAGTTTCTGTATTCATCTGTGTACGCACCCTTGCTGCTGTTGCGAGAGCCGCCTTCCGTTTTCCTTGTCAGGCGTCGTCGTTCTCATCTGTCACTGCTATGGGCTTTTGTTAAGCCCATTGTCCCTTTCACCATCATCAAACCCCAGACGAACACCAACGAGGGCCCATCACCACATCAACAAACAGTGACAAGGGCCAATAACCACCACCACTTCCCACAACGAGGGCCCAGCATCACCGTCAATGAATGACGACGAGCGCCCACGACCCCTGTCAATGAAGGGTGACAAGCACCCACAACCATCAACGAAGCATGTTGAACGCCCACCACAGTCCACCACCATCAATGAATGAATACAACGATCAACCAACGGCCCACCACCTACAGCAACAAGGGCCCAGCATCACCGTCAAAGAATGGCAACCAGGGCTGCAACTACCACCACCTCCAATGAGGGCCCAGCACCTGTCAACGAACGGTGACGAGTGCCGACCACCACCACGAACCACGTCAAATACCCACCACCATGAACCACGTCGAGTGCCCATCCACAAACCACGTCGAACGCCCATCCACAAACCACGTCGAACGTCCATCTACCAATCACATTGAATGTCCATTCACCAACCACGTTGAATATCCATTCACCAACCACGTCGAACACCCATACGCAAACCACATTGAATGTCCATCCACCAGCCACGTCGAACCTGAACCAGTGGGGAGACCAGCACGTCAACTTCGTAACCAACCACGGCACACAGTTCTTTTCATGTGGGTGAGCCAAGTCCTGTGGGTACTAGATAGAGTAGATGTAAATAACTCTTGTGCTCCCCCTACAATTCATTGTTTTGTTTATGCTTTCGAATTGAAGTTTATCTCTATGAAACATATTAAAAGAGGAATACAAAGGATGTGCATTTAGCTGTAAGAGATGACAGAAAACATCAACCAGCTGTCTAAATGCTCAGCTGAGTTGAAAGCCACTGAATTTCCGCCATTGGCCTTGGTGCCCCAGCTGTCCCCGATGTTTGACCAAAACATCAAGGCAACATCAACCTGGTGACATGATGCTATTAGTCATTTTTCAACTCTTGGGAAATGTTACATCAGCATGTCTGACAGGTGGCGCAGGCTCAGGATCAGGCCCTGGCTTCCAGGTCTCTCACACATTTTTATCATTTGGCGGTGTAGTCCTCGACTCATGATCACTGGTATACTGTGCCTGAGTTGGCGGTCAGAAAACGTCACATTTTTTGGCATATGAACGTGACAGACCGTGACTTCCCAAAAAACAAAACTTCGCCATTTCTTCATTTTTTTTGACAAAAAAAAAGCAGAAATAGGTTGGATTATACCCAGGAGGCCCTGTCTCAAATTTCGTGGCAATATATTTTGTGGAAAGTTCGAGATCAACAAAGTGCCGACTCAGAGGGTCTGCCAAATTACTGATAGGGCATAGTAGCATTTTACCAAATTTTCAAAGCAAACAGCTAGGAACAGCTGCGCGGCGACGAATTTGAGGACAGCAAGGTATCCATTTCCAAGTTTACATTCTGTTGAGGATAAATTTCTGCCACTCAAGTTCTGCCTTTTGAGCACTAGGGAGAGGGATATAAAATAATTTACAGGTCAAATGTTTCCCATTCAGTGATAAAACGAAAACAAGTCAAGTTCTATAGTTGGGATTGGGTGGCCCTGGCAGCTTGCCTCTCTCAGTGCGCGACCATATCCCACTGTTGCCACCAAAGTTGGGGACAAACCGAACTCCCCTGTGCGGCTGTGGTTTTCCCTACAGTAATATGCTGTTCCGTTTCCAATAAACATATCCAACAGTAATTTTGGCACCCCAAGTGCTTGAAGGGTGATTCAAACCCGTTCTCCTGTCTCTAGAAATCCATAAGTCCGCATAAACCAGACCTTGAGACAACTTACTGAGGCTGCAATTCTAACTAAGTCCTAGTGAGATGGAATATCATGGGCGCAGAGGTTGGTGATGGCCTCCTTCACTGAAGTGGTTAGCTATGATGCCAACCGATGGAGTAATATATCTCCAATCAAGTTTCTCGATTGGACCCTATGAGGTATGGTTAGTATGTAATTGGCAGTTTGAGTGAAAAAAAAAAAGTAAGAGTCAACCATGGCAACTGCCCCCTGCAAGGTTCGAACTTGTGACCTCATGGCGTGCGGACAGTTCCAACCACGAGTGGCATATGGCAAGCCATGCCAACCACGGGGAACGTCACGTGTCTCTGCAAGCGAGTGTATGAGCGCTGTGGTCGTCGCCCTTCCACCATGACAGACGACAAGCACCTGCTCAACCGTCTCTCAACAATCTCTGCTCTCTACAACAGGCTCGATGGCTGCATGGACAGCCCAGGTCTCGAGCTGTCACAGTTCCTTCGAGAGCTAGGATTTCAGGCAGCTCAAGCCGCAGACTACGTCGACCAAAGGATTGCATCTCTGCCAACAGCTCTTCCTGCCACAGACCCCAACATAGACCCCAACATAGACCCCAGCATAGACCCCAGCATAGACCCCAGCATAGACCCCAGCATGGCTCCAAGCACAGCTCCCAGCACAAATGTCCCTCTTCAAGCGGCGCTGTCCACCATACGCACTCCCAGGCAAAGGATGGCAAGCTTCACGCTAACCTTGCAAACACCCCTCTCATTTCTTCTTCTAGACATCAGTGGAAATTGCCCAACAGCGATATGATTCCATTCTCGCGCATATACCTGAAAAAATCGACCCCTTTCAACTCCACGAATATCTATCGACAACTCACGACCAATCGCACAACAACAAAACACATGCGCAATCGGAAGACGAGGCATTCCGTCGCTTATTATGTGGATATGAAGCAGGTAGCGACGAAATCTGGGCAAGTCCTAACATCTTTATTGTTTCTTTTTTCATTACTTTCCACAGGAGAACCTTTTTCATTCCGTAACCAAGCCAAATTACAACGAAATCTACATCCAATCCAAAGCAAACAACGACTTGCCGCTAGCTGAAAGCCTTCACAACCGCGATTTGGCAAGTCTTCCCCACTTCCTATCCTTCTTTCTGACCAAAGCACAGTTTTTACACAACTGTCACTCAAACCAAACCATCGACCGCTACGTCAATTTTATCTTTCAAAGCATCGAAACTATAAAGTTTACCAAACATTGGAACGACCTCAAAACCCTACCACGTGGCCAATCAATCAAGAAACACCACCTCCTGCAACTATTCAAATCCCTCCACATCAACCTATACGAGGACCTCGCCGTCGCAGAAAACACACTCAATACCAAAATTGAAGAATGCGGGGACATGGTCGACCTTTACCGCGAATACGTCAAACAACAAAAGAATATGATTGAAGAAAATCTTCGCGTTTTTAAAGGTAAACATTGTCATGTCGTCACTGCCCGCAACACCCTACTTTCCATGTATACCAAAGTGAGTCATGCATTCTTAACATTCTTTTGCCAACTCCTTGTTACAAGTTTGGCAATGCCGTACTTTTCGACCCAGTATGGGATGCAGCCAGTCAAACCACAGCTTCAGGATTGCCTGGCCGTTCGGATTCTTTTCGCACGCTCATCAGTCTGTTTTGCAAAGGAGATCCCGTCCTCGACCCAGGTGCCGAAGAGGCTTTCCAATATATTACTTCAGCCTTGTGTATTCCCGATGTAGCCACTTTGTAGTACATCAACATGTTGTGTTGGCGCGTCCTGTTTATATGATCCAACATGTCCTGTTGGCACACCATGACATGGATCCTCCTCCCCTTGCACAGGCCTTCCACAACCCCAGAGAAAAGGCTATCAATCGTCTCATTCAACTAGGGGATGCTCCCCCTCCCATCATGAATGCTCCTCCCGATGATTCCGATAGATTTATCCGAAGGGCACTCCCTAAATCGCGCAAGGATGACACGGCACACCCACATTGGAAAAAACTGTTCGAGGACCTCAGCAACGATGGCCCTGCATTCATGGTAATCCTGAACGACTTGGACAGTTGGCTCACCACAGTCCAATCACATTCCTCGCCGAGCAGTCAGAAAAAGCATGATGCAATGGAGTTCAAATGGTCCAAATTCATCACCACACTCGAGCCTGGGATAAACGAGGACCGTATATGGCATTCAGATGTCATCCTCAAGCACAGTGACAAATTCTTGTATGTCCTTGTGAGTTTTCTTTCTTCTTCTTTCTTTCCTTTACTCTAATACTATCAAGAACCACCTCTCTCGAGGTTCAAAAGGGCACGAAAATGTAAAGGTGACAACACTCCAAGAGTACATGATGCTATTCATGTGGTGCATTGCCCGAAACTCAAGAGATCCCGATACGCTATCAACAAATGGCACGTTTCTACTTTCAAAAAAAGGGGTCCTCAAGATGCTAAATGATCAGCTATACCATAGTACATCTGTTTTTTCATTTTCATTTTCAATTTTTCATTCATTCTTTTTTTCAGTCATCAAAACCTTTGAACTCGACCGTCATCAAGACGAAAAGATTTATTTTGGTCATTCCGAAATCAAACTCATGATAGAGACTGCCCTCAAAAATTCTGCAGAATCTGGCCGCATTGCCACCATCCATTCAATTTGTATTCTTCTAACATGTTTTTACACGAGTATCCGACCAGGATCAATGGGTTGGTCCTTTGTTCAGTATCTACAAGAAGGAAAGGTACATCAGTGGCTTTTATATATATATATAGTAATCTCAACATTTCCTGGCATAGTTTCCCAAACTCGAGGATATCCAAGTGTTCTGTGATGGCCCCATGACATTTAAAGTCTTGCTAAAGATAAAAAATTTAAATGTTTGATGATTTCGTTTTTATTGCTACATGTTCTACCCCCTCAACTTGCCTGTTTTCAGGGACACAATACAACGGTGGATGGACAAATGTGTGAATATTGGCTCAAGCCAGTTCAACGGTGGGAAAATGTCATGTTTGACATTGCATTTTGGTTTGTACTTTATCTCATGGTTTGAGGTGCCTTGGTCGGAATCAATGTACATCCCAAGACCCCTTGTTCTCTCGTTTGCGTCGCTTAAACTCCATCCATCAAGACATTGGACGATCTTCGCAACCACACAAGTTACATCCTTCCGATCAAGGAAGAGAAGCTAAAGGAACCTTTGTACGTATCACAGCCATGCAAATGAAACAACTATTCACCTGGATTGAAGGTTCCTCGCTTGTACCACCGCAGGCCGTGACTTTGATATACCCCTTCGACCAATGTCGTCACATGCCGCATCTGCAGCATGCAGTAACCTGGCTCGAGAGGCTGGTATGATCAAATCAAGTTTGTATTCAATTCGGAGGGAAACCGCCAACCGGGTAAGACTATTCATAATCCTTTTTTTTTGTCGTTGAGTATTTCATTAGTATGAACTGCTTATTGGAAGAGCGCACGCTTCACTCATCATGGGCCATGTCGATGCAGCGTCTTTGAAACATTACTCTCACAACACTGGCAATATTGATCTTGTCGGAATCACTATGAATGAACTTCTAGGAAGTCATAATATCAACGATTTAGTATGTATCATCCCAAACTTACTGGCTGACAAAGCTCAATAAAATTTAGCACGCCCATGAAATGAACAAAGATTCAACACCCGCCATTCAGGCTGTTCTCGCACTCGTCAATCTCACAGCAACAGAAAATGAAGATAACATCACCCCAGTCAACCCCAAGCTCTCACCAGAACAAAAGCTAGAGCTTCAGATGGTAAGAACACTTTACAACTTATCCACATGCTTTCTTATGCTAGCTCATTACAGGCGGATCCAATAATGACTGAGCTTGCCATAGCAGAGTGCAACACATGGGACACTTGGGTTGCATGCTACACAGCTCGCTCTAATGGCACTTGGTTTGGTTGTACGTTGTCAGTCGTCAAATGTTTCTTGGCAGCCGATGGTGTTGAACCAATCGTAAGCCAAGATATCATTGACAAAGTAAGTAGTGACTTTATTGTTACGATCTTACTACTGAACCTTTTCCAACAAGGCTTTCACAAACGTCAAAAACGCTGTCGCCGCTGCTATCGATTGATGGAGATATGTTAACAGGCGGGGTCAAGTAAATCTAGATGCTAAAGAAAACGAAAGACGTGTGACATCCCTTAAAGCGAGTATGCAAGACATGAGAAATGCTGCTGATCAACTTGCCAAACCATCACACTATCTCACTGCGGCAGCCGCTCCAATTTCAACCCTACTTCCTGTTCCTCCTCCACCAGGTCCATCCACTTCATCTTCTATTCCATACCCTGAAGATGAATTCATTCAGCAGCTGGCAGCCAAAATGCAAACCAAGGAGGAGGAGGAGCAGGATGTTGAAGAAAACGAGGAAGGCGTAGATCTTGAAATCGAGGGTTTTTACAAATCCGCTGTCAGATTCATCAGTACCGGAGGAAAGCCTGATGACTCGAGAGGTAAACCTGATGACCTGCGACTGCTTGTCGACGAAAACGAGGTAGCAACGAGCATAGCAGACTTGGAGGCACCACCTCCTGCAGACGTAGAGTTTACTGCGTCGGAGATCCGCTCCTCTTTCATGGCAGTCGTTCTACAACCAATCTTGCTTGAAAGATCATTGAAGGCCATGTCAGACGTAAGACCATTTCTACTTTCTCTAAAATCTTGTTGATGTTTTTTATTTCATTTTCTAGGAGAATGATGGTAAATGGCAGTGTCTGCATTGCCAAAGGCTTTATGGTCATGACCCAGAGGCACAAGATCATGACTATAAATCGAAATACCATTTAGAACGCCACATGTAATGCACTCTCCCATTTGTTTTGCTCATTTACTGACCTATTCTAGCTCAAGTAAACACACAAAGTGGATGGACCTTGTTCTTCAAATGCTCACATCACACGATGATGTGTTCAAATGTCCAACTGAGGGTTGCACCTTTATGTTGGTGTTTTTATTTTTATTATTTGACTTTATTGAAAACATTTCTGCTAGGGCCAAAACTGAGGCTCGCGTTCGCACACACTGCCTTGAAGATTGCATGGAATGCGACTTATACGTTGCCCTGGCTGACGCCCACAACGAACAGAAAAAGGAGAGACAGCCCAAAGGCTGCACCCAAATCTCAAGTGCCCAGGTCGCAAAGCAAAGTCTAAGACGCAGGTATTGTTATACTGAAGTATTGAAAGAGGTCCAGTCCATCGTTGATGATTTTGATTTGGAGGATGAGGTAAAGACCAACACCAAAAAAATCTTTCGTCTATACTAATTGCTTTTATATTACAGAAACAACGCATGGCATTGCAGGCCGTTGTCGATGGCCTGGTCAACCAGGCTAATAGTTTCTTCATGGCAGATAACAGCATGCCAGTCACGGTGTCAGAACTCACTGACCTTGCTGATGAACTTTCTGAGTTGTCAGAAGCTTCCGAGGACTCTGACTAATGGTATTGACAAGAACGAGAACTTTTTTTATCAATTCTATGCAGTCGGACTTATGTTACATGTATTACAACGAGAATGTGAACTGTTCATCAACTCTATGCAGTGAGACTCTGTGCAGGGGACAAGGAAGATATACGGCAACTCGTTCTGGGATCACTGATGAAGTGGTAAGTGAATGCGCGTGTCTTTTTGAGAATTCTATGCAGTAGGAGGAGGAAGGGAAGTGGTGACTGGTTCTGGGGCCAATGATGGAGCTTGTGGTGGACAAGTGGAAAAGTAAGGAGGAAAAATGGGTGGTGTCTGGTATGTAGCGGGAGGGGGAGGAAGAGAAGCAGTGACTAGATCTGGGGCCAACGATGGAGCCTGCCATGCACCAGAGGGAAAGTGGGGTGGAAAAATGGGTGGTTGCTGGAAAATAGGCTGGGGAAAGTAGGACGGCTGGTGGTAGTAGTTGGTACCTTGAGTGGACGCATGGGCGACTGCGGTGTCCCTCATCAAGCGCATTTTTTCCGAGTTCAAAAGCTTGCTGCTGTTGGTCGACCTCTGCCCTTGCCCGCTCCCCAGCAGTTTACAGATACACAATGAAAAATAATGGGTGCAGATGCACACTTGGTATTGACAGTTATGGTGCCCACCTGAAGCACCAATGGGCATGACAATCTGATACTGGTGTCTTGGTGCCCACTCACATTTGTATTCACTACACAATGCTGGACACAGGCTATTTGTGACCCTGTCAACAGCACAAAGTACATACAGTGGCACTTGAAAGAATTGTGCCCCCTGTAGAGCAGAAAAGATTGTGCACCCTGTGGAGTGCAAAAGAATTGCATCCCTCATGGAGCTTGAAATAATTGCGCTCCCCATGGAATGCAAATGATTTCACCCCTCATGGAGCTCGAGATAATTGTGCCCCCTGTAGAGCTTGGAATAATTGTGCCCCCATGGAGTGCAAATAAATTGCGTCCCCGTGGAGCACAAAATAATTGCGCCTCTAGAGCACAAAATAATTGCACCCCAATAGAGCGCAAATAATTGTGCCCCTTGCAGAGCTCAAAATAATTGTGCCTGTAGAGCACAAGATTTTCGCCCCTCATGGAGCTCGAGATAATTGTGCCCATTGTAGAGCTCGGAATAATTGTGCCCCCATGGAGTGCAAAAGAATTGCACCTATAAAGCGCAAAAGAATTGCACCCCAATAGAGCGCAAGATTTTCGCCCCTCATGGAGCTTGAGATAATTGCACCCATTGTAGAGCTCGGAATAATTGCGCCTCCATGGAGCACAAAAGAATTGCGCCCCCCATGGAGTGCAAAAGAATTGCGCCTTTTGTGGAGCTTGCAATAATTGCACCCCAATAGAGTGCAAATAATTGCGCCTGTAGAGCCCAAAATTTTCGCCCCTCATGGAGCTCAAGATAATTGCACCCCCTGTAGAGCTCAAAATAATTGTGCCTTCCCTGGAGCACAAAAGAATTCTGCCCCTTGTGGAGCTTGAAATAATTGTGCCTCTGGAGCACAAAATAATTGCACCCCCCATAGAGCACAAATAATTGCGCCCCTTGTGGAGCTCAAAATAATTGCACCTGTAGAGTGCAAAATAATTGCACAGGTTAGGACTTGCCAACAAGACCAATGGGCACAGTGCATCAGTGCCATAAATGCCATAGGAACATAGTGACTTGGCACCCACTCACATGCACATTCACATTGGGCACACTTGACATTTCATGCAAAAAGATAATGGGTGGAAACACACACTGGAAAATAACAGACACAGATGCATACTTAGTGCAGGTATAAGTGATTTGGCACCCACTCACATTTGGTGCACATTCACATTGGGGTGCACTCTGACATTTCGTGTGCATTCATGTTGAGCGCACTCTGACATTTGGTGCCCATTCACATTGGGCGCACTTTTCATGCATTCACATTGGGAACACTGGCATTTAATGCACATTCACATTGGGTACACTCTGATGGGCACACTCTGACATTTGGTGCACACTCACATTCCAACATTTCATGCATTCACATTGGGCACACTGACATTTTGTGCCCATTCACATTGGACGCACTCTGATGGGTGCACTCTGACATTGAAACAATGGATTTGTAATACCAGTTATGGCACCTGCCTGAAGCACTGATCAGCACAACAATGGCATTGGTGCAAAGTGTGAGTTATTTTCAATAGGAGCGCCCATTATTGGCAGGCACGCACCTGTTCAGCCAAGCCATCACTATGGATGATTTGTTGAGATGTCGGCTGAGTCCGCTGGCCCCATATGGTATGAAGCATTGTCAGGTTCAGTTGGTCCATTTGGTAAGGGCTAGGGTCACTGTCATATGTGCATTGGGAGTCTGAATATTTTCTTAAGTAAAGGCAGGTAAATTTATTTTTGCCCAGTATCATGGGTGGGAATAATCCAGCTGCCATCAAAATGAGAATGCACTTGCATTCTCGTTATTGAACAGACCCTTATCTTATATATGAAGTATGGTTGGTAATTGGGAGTTTGAGTGAAAAAACAAACAGCCACATTGTAGCAGTGCCCCCTGCAAGGTTCGAACTTGCGACCTCAGGATTACCTAATCATAAGATTAGTCATATTTCTATGAGACCTGCGCTCTAACCAACTGAGCCAAGAAGGCGATGTTACTGTCTGGTTCATCTTGAACTTCTCGGCTGACAGCTTCGATACACGGTACGAATGCTCTGATGACGTCATCAACGCGTCTACTTATCTATCCTTCCAAGTTCCAACCGTTGACCTTCCTCACACGCACATTACAATGTCCGGTACGCGCCTCTCTCTTTTCAACGTACCCCAATCACTAACTTACACAAACCACCAGCAACCCAGAGCGCCCTCATCATCGGCGCAACAGGCCAAACGGGCCGCTACCTCCTCCAAAACCTCCTCTCCTCCCCCCACTTTACCCGAGTCGGTGAGTACGGGAGACGCGTGACGGCCTCTGAGCATATCACGGCGGGGAAGGACAAGTTGGAGCAGAAAGTTGTTGATTTTGAGAAGATCGAAGAGTATGGGCTTGCGAGTGGGAAGTGGGACGTCGTGTTCATTACGTGAGTCGTCTTTGAAACGACTCTTGAGTTTGCGCCCTGAGGTAGTGATGGGTTCCATTCAGGCTTGGAACTACGAAGAAAGACGCGGGGAGCGCGGAGCAGTTTGAGAAGATTGATAGGGAGTAAGTGCTGGGACAACTCTCGACGACTCTCTCATTGAATGAAGTGTATCAGATACGTTCTCAGGTCAGCAAAGGAAGCCAAAAGCTCTGAGATCTCTCAACGACTCGTATACCTCTCCGTACGCCGTTTAACCCTTATCCGTCATGCAAATACTTAGTCCTGTCGTGTCTCAGTCAGGAGGCGCTAGCTCTTCCTCCCCGTTCTTATACCCAAGGTTCGTCCTTCCCCTGAGTTCCCCTTTTTTCCAAAAATTCCATTCTGAACTCGACAAAACCAACAGGAGCAAAGGCCTAACCGAAGAAGGCCTCGCGAAACTGGGGTACAGCGACACCATCATCTTCCGTCCCGGGATGCTCCAAGGCACAGCACGCGAACATCCCAGACTGGCTGAAACGATCTTTGGGTGAGGAAGGGCCTCATCTCTTCCCCGCCGTTGATTGACATCTTTCTCAGAAAAGTAACCAGTGTCCTCTCCCACCTCTCCGACTCTATTGAAATCCAGGTAATTTCTTCCATCTAGAAAGGAACCATTCTTTTTTTTTATGTAACTCGTTTTTTATAGATCTCCGCACTCGCAAAATCGATGTACCTCGCTGGCAAACTGGGAAGTGACGGGCTTCCAGATCCCGTAGGTGCAACAAAGGAGGACGACGCGGGCGGGTTTGGGTTCACGTCCATCAACAATGCGGGTGCTATTGCTTTGTCCAAAACGGAGGCATAGGGGCCTAGGAATCAGTGATTTTTCATACGGAGGGAACATTAGGATGGGAGTTCAAGGGTTTTTCTATGCAGGGGATCTGGAAGCTTAGTCAATTTGTAACTTTTTATGCTGCGGTTTATTTTCTGGTTGGAGGGAGTTTGGAAGGTGCTAGCTACCAGGCAAGCAAAATCTACTATCGAATGGTATCGATGACGAAAACAGAATAATTATACGACTGGGGCAAGGTAGAGAGCGAGAGAGCAAGGTAACGAAATAACAAAAAGAGTGACGAGCAGTAAGTACTTCAGAAATAGACAAATGTAAGTATATCATACAAAGCAGAGCGAGGGAATAACGATAAAGACACCTGCGTAGAATCACTCACAGCAACCACGACCTCTATGACCTATCCGACTTTCCCGAATTCGAATTCGACTGCGCAAATATAGGAAAAGGCAACGAATACCTCTTCGTCAACGTCCTCAACCGCTGATACGTCTTATTACTCCCCTTCCCCCCAGACGTCGAATCACCCCGCATCAGCCCCTCCACGCGCTCCGCAGGCGTCTTGGGCGCATCAATGTTCATCCATATAGACGGTATATTCTGCGCTGGTACATGTTGTCCTGATTGTTTCGTAGTGGAGGATTTACGACGCGTCAGGTAAGTGAGTGATGATTTCCGCCTGGGGAGGGGGAGGGAAGGTAGGGTTTTGTTGAGGGATATACTACGGGTGGGTGGTGTGCGAGGGACGAGTTGGATCTCTCCATCGTCCTCGTTGCTTGACCGTGGGTCACGTCGGTGTCGGACGTAGATGTCGTCTGCCGTAACTATGCGTGTGGTTATCATTCTGTGGTTTTGTGTTTGGGAGGTGGTGGGTGGTACGACGTGGATCGACTCGAGGCTCGTCCGCCTGCGGACTGGAACCAACTTAGGCTCGTCAAGAGGTGGCAAGGTGCCAATGTTGGCCGAGGTGAGGTTGGATGAGAAAGAGGTGAATTGGAGGGGGAGGCTAGGTACGGGCGGGTGGTCCTCTGGTCGACTTGGGCCGGATTTCCGATGGAAGATGGGTGGTAGGCGTAAGCTCCCTTGCGAGGTCCTGTGGCTCCGGATCTTCGCAGCTGAGATTTGAGACGCCCGGCTCCCGTCCCCTCGTAAACTTCGGGTACTCCTGTGACTGCGCGCGCTTCGATTGCTCTGCACGCTACGAATGCTTACTGAATCAGGAACGTCAACAGAAACGTCGTGGTCTCTCGGGTCCCTGCTGAACTTGGGCGAAAGTGGCGAAAGCGGTGAGGTGGAAGAAGAAGGGGAACGTAAGCTCGGCTCGACAGAGAGAATTTGAGGCGTTTGAGGTGCTACGTCTGCTCGAATGTCGTGTGATGTGGGCGAACGGGACAATGAGATTTTTTCAGCCGTTTCAATGACGGCTTCACCCATGTCTGAGATGACGGCGGTGTCAAACTCGTCCATCTCTCGCGCCATTTTTTCTGCTTCGTTCCAAGCGTCTTCTAGTTCTGCTTCTAGTTGGGCGATGCGTTCTTTGGTTTTGGCTAGTTCTGTTGTGCGTCGGCCGTAACTGGCGTTTAGCTGGGGGACTTGTCAGAGGATGTTGTGTGATTCAGAGAGAAGACGTACCTTGCGGAGTGCGATGGCTAGGGCACTTGCCCAATGGCGATCAAGAAGCTTTGTGATTTGCGTGACGTGGTCAGTTATCTTCATGAGCTCTTCGAGCAGTCGATCACATTCCCCCGTGGTTTCTGATAGCTGTACGGTCAGTTTACTAATGACGCCCATCGTATCCTCCCCGTTATTCGCGACGCTTGAGATTGAATGAAGAGCTTGCAGTAACATGGTCCTCCGGTGGACAAGAAAACGGTACTTGGATTGAGTTACGCCTTTCAAGGCCTCCAGCCTCTCCAGTTCTGCAGGCAAAACGGTGTCGAGGTTCTCAAGAGTCAACAAACGGATGTAGGATTCTTGAGCGGATGAACGAATGGCGCAAGAGACGATGCTCTGGAGTTCGCGCGAATCCAATGTCCCTGGATTGACGAGGGTCAGTTGGAAGGATATATCATTTTAGCACGCGACGTACATAGTGCGGCTTCGAGTGGCAGCCCTTTCCAGGGAACTGGGACAGAGTCGAATTTGATTACGGGGGCTGGGACAAATTTTGGTGGTTGGGTGACGGGTCTGACTGCGTGAGGGCGGTGGGAAGAACGGCGCGATGGAGGGCTGACATGATCGTCGTATGCAGGCGCGGAGACAGGCTCTTCTTGTGCTTCAGAGTTGAGCGACGATTTTGAGAAACGATCCTCCCGAGGTGATACCGGTGAGTCTTGGGAATATTCGATATTGATGTTAGACGCGCGGTGTCTCAACCTAGGACCAGCGGGGGGCTGAATGGGACGGTGAAAGATTGTGCTAGCACGAGAGAAGGTGGGTGAATGAGGAGTGGGTGCCAAAGAACGAGAAGAACGAGTGGTGAGGGTGCTGACACGGGTGCTGCTTCTGTCCATGATTTTCGTCGAGTACAACACCCGCCAGCCGATGGTAACACACCAACCCGATGGTCGTTGTCACCAATAATGATTTCGATCACTGCACGGCAGCACACGGTCCGGCCAACCGACACTTTCAATTCGCGCACACGTTCACTTTGCAATGCTCAAATTTAACCCCGTCGCGTCGCGTCTTCCCCTCTACCGACAACCCCTTGTTCGCTGTGCACTCCTACCAAAATATCAACGCAATGCCTGGCCCTCACTCAACCTACGACGCACCTTCTCCACATCACCCACTCCAAACCCAAACAACTTGAAGCTGAGAGAAAACATCTACACCATCCCCAACTTCCTTACCGTATCCCGCATAATTGCTTGTCCTGTCCTAGGGTACGCCATCTTGGACAGCAACTACGCTTTTGCAACGGGCTTACTGGTCTATGCGGGCCTCACCGATTTGGTCTGCCCCGCCCGTTCTTACACCCGTTAAACCCATCTGAACTTGGCCTCCCCTTCTCACTCAAAGGTCGACGGGTACCTCGCGCGGAGGTTCAATATGGCCTCTGTTCTTGGAACTATACTCGACCCCGCGGCGGACAAGGCCCTCATGACGACGTTGACTGTTACTTTGACGATGCAGGAGCTCATTCCACGTACGTTCTCTTCTTCTTACGTCCACCTTTGACTACTGACGAGAGTCCCTAGTCCCACTTGCTGTTATCATTCTCGGACGTGACGTTCTACTGAGCCTCTCGGCTTTCTACATTCGTTACGCAACATTACCCCATCCAGTACGTGTTTCATCCCTTCACACAGAAAAGATACCCACAACTCCAACATAGAAAACATTTGCGCGGTACTGGGACTTTTCACTGCCCTCTGCCGAAGTCCGACCCACAACAATCAGCAAAGTAAGTCACCAAAACCATTAACCTCATCCACCTGATATCTTCCTAGGTAAACACCGCCCTCCAACTCTTACTTATGGGAACGACAACCGTCAGCCCTCTACTACCCCTCGACTTGGGTCTCTCTCTACAAGGACTCCAGTACGCCACCTCCCTCACCCCTCCTCCTCCCAGTCTTGCTGACAGATACACCAGATGGCTCGTAGCCACAACTACAATCTGGTCTGGTGCATCCTACCTATTCACCAAAGACGCAGTGCGGGTCATAACACAGCCACCACGCAAACCATCATGACCACTTGCGTTGTACATTATCATTATTCCGGGTATAATACACATTGAAAGCACAAAACATCAAGTCCAGGCAGTGGTTAATGAAATAACGACGACACCGTTGTCTGTGCACGTCTTCTCGGGGAGCGCAGTTGCTAATCCATGTCAAGAAACAGTGACCTACACCAAGCGAATTCAGAATGGGTGTATGTACTCAGGATTGAATTCATCGGAGTGGTGGTACCCTTATGCAATATGAAAAGGTTCAACGCCAAACTTTCCAGGCCATACGCGAGGGCCTGAACGTCGTCCGAAGTGCGCGAAAATTGCTGGCAACTGCATATGGAACCCTTTTGGCGGCGCGGCGCGAGTTGTCAACCTACCTAGGGGAGGATAAACTCAATATCAAGGGGCGTTATTCGTATTCGGGGGAACACATACGTTCGCTGAGCCGTTGCCGTTGCCTTGTTGAACTGCCTTGCTTTGCATCGATGTCTTTAAAAAGAGACTGGGCCAGATAATATCACTCCTTGCCTTTACCACCCTTTTTCGGTGAATCGATTTTGGTAGTCCTGAGATGAGGAGATTGTCAATGCGTAGGTACTGACGTTCTCGTCTTTATGAACAGGTCGCGGGAGAGAAGCTGTCGTGGTGGATGAAGAAGCCTCGACAGGCTTTACCCGCATAAAATCCCTAGGGGAATCTTAGGACAAAAGGCGAAACGACAGTGAAGCAACGAAGACTCTACAGGCGCATCGACGCCAGATAATGAGTCAACCCTGGAGGACCGACGACGTTCAACATTTTGATTGTGGCGTTTGCGAATGTCATCAAGAGGCCTGAAGTTTGCATAAGTAGTCCAAATCGTCAACGGACAAGTCCAAGTCTCCAGAGCGTAATTCTCACTAGCAAGTCCGCCTGCTCTCTCGAGCCCAACTTGCGTAAAAAAAAATGCCCCGAGTCTTCCTCCAATTACGCCGGCTTTGCAAAAAAGCACGGTTTGTGCTCTGGCGAGGGATACTTACGGTGGTGAGAACGGATCCCACTAGTCACTAGTCACTGCCAAGCACTCACCTCAGTCGGTCGCAGCTCTACTTATCAAAAACCATCCCCACAGTCGACACCCAAAGTTACTCAACGTTTCTCACTTCATTACTCCTGGGACTTGTCCAGGTTCAAGAATGCTAATCAAGAAGTCCATCTGGAGGCCTCCTCAATCATGGTTCAAACTCCACCTATAACATGAAGCCCACCGTTAGTCGTGCCAACATCTTGAAAGGCCAACACAAACTTTCGACGGGGCTACAAAACGTGAGGAGGGTCGCCGTCAAATTACATAACAAACTAAAAATAGAGCGTTGTCTCTCTTTCTCCACATTAATGGGTTGAGGAACAGCCGCGGCTCATCGTTGGCCTGTCATTCTGCAATCAGCTGCATCGTTCTAACAAAACCCTATCTGTTGCAGAGTTGAACGCTGGGAATGAGCAAGGAACCAAAAGGTGGAGACGACAGTCACGGTCTCTTGGTATAATTATCTAAATATTTCGATTTCAGAAAAAGTTCCTCTTCACTTCGTCGATCGATACGACAAGGCAAACAAAAAGAAAGCCTTGGTGCGTTGAACTTTTCTTGAGCTATACCTTCAGTTTAACTACTCCTGTCTCATCGCCAGCTATTCCAAGTCCTGCCGCAGATGCCAGCGGATCAACTCCGACCTCCTCGGGTCCCCAGCAGCTTCGTGACCTCCCAAAAATTGACCCTTATCCCTTTTCCATATTAGCCGTCGTTACTATTATTCATCCTGCAAATGGTGTGGAATTGTTCGAGTGGCAAGCTTATGATCGTCTACCCGGACCTGAACTACAGTTTGGTGTCCATGTTGAAACCCTTTTGACTGCATGTCAGATTGTCGCCAACAACGAGCCCGGATACCTCTCAAAACATCAAGGTCGCGACGATGAACGAATAGATGTCGATCTCGGTTCAATTCTCGCTCCCGGTCACTACTATTATCACGTTGAAAAGGTCGCGCTGAATCCATACCCTATATGCCGCGACTTCAAGAGCTGGACTTTCCCACATGGAGACATGCCTCGTTCTTGGTCCATAAAATCTCCAGCACTTCCAAAGAACTTACATTGGGGCTCCTCCTGGAGTGCAGTTAGTTTTATTGTCAAGCTCAGGGATAAGAAGTGTCGCGTAACCGGATCCAGTGAGTGGCTCTCAACGGCACATCTCATTCCCGAAGAAGAGAGATCCTGGGTGAGTAGAATATACCATCTGATCTATCGCACCACCTTACCCTCTGACTTGTTAGCTGCGACGGAATAAGATGTATGCGTACCTTGTAAGAAAACCACCACATTACCAGTCGCCCTGCAACTTGCTTGCGCTTCGGTACGATTGCCACCTCGGCGGATTTGATCGTGCACAGTTTGTTTTTGTACCGAAGTGGGGTAAACTGGCTGTGCATTTCCTCTGCGACAGCATGGAGTTCGCAAATCAGTACCACAACACCATTTTCCATGGAGATGCCCTATCGATCGAAGCACTGTACAGTCGCTTTGCTTGGGCAGTTCTCAAGCTTGTTGCAGATACGACGAAGGATTCGGAGGATTTCGAGTTTGTTGAGATGCCAAAAGAAAATGGGAAAGGGGGTGGAAAAGGAGGAGGTAGCTCACGCAAGCGGAAACGCGAAGATGAGGATGGCGGTGAGGGGGATCAAGATTCCGAAAACAATAAAGACGCCGCCGACCAAAGTGGCGCCTATCAAACTGCCAGTCGAACTCACAAGCGGCCCGATGTTCTGTTACATGGACCCAACGCTTGGCTTTCCGATGTTCTTTCTCAATTAGATGATGGTACCGATGCTCGTGAACTTGAGGAAGATCTGGACACTGCAGCTTGCCTTCCTTTTTTAGGTTTTTTAGGTGTGTGTGAATTCAACACACTTGAGTTTGTGCCGCTGACATTGAATTCAGTCGATTCCAACATTGAACCCACGGCTTATCAATGGGAATTACCATGGTACCCTGGTGTCAGTGTCGTCGAGAAACTCAAAAAGAAATACATTGTAGAACATCCAAACGTTCGAGCACACAATCTTCCAGAAATGAGCAATGAATCACAAAGCAACGGCGTACTTGACGATGGTGATTGATCATAGAATCCCATTCTACTTTTTGCCAACAAACACCGATGACACCATAGCTGCTCGTTTTCTGCACACGTCTTCGAGTGCGGCAGCTAACCCAGAGATCCCTCGAGTGCCTTTCAGTGGACGGGGAAGATGGGCAGCTACACCGCGTGAAACTTGACGAGGCTCAAGACAACAATTATCATCGCAACCTTCTTCCACTTGGGTGCTTTCTTCGTAGATGGAGGAGACACCACAACGGTGAACACGATTCTCGCTATCGAAGCGAAGGTCGTTGGCTCGCTGAACGAAACTCTAGTATTGGCAGTTGCGTAAGCGACAAATAGTGAAGATGGAACGCACCTCTTCTCGTACTTCCTCAACAACTCCAAGAGATACTTCTTTTGATACACCAGGCCATCTCTAAAACATGTTTCCTGACAAATTAGGCTTCCAGATACCGAATCTGCAGCATGAGACCTTTACGCTCTTTATAACGCTGCAACTTCATCGCAAACACCTGCTTCTCAAGCCTACATTGAAAAACTCAGTAAAAATCATCGTTTCTAAGACAGACGCAAACAAAAGAGGAAAAACTCACGCAGCACATACATGCTTCCTCAATTCATCAGTCGCCGAGGCTCGCCCTCCCCGTCTTCTCCTGCTCCTTCTCCAACTGCTCATTCAACAACATCACCTGCGCCACACACTGCTTCCTCGCCCTCTGACCCTCGCCGCTTCTTCCTTAAGCCTCCCCTCAGCCCTTTCCTTCTCCCCACGCAAAGTCTTCAAATTCTTCCCAAATGCCTCTGGGTCCCTCCTCATCCGCTTGAGGTCGTTCTGAGTAGGGCAACTGTTTTAGCGACGTCATTTTTTCCAGAGAATTGCTCCGCGCGTTGGAGCCCGATTGCTTGGTACTACAGCACGTGACGGAGGTCCTTATGGTCTGCAGCCAGAAGAGGTTGCTCTTGCCTCGGCTCTCTGCGTTCTCTGCGACGGGTTTCTCCAGGAGACGTGCCTTTTGCTCAGCGTTGGTGTTCCCTGGGAAGGAAAGGGACATTACAAAGTAAAGAACCGCCTTGAGATGCAATGAAACACCTCTCAGCTCTGTCTCCACCTCCAAGTTCTCCTGCTTGACTCTCTGCAACTATTGACGAACATCATCCGTGTCCTATACACGGGAAGGCTAGTACGCTTGTGACAGCGAAGCGACGTGTGGATTCCGTCCTCATCCTCTGGAGTGGAATCATGACTTGCTTTTTCTCCCGAGCCATACGATCCATCCGCCACGTCTACATTGTGAGCCACCCCTCCCCTCTTTAACATGCCGGAATTGGAGGACCATTCGAGGCAGTTGTCGGTATTGTGACTTGGGCACTGAAACCCCCGTGTTGTTCGTCTCCTTCTCCAGCGCTGTGTAGAAGTCACGTGGATGCCTTTGAGGTGAGGGCGAGGAGATGTAGGAGTGTAAGCAAAGCGAAGGTTACACGGGTCTTGGGAATGAGTTGGCCTCGTCGCAAGAGTTGAACATGTTTGGGGACTGCGGCCTCACAGTTGCAGTAGTCAATGGTAACGTCGTGAATGCCACTTGTGTGATGTGAAGAACATGAAGGCAATGGCAATGCTCAGGAACAGGGCATCACGAGCGACGTCTTGACGAAGTGCGTTTCGGCCCATCTCTAAAGTTGCTCTAGTCAGGATAAGAACAAGCGGTTACACAGTGCTGTATCTTGAAAAAGAGTCGGAGAGGAAAGAACGGTCAAAAGCGTTTTAATTGATTGGTGGTGGTCTATGCATGTATGTAGTATCAGAATAATGCGGTGTCTTGGTTGCAAGTCTATCAGAGTAAGCGACGAGAACGATAATGAGAATTAAGATATGAGATGTCAGATGAGTTGAGGATATATGCAGAACGACAATGCACAAGAAGAAAAATTGCACGATTGAGAAAGCATCAGGTCAAATCACAGTCCATGTCAACAGCCTCGATAGCTGCAGCTTCTTCTTCGTCTCCCTCCTCGATAGTATCATAGAAACTCTGCTGAAGTGCTGGCAGGTAGTAGCCTATTTTCCACATATTCCCAATCGTCAGATTCACATGGTCGAATGCAACAGCAACGGTGGGTTCTGTACTGCCACTCGCTCGCGGTTTCAAGCCTGAAGGCGGCATTTTGGGGTAACGAGCGGAAAAGTGGGTGAGGAGGATGTTGGAAGCTTTCATCCTAACAAGGTTTGAGTGTAAACTTCACGCGAATGCAACGCAACATATTGCGCAAAACGTACCTTTTCCCGATGGTAATGGCTTGACCGAACGTACTATGTCCTTTGCGTTTTGCCATGTCTTCTTGATCGTCGGCCATTGTAGCTTCGTGGATCAGAAGCGTTGCCCCACGGCCAGCTCGAACAAGATTATCGGTAGGTTGTGTATCACCGGAAAACCTGTGCACAGCGGCAGGTGAGTATGTGCCATTATACAATATAGAAGAAAGAAGGTTAAACGCACACGATGCTCCATCCGTCTACATGGGTGACAACACAACCGTAACACCGAGCATTGTGATAAACGTCAACAGTCTTGAAGCTCTCCAATCCAAGAGCGCGACACATATCGCTGCTGTGTTTACGAGACCTAACCAAGGAGTTTAGCGGAAGTGGAAGGAGATACCGTTTCACAACTTACGCCTCTCTATCAACCCAAGGCTCGTTTCCACCAACCTGCCACATTCCCCCTGTAGCATAGTCCGTACGTCGATAGTGGAGAGCTTCACTCTGGATCTGAACGACGCCATTTCCGGAAGGGTCGTTCAGTCCTAAATCCTGGATATCTGATAATTCTCGGAGGTACATGTTCACTCCACGAATCGTGACGATATAAAGAGGCTCTGTGGGTAACGGGTTGAGCTGAAGTGAAAATGAGTTGTGGGCCACAATGGACGGCAGATAAAATACGAACTGAACGACGTTTGGTAAGAATCATTGAGAGACCGAGATGATGATCAGCGTGAATGTGGCTGATAAATACGCATTTGAGATTTCTGAGCACATCCCAAACGTTCGGGGACGACGTGTCGTCCGTCCCAAAGTAACGGACCAGCTGACCCCATGTGCTTTCACCAGCATCGAGTAAGATGTTTCCCCATCCAGGAATTTGGATGAGAGTTGAAGAGACTAGGAAAAATTTGGATTTGGATATAAGGAATTGAGAATTTCAAAAAGGTCTGTGCACCGACCGTTGCGGTACTTGCTGGGAAGAGCGCTGCCAGTGCCAAGCGGGAGGACACCAACTTCAGCGCCTTTGGGCACATCCATTCCATTCTCGAGGGCATTAGCGACGTTTAAACGCGCTGCAGCAAACTTCCCCGAGGTAAGCTGCGACAGGTCGAGAGATGAAGATTTTTTCACGGCTGGATGGAATCTATCTCCGCCTCCAGGCAAATTCTCTATTATGGGCGGAGCTGGAGGCCGCATGTTCATGTAGAGGTTAGACGCCATTATGTGGATCTTCTCCGGTAGGCCCGCAATGTCTAAATGTTCCACCGTAGTTAAGTGTGAGCTCGGTCAAAAGCATGAACGAACCCACCTGAAAATTTGGTCTCTGGATCGAGGCGGTATTTGGGTACTGGAAACATGGTATTATCGAGCTCACTCAGGCGAAGTTGGTTGAAAGCGGCGCTCGTAAAGGTGACCGGGTCAGGGCAGTGTTCGCGAGATGCAACAACGTGCTGTAATGATGCTCATCAGTAAGGCTTTACCTCACGAGTTATACTGCAAACCTACGTTTACGTCAGGTGCAAACTCTTTCATGAAGGCCTTGTACCGTTCGTCTCCTAGGACGTTGTCGCCACATAGGTGGAAAATATTGCGCACAGCGTAGCTATCTGAGGTTCCGGGAACCTTTGATAGGAACTGCCTGAAGAATTCCGAATCCTTGAAAGAGGATACCAAGTCGGGTATATGATGGGTTGAAGGAACGTCCAAAACGATGATCACCTTTCGAATGATCAGAACCAATATGGTGCGGTAGATGAGATTTATATATACCCCAGGAGTTTCACTTGGTCCAATACACTCTTCCGGTTTGACTGTCCTTTCAAACTCCTCGTCGCCTCGTTTCACTTTGAAGGTAATACTCTCACCCTTCGTCAACTTCGCGCGTAGAGGTCCAAAGGGAATGCCCAATTCCACGGCTTTTTCAACGTCAAACTTTCCACGCACACGAGGTCCAATTACAACATACGCGAGAGCCTGAACGTCCGAAGTGCGCGAAAATGCTGGCAACTGCATATGAAACCCTTTTGGCGGCGCGGCGCGAGCTCGACGACAGTCGTCAACCTAAATTTAAAAAAAGATAAACTCAACATCGAGGAGCGTTATTCGAGCAAACACATACGTTTGCTGAGCCGTTGCCGCTGTCTTGCTGAACTGCCTTGCTAACCTTCGCTATTGCATCGATGGTTTTAACAGGAGAACGGGTCAAATAACATCACCCCTTGCCTTTACCACCCTTTTTCGGTGAATCGATTTTGGTGTCGGGAAACATAGTCTTAATGACATGTTCCCTCCATTCGTGAGCACGCTCGTCAGTGAGGTCTTCTGGCAAAAAGTCGGGGTCTTCCATGATTTGTTTAAGGGTTTGGTTGGAGGAGCGTTTGCGAGGAGAATCTGGGGTTGCTTCTCGTTTCCTTTTCGATGGAATGTCTGGAGCCGAAAGGTCGCTTGTAGTTGCACTATCGGTGGCGATCGCGGCCATCTCTGAGTCCGGAGATGATGAGATTGTCAATGCGTAGATAGCGACATTCTCGTCTTTATAGACAGGTCGCGGGGGAGAAGCTGTCGTGGTGGATGAAGACGCCTCGATAGGTTTTACCCGCATAGAGTCCCTACGGGCAGCTTGTTACAAAGAACGACACGACAATGAGGTGACGAAGGCATTACCTGTAAGTATACAGGCGCATCGACGCCAGATAATGAGTCAACCCTGGAGGACCGACGACGTTCAACATTTTAATGGTGGCGTCCGCAAATGTCATTAAGAGGCCTGAAGTTTGCGTAATCCAAATCGTCAGCCAACAAGTCTCTCCAGAGCGTAATTCTCACCAGCGAGTCCGCCTGCTCTCTCGACCCCAACTTGCGTGAAAAAAATGCCTCGAGTCTTCCTCCAATTACGCTGGCTTTGCAAAAAAGCACGGTTGGTGTTCTGGCCAGCATTGAAGATGTACTTCGCGGAATCAAATGTAATGATGATGGTAGGTTCTGTGTCCGAAGATACGGTGGTGAGAACGGACGCCGACCAGTTCATGTTTGCACCACTTGTATTGAGCCTGGAAAAGGAGCGAGGGAGGGATGGCGCCGAGATGAAAATTTTCTTCAACTTATAGTTAGTTATTACGGATCTAGCCGTACCCAGAAGAACTGCCAGCTTGACCACCACCACGCCAGAATAGAAGACAAGTAAAGACGGGGAAAGGACTACAGAAGATGTAACTAAATCAAGCGCCCTACTTACTGTGGGAAAACAAATCACATGATTAAGCTTGCAAAGCCGGAAAAGAGGTATTATTACTCAAGAAGAGGGTTCAGTGCAGATCTAGAGCGACCGGGGATACAATAAGAAAGACAGCAAGACAGCAAACCATCAGATTATAAAGGGCGAGGGGGTATCGCGTGGTTGGTTAATACAGATCGTGGTTCGTTTGACGTGCACATAAGTAAGCGTGAAAAGAGTCGTCAAATTCTCTAAATGCGCCGATGACCAGGCAACGACGTTTTGCAGGTCGAGTGTGGACTGCGAAAGATCAGTCGCTCTGGGACCTCCCACCAAACAAGCCCTTCATAAGCCTACCAGGCTTCTTCGCACCGCGAAGGGGAAGCAAATCGACGGACTTCATCGGTGCTGGTACGTCTCGCATCTGAAGAAGAGGCGGGGAGCACGCGTATGTGTGTCGTTCCCCGCTCAGAATCAGGTGGCTTGTACCACTGCAATCGATCCATTCTCACCCTACCAATTCTCCAAGTCATAACCCAACCACCACGCATCATGACCCTTGGACTTTGATCAAAGTAATGTTCGCTATCATGTTCTAGATATAAATATACATCAAAACCACAAAACAAATTCAAAGACAGTCCAAAAAGTGACAAATAAGACCCAATTATCAAAATCACGACGAGGCCGTAGTCGCTCGTTTTCTGCGCACCTCTTCGAGTGCGGCTGCTAACGCCTGTTTCGCGGAACTCTGCTCTCGCCAGAGATCCCCCGAGTGCCTTTCAGTCAACGGGTCAGATGGGCAGCTACTACCACGTGAAAGGATGAGGAAACCCACTTGACGCGACTCAAGAAAACAACCATCATCGCAACGCTTTTCAACTTTGGCGCTTTCTTCGTAGCTGGAGGGGCCACCGCAACGGGGAACCCGATTCTCGCTATCGAAGCGAAGATCGTTCGCTCGCTGGATAAATCCCAGCATCAACAGTTGCATAAACGACAAATAACGAATATGAAATGTACCTCTTCTCGTACTTCCCCAACAACTCCAAGAGATATTTCTTCTGATACACCAGCCCATCTCTAAAACATGCCTCCCTAACGAATTTGGCTTTGAGATACCGAATCTGCAGCATGAGACCTTTACACTCTTTATTATGCTGCAACTTCATCGCAGACAGCTGCATCTCGTCCCTATATATAAAAAATCATCGCTTCCAAGACAGACGCAAAAAAGAGAAGAGAAACCTACGCAGCACACACATGCTTCCTCAACTCCTCCTTCGCCCTCCCCGCCTTCTCCTTCTGCTTCTCCAACTGTTCATTCAACAACCTCACCTGCGCCGCACCCTGCTTCCTCGCTCTCTCGCCCTTCGCCACTTCTTCCTTAAGCCTCCCCTCCACCCTTTCTTTCTCTGCACGCAAAGTCTTCAAGTCCTTCCCAAACGCTTCTGCGTCCCTCCTCACTCGCTTGAGGTCGTTCTCGAGTAGGGCAACCATTTCAGCGACGTCATTTTTTTCAGAGAAAATCTTGTCCTTCTCTTGCTCCGTGCGTTGGAGCTCGTTTGCCTGATGCTCCAGCGCATGGCGAAGGTCCTCGATCTCGAGGAGCTGTATATCAAGTTGGTGCCTTCGGTTATCGTGGGAGGTGAAGTGCGTAGCGTGTTCTTCCCGGAGTTTATTAGCATTCTATGACATTCCCCCATGAGCTCAGAACTCCCCACCGCTCTGTAACAAAACTCACCTCGGATATCTCAGAATAGTGGCGTTGAAGGTCCTTATGATCTGCAGCCAGGAGAGATCGCTCCTGCCTTAGCTGAGCGATGGTCTCTGCGTTCTCTGCAACGCGTTTCTCCAGGAGACGTGCCTTCTGCTCGGCGTTGATGTTCTCTGGAAAGGAAACGGTCAGTCTGAATAAAAAGACCCTGCAATGGAATAACACACCTCTCAGTTCCGTCTCCAGCTCCAAGTTCTCCTGCTTGACTCTCTGCAACTGTTGGCGGACATCATCCATGTCCTATATACGGGAAGAAATCAGTGGCTTGTATGCTTATGACAACGAAACGACGTGCGGATTCCGTCCTCTGGAGCTGAGTCATGACCTGCTTTTTCTCCCGAGCCATACGATCCTGCTCGGCAGTCAACGACCTCAACTGCGCGCGTTCTAAACTCAATGCAGCTTCCAGCTCTGAAATGGTTTGCTTTGCGTGCTCTAGCTCCTGTAAGCACTGGTAAGTAACATCAATGCAGCATATCGAACTGAGAACTCACGCTCTGCACGTTCGCTTTGGCTCTATCACCCCCACGAGCAGTTTCAGCAGCTTTTCTGGCCTCTTCCTTTGCACTCTTAACTTGCACGTTCAAACGCGTTGCTGCATCTTGGAGCACGGCCTTTTCACCAAGAAGTTGTTTCTTTTCTTCCTCCCATTGCTTCTTCAAACTGTCAAGATGCGCATTCAAGGACCTGACGTCGGCACGGAGCGCTTCGCTGGTTCTAGTTGGGGGGGTAGGAGGTTCCGCTGAGAGGTTGTCTCGTGAGATATCCACTGAACTACAAACGTCGAATGGTCAGAACCAACCAGGATACCACACTTTCCATATACATACCTCTCATCTAACTGAGTCAGCTTCCGAAGATCAACTTTGATGTTACATTTCTGGCACCTCATCCGACTGAACCGACGCATGAACCGTTCTTCCTTCCTTGAAAGCCTAGCAATCTCGTCTTCCAGTCTGCTGATCTTCGACCGGGAATCTTCAAGCTTTTTGGTTAAACCAACGACGCCCAACCCTGCATCTTCAAGCTTGTCCAACTTGTCGTCGATACTTTCGTTGGCCGAATCAAGTTCACGTTGTAGGCGACCAATTTCTGCCACCAATGGTGATATTGAGGGATCCGAGGTGGTGTTGTTTAGCCATGACATCTATGTGAAGAGAAAGGTTGGAGACGACCCAGTAGGAAAGTGCGACCACGCTTACATCTCGCAGTGGGGCTCCAGGGGTCCGAGGCGCCTTAATGGACATCGACAACACATGACGGTGAATAGGCGATATGCCATTGACATTGTAAACTTTGCTCGGGGTGTTCATCTCATTGAATGTCATCCGTAGAGCCTTGTTCCTCTCGAGCAACTCCTCTTTTTCTCGTTCAAGCATCTCGATCTTCATATCTTTCGCCTTCTCCATAGCCTTGCGGGCCGGGGACTGCTCCAGGAGGGTTTGTAGCCGCGCGATCTCCTTGTTAGCACCATCAAGCTCGTTCTCCAGAGCTTCCAGGTCATCCTCGGTCAACCCTGTTTCGACTGCTGGAGTGCGAGAGATTTCTTGAGACGCCAGTCGTTGCTTCTCGCGTTCGAGAGAGTCCACTTTAACTTTGAGATCTGCAAGTGCCTCTTCGTCAGCTAGCATCTTTCGCTCAGCCTCGTCCAAAGCTTCCTCCATCTGCCTTGCCACCTCTCTAGCCTTCTCAGCGTCTTCCTCAAGATTCTTCATGTGGATCGAAGCCTGCTCCTCAGCGTTCTCCATTGATTCGACCGTTTCATGTGCTGCTGCCAGTTCTTCCTCGAGTTTCTCGATCTGCTCCACGGCGGCAGAGGCACCTTCCTCCAGCTCGTTGACATACGCCTTGGTCGCGCCAAGCTCTTCCTCGGCTTCATGGAGCACATCTTCCAGCTGCTTGTTCTTGGCTCTTTCAGAAGCGACGGCGTCCGATTGGTTGTTGAGTTCATCCTCTAATCCTGAGATGACCTCCTGATCCTCCTTCGCCCTCTTCTGAAGTTCGTCAATACGAGCATCGGACTGCGTAAGCTCATCCTCCAGTTCCTTGGTCTGTGCGTTGGCGTTCCGAAGGTCGCTCATAATTTTCCCAACACGCTCATTTGCCTCCTTCAGGGCCCCACCAAGCTCTTTGCCATTTTCCAGCAAACGTTCGGCCTTAGAAGCGCGGTCCACAGCCAAATCATGCTCTCCTCGAATATCGCTCAATTCCCTCTCCATCTCTTGAATCTGCCGTCTTGACTCTTCCTCAGTTTCCTTTACTCTCTTCTCCGATGCTTCCAGCTTTCTCTCCAACCCAGCAATGATCCCAGAAACGCCTTCCTCAACTTCAGCCATCCGTTCCCTCCACCGTTCCTTATCTCTTTCTCGTTCCTCCTTCTCTTTTTCCAGTTCCCTCTCAACTTCTTCCTTCTCCACCATACATTTCGTGACCTCCCCCTTGAACGCATCCACCATATCCTCCAACTCTGCCTTCTCCTCCAACCATCCCTCTGCCATGTCCTCTGGGACATTACTGAGTGTAGTACCCATCGAGCTTCTTCTGCTACCACCACTCAACCTTCGACTGGGGTCAGCAGAAACCGCCTCTTCGATTTTCTTCTCCGCTTCGAGGTTCCTGAGTCTGGCAAGCAGCGCCTCGTTCTCTTCCTGCAGTCTCCGATTCAGACCATGCAAATAATTGTTCAATTTTCCGGCATTGAATCGCCCTACACCATGTCCTGGAGCACCTGCTCCAAAGCCCATAGCAGGATCGAACGACGTGTTCACTCGATGGTGAGTAGTTAAGTCATGGGATGAGGCCGTAGAAATAAACGAAGCCTTATCTGCAGCTCCATCATATGGAGAGAACTGTGCTGGAGTGGCCCAAGGCGCCAAGCCGGATCCCGAGGGTCCGGCTGAAGACTCTGAGTCTGACGTTCCAGGCGAAGCAGATGCAGAGATTGCTTGTGACAGAGGATGTGATGCTCGTCTTCCGGCAGGCATCCTGGGTCTTGGAGTAACGCCAGCGAATGCGGCCTGCAGGTTTGTGCTGGAGCCAGAAGAAAAAGAAGACGAACCCGCCGCTGGAGTAGATTCGGCGATACTTGGAGTGCTCAAAAGGTGACGTGGATGGGGTGTGGGGAATTTCATTCGAGGTCTCGCAGTGGAATTAATGACGGAGAGGAGGAACGAACGACGGCGGGTATGTGGAGTCATCAAGTCTTCCTCCTCTCCATGATCATTTTGTTCCTGAGGAGCTGGCGTGGCCAATAGGTCGGCAGGGGGTGGTGGGAGGTCGAAACGGGCACGCGGTCGGGGAAAGGCAGGAGTAGGAGTGAAAGCAATGGATTGAGCTGGAGATGATAAAGCACTGGGTGAACTGGCTGGGTAAGAGCCTGGGTCAGCACTAATCCTCGACGCATGCGGTGTGGGGTCGCCATCTGATGAGAACGTAGGTTCCCTTTCTATTGAGTTTTGGAGTATGTGTTGCTGGTGCTCGTCAGCATCTTCTTGTGTACGTTCATCTTCTGGCCTTAGGGGAGAAATATGGATGTCCGTAATATCCATCGAACGAATCCCAGCGTCCCGGCTTTCACTGCTATGTCCATGATCCAATGGGCTGGTAATGTCTTCGTTCAAGCGGCGCCTAGTGGCAGGGGAAGTGGTTGTCGATCGAGCGGCAGAGGAAGCTGATTGAGGAGATTCTCCTTCTAACCAAGGCGTAGACCTGTCGCTTCGTGGAGTAGATGCACCAGGTGAGGTGGCCTCTGAGGAAGTAGTTCGAGAAAGAGATGGGGTTCGGGTTCGTGCAGTAGTCTTCCTCAATGCTACGTTACGATATTTATCAAATGGCGAGGCCTGATACCGGGATCAGCTTTCATCAGTTCAAAATAAACTGAATCAACCTACCTTTGGCTCTGATTTCAGGCTAACTGAAAAGTCATAGTTCTTCTTTGGCGTTCCTTCATGATCAAAATTCTCCAAAGGGAAGGATGGAGATCCTGTACGGCTGATTGGCTGGAGGGCATCGGTTAAAGAAAGTTCTCGCTGGGCAGGAAAGTCCTCTTCCTCTTCTGGTGGGGGTAGGTAGACGTCTGGAACGCTCGTTTTGCTCTCCTCGTCATCATCAGTGTCGTCTAAATATCGTGCAGTTCCTGTCTCAGGCTGGATACGAGGGAGAGATGGAATATCGCTAATATCAAAGCTGTCCTGTTGGCTTCGCTTTGTCGAATCCCCTCGAGAGGAAGATTGACCAAAGGACTTGACTGATCTGGAAGCAATGGAGTTCGCAAACCGAGCAGTGCTAGACGTGCTAGACTGGGCACGGTAGGCGGATATCACCGTGTTATGAGTCGATGCAGCGGGAGTAGAGTGGATTGGCGAGGAAACGCTTTGGAGGTCTTGTTCGAACTGGTCATCAGAATCGTTTTCGAGTATTTTACTCAACGAGGTATCTTCTTCTTCAGCTGAATCCTCGAAGTCTGGAAGGGAAGGCAAGGATGGCATGTCTCTGCCCTCGATGGCTTCAATTCTTCGCCATATTCTGGATGGTGTTTCGAGCACAGCGGCCATATCTGAATAGTTGAGCCATAAACCACGTAATATAATATATTTCTTGACTTACCTGAGACACCGAAGTGAGTGCACCCAAGTGCCTTTCGGGGACGGCGCGACAATGAAGGCAAGCTACAACGTTCAATACCCACGTGATCGCGTTGTAAATTCAATAAACAATGCTAAACAATGTTTTAAAACAAGCACACATCACGTTCTCTCCCTCTCAAATCTCGAAACCAAATTATCGTCGTTCAATTGGAGCCATTACGTGTTTGAACATGAACTAAAGGCAATCAAGGTTTCCGCCGAAGCGAAAATTACCCCTTTTCTTCTTAAGAGGGGGGTTGAAAATACCCAAATCCACAAACTATTATGGACGCCAATCTGGTGTTCTACTTTTCTGCTTTGCTCTTGACATGCGTACAAGTCGATAACGTGGAAAAATCTGTCGATTTTGGTCTCCGGAGTTATTGCGTGTCAGATCCAACCAAGAAGGTGGCAGGCTGGTTAGTGTTGCTGTTTCCAGAGCCAGTTTCTACCTTAACCGCCCCGTCTCTGCGTCATACACCTGCGATCGGAAAATACTCAAATTCCACCCTTGGCTATGTCTATGGCAAGTGTATTCCCTGAACTTTCATCAGCTGAAAATGCGGAACAAGCGCCCTCCATCTCTTGATGAAATATTAGCCAAGTCAAAATACTGGTCTTCTAATCTATACCCGATCGGTGAGTGGAACATAAAATTGTTCATAGCTGGGTCACTAATTGAATCTTCCGTCTAGGCGCTTGTGTCGTCGGTGTTCCTGATAGCTTTTCATTACAGATATGATACCTGTTCGAATGGCTCTTTTTTTGCAATGAGCACTAGTTCAGAGCTATCTCTCTCCATGTACTGCCCCGACTCTCGTTTGCGTGATCGCTTCTGCTGCTCAAATTGGCGTGGTGATGGCAAACAAGCGAATAGATCAGATAAATCATTCCGTGGATGAGAATGTTGGGTTCGAATTTGGAGATACGATATGTAAAGCATCCAAGCTTCTCTCGAGATCTGAACCCATTTCATAAGGATATTGTCGGATACAGGTCATTTATTCGCCGTTTGCGGTCTTTGCTTATCTTTTCTACTTGGTACCGTTACAAGATGATTTTTTAAAATTTGGTGGAGACCAAGAGAGGTTTTTCAAATATAAGCAAACACCGGTTATCTCCCAGCCCGCTGGACGCTCGATTTGGAATTGGGGTTTCCCTTGTAACTCTTCCAGCCATGGCCCTGGTTAGGCTCTTATTATTAGAGCAGCAGCTGACTGAGCATGAGCTCAAAGTGGCCGTGGTTCTCGCCCCACCATTAAACTCGCTCGTCCCACCCACCTCAACAACGTCAACATCATGAGCAGCCTGGACGCAGCTGCCATTAAGGGGCAGGCCTACCCGAATCTTGCCGTTGTTATACTTCTCGCTATCGGAACGCTACTGATGGTAATAACAAGCATTTCTGCGCCAATCCTGAGCAGCGTCAAGATGTTTCGCCTCACCTCCAACGTTAATGGCATCAGAAGATACGTCGATGTCGGCTTATGGGGTTATTGTGTGGTACCAGTAAGGAGGCGAGTCGAATGCACTACTTTTCCTCGTTAGCTATTCCAATCGTCCATTATCTAGTTCTATCCTTATTGAGGCCACCCCAGGAGGAGGTTGTTCAAAGCCTATCGTAGGCTTTGTCTTGAATAGCGCTGTCGCCAATGTGCTGTATGTCCAAATTCTCTAGCTCTTTCTTTCCCTCATTTCCCTCACCCGTCAAACAGACAAACACCACCTTTGGATAGTGTCCTTTCCAAATCTCACACCTCTAGTCTTGTCATTTTTCCAATAGGCAAATCACCATTGAACCTCAATTCCTGACATTTCACTAATCCTGTCTGTTAGCCACTGTCATAACTTTCCTAAGCTGCATCCTCCAAGCAAAGATATGTTTTTCAAGGAAGGCAAACATCAACACTGTGACATTGGTCTTTGTTTCCTCCAGCATATCCACCCTCCTTTGCCTCATATCTTTGATGCTGCAAATCAGCGTGGTGGCTGTAGCCAATGCGAGGGTGTATGCAATCAGTGATTCTTCAAATGAGAGTCTACAGTTCTCATGGGGTGGCACCGTAAGTTCCGAAACCGTATAAATTCAATCTGCCGCGAACTGACTCTTGTACGTATTTTAGATTTGGCTGACGGCCATCGCCATTGTGGTTGATTTGATAAACCTGGTCTTCCTTTACAGCATGCGATTACGCCTGGCCAGGATAGAAGCCCAAGCTGAGCAACCGCTGAGTTCGCGACATTATTCATTCACGCAGGCGACCCAAGAGCAAGAGAATAAAACCACGGACCTAGGGCCGCCCAGACCTCGTCCTGGTGAAAAATCACCAGCATATTCATGACCAGTTGCTACTTGTTAGCGTACTATGCATACCACGCCTCTAATAAGGAGCCTCGATATGGACTATCTTCATTCCGCAAAGGACTCGTGAAAAACTCATGACGGACGCGCCCGCAAAAACTACCGTGAAGAATCTATTATTAGCTTCTTCGTTCTCATGATGGAGCGGAACAAGAGCGGAACGTTCCGTACGGTACCAACTGGTGAGGAATCTATTCTTAGGGCATGGACGACTCCTGAACGGTTCATTGCCCTTGACTATTAGTTGACTGCCCACACCAGCTCAACGTGCTATGTACTGAAAACTCAAACAAAATCTACAATTTTTGACTCGAAGGATTCCCGGGGAATGCGAGCAGTAATCGGTGAAGAGTTCCACCAAGACTACTAGTACCTTGCGTCTTCCTCGTACCTCACCCACACGATTCCATGGTATAATTCACCGCGATGACCATCACTTAGCCGGCCCTTTTGATCAACATGTACACGGGGCTCAATAGTCGAATTCATTTTATTGACACGTTTCGCTTTGCAAGAAAAGTGGTGGAGCACACCGAGATACACGTACGTACGTACACGTTTTTTTTCGGTGGAACATCTGGGCACACTCAAGAGCAATGGCTTAAAGAGTTGGTTTCATCGTCGTTCTATATCTGGACTGAAGTACACAACATGTACAGCGTTACAATGGCAATTAAATATAGGTGAAGCAACAACAGCAGCGATATTGGACAGACCAGGTACGTTGTAAGCTGAGGGGATAGGTAAATGTAAGACGAATCCATGATGCATGTAAGAGATGCAAGAGTACAAGAAAGAAAAAAGTGGTGCACAGTCCTGGAAATCGGGATGCGTAACAGAGCAAAAAAAGAAAAGATGGAAAGATAATGATACGAGCAGACGTGACTCACGCGTTACCGCCAATATTAGGGTGCCATAACCCGAAGAAAGCACCAGCAGACGAAACCATGCCCACAGCCTTATCTACTATTGTCGACCCTCCCTCCAAAGAAACGGGTGGGGTCAACAATGCTTTGGGGCTCACTGGGCTGACATACGATGTGCTGGGAAGTGACGGAGACGGCGAGGGTATCAGTGGCGGGGGTTTCGCTTTCGTTGGTGTGGAGGAAGCGGTGGATGATACGGATGATGACCGGACATGATGTGAATGGGGAGGGGGTGGAGAGGTTCGCGTTGGCGACACGGCTGCCGCGGTAGGCGTTGATCCAGAACCACTGGATCTCGAAGACGACCCTACACTAGCTGTTGAAGCCGAGGGCGGTAACCCAACAGTAGGGACCAGTCCGACAGGTGGCATGAGCATCTCAAAGATGGGCGAATTCGAAGGGGTGGGATGTGTCGTCCTCCTATGTTCTTCCTCTGCTCTCCTTAGGTGCTGTTCCTCCTTCAGCCTCCGCTCGCTGTCTCCAACAACAGTCTGTGAGCTGCTGGTAGACGTTGACGAGGACGTCGATGAAAAACTGGCTTCCATCGGCGGCGCAACTGTTGTTCTCCCATTTCCCAGAATGGGAGAAGAAGCCTCCTCCGCAGGAGGGATTGAACGCGGTGGCTCTGGACTGACACTGACACTAGCACTGAGCCTCTTGCCAGTTGTTCGATCCCGACCTCGTCGCCCGCTGTCATTTCCCCTTGGCTCGTCCCCTCTTCCCCTTTGATCTCTCTCTCTCTCACCAACCAACTTCTCCCTGTCAACCCTTCCTCCAGCATATGCGACACCAATTGTGCCTACTATTCCCATGTCCGGGGATAAGTTGCCAATAGGACTTGTACTGCTGTTCCCCGGTCCACCCGCCCGATCCCTGTCCCATGAAGACGAAGCTGAAGTGGGCGTCCGTGTACTCGACCGCCCTCTTGATTGTGATCGATTGGGTTGAGCGAGATCCTGGTATGATCGACCACGAGGAGGGGGAGAGAGTAACGAAGACGTCTGAGCAGGGGCGGATGATGGCGAAAGGGATGAGCTGCGACGTTCGAGATCTGGAGCTTGTGTTGGGGCCACAACAGGGGTGCGTAACGCGTTTGATGCATGGATGGGGATCTCCAGCGTCAGAGGGCTACAGGACGGTTGATGAGGAGGTTTGGGAGTGGATGAAAGAAGGGCAGGCGAGGGGGTTCGGGAATGCGATCTAGATCGGGAACGAGAGCGTGATTCTCTCGGCAGAGAACGATTTTCTCGTTCTCCTTCTACAAGTGCTGTTGAAGCTGACCTTGGGCTCGTTGATGGTGCTTCTCTATCAATTGCTGCACGACCACCGGTTCCTTTCGGATATCCTCTGAGCCCCTTCCGCATACCGGTGTACTCCTCACCCAGATCTGGCCCGCTGAAGAAGTCATACGCATCCGGGACGTGCTGCACAGTTCTGCCCCTCCGTCCTTGATCCACAACAACGGTGGGCACCGATGATACATGACTGGATTGTGGCCCATGCATATAAGTCCTGTGAGATAACGAAGAGCGGGATGATGGGTTGTCCAAGATAGGGATCGGCAGACTGGCCGCTGCACCGTGCCCACCGTCTGCGTAGTCACCAAAGCCAGTATTCAGCACAGTCTCGCGATCGACCTCCGTCTTATCATTCTCAACTTTTGCATCCTTGTTAAACTTCATCCTCCCAAAGGTAACGACATCATCATCCTCCTCCTCCTCTTCGTAGCCGTCTTCACCACCATACACTTCCTCATCCTCCTCCTCCACGCCCATCCCAAGGCTATAATTGCTCCCAAACGGCGGCACGTAAACCAGCTCGACAGGCGTCCCATCGGATATTTGCTCTTCAGAAGCACTCCCCCTCCGCTTTCCTTTCCCGTCGCTATACCCCCACATACGCTCACTCCAAATTGCAAGGCCGTCATCACTATTCGCACCTTCATCTCCAAACCCCTCCTCCCACGCTCCCGTTGTCTTTAACATCGTAGGTGCAATGGGGGCAATGGTGACATGAATGTCTGATGCCCTTCGGATGAGCGGTGGTGCCCGCCGCGATGGTTTGTGTGTAGTTGAGCTTGCATGACGCGAGGCGAGACCAGGATTGCGTGACGTAGACGTCGAATTAAGATCGTCACCCCGGGAAGGAGATGATGATGACGTAGACGCTGATGTGGTTGAAGCGGAGGATGATGAGGACGTCGTGGATACTTTTGAATGGGATCGCGGTCCTTGCTTCTTGGGGGTATGACGATGTGATGTGGGTCGCATTTCAATGATACCATCATCTTCCTCCTCCTCCTCTTCGTAAGGTGAATCTGAATCGCTGCCAACCGCACTGCCATGAAGAGGACGAATGTCCCAAGGAGCCTCAATCTCAGTATCGTCTTCGCCCGCTGAGTCCTCCTCATCCTCATCGTACCTGAAAGATCATTTAAGTACTAGATCAAAAAAGGGAAGAAAATAAGTAAATACCCGTTATCCTCGTCCCAGCCACGACGACCGCCAGCCCACATACCCTCTTTCTGTCCTAAAAATAAGCCCGAACTGCTCTTTTTCGGCTTTTCGATGGCAATGCATTGTTCTACAAAGGTATTAAAGCTGATATGCTTTTTCTTCTGCTGAGTTCGTTCAGTACTACCTGCACTTCCCCCAGCACTGGAATTCGAGTCCTGGGAATGTGAAGCGCGGACGGAACTTGGAAAATATATTGACTTGTGAGGGGATCCGACCGGCAGAGCGACTGGAGGGTCGAGGCGGGGCGGAGAGTCTTTCCGGAAGGCGCGGCTAGGGCCCCATCGGCTGATATGGGTGTCGCTCTTGGTATGCATCAGTGACGGTCGTTTGTGGGACTTGAACTGATCCTGGGAGAGAAGTCGAAGATCCGGCTGAATGTTTGAGCGGTCTTCCTCGTCGTCGGATTCAGCGGGGCTAAAGACGGGGGATGTAGGGAGGTCACTGGTAAGGAGTTCGCTAATGCTACGGTATTTGAGGATAGTTTTCCGAGGTTTATGAGAGGAGAGGTCGAGACGATCATGCGCAGAAGCAGGATTTGATGATTCGACACTGTCTGGAACTGAATCGGGTTTCGGGGGTGGTGTCCAGTCAACGGCGGTGTGAAGAGGACCATACAGCCAGGTCACATCCGAGTCTTTCAACCTTGAAAGAGAGTAAGACGTAAAGCTGAATTAGTTAGGGCAATGACACAGACCAATTTAGTGTCTCTGGTGTCACCGTCTTGAGTTTGTTTCTTTGCTTCCACCACGTTCTCCAAGAAGCATTCTCCAGACGAACGCCGTTTGCAATCTCATTTTTCTGACGGGTCATATTTCGCCATGAACGCCATACGTCCTCTTCCTCCCAGTCATGGGAAAGGTAGTCGACCTGGCCACGGGGGAGGGTAGAGAGCGACGAGTCGTCTGGTACGGCGTTGGTTGAGACTGAGACTAGAAGAACAGGGAGGTAGTTTGCCATCTGGGAGAGGGACAGGGCGAAGAATTAGGTCGGTTAATAGGGTAATTCGCGGTTTGATCGAGGATAAGTTTACAGTGTTGGGATGAAATGAAATAGTGTGTAAGATGGCACTGATAATGTCGTTGGCGACGTAAACAACGACGAGCGGCAACGGCGAGAACAGCGACGAGAGCAGGGGGGAAAGAGCAGCCACGAGCAGCGACGTGAAGGTCAGAGACCAAAACTGGTCGGCAGCTGGTCGGTCGCCTCAACTGTGACGCCAACACCAGGCACATTGTCACCGTGACACGGGACTGCTCCGATCCTATCGCTCGGGCCGGCACTGCAGATTAAAACTCCGTTAGCACGTTCTTCACTCAGCGTCACTCCAGCTGTGGTCCAACTGCAGCCAACTGCCTGCTTCCTCTTGTTCCGCCCGTCTCTTTCTCTCAACTTTCTCTCACCCCCCCGCACTCAATCTCCCATATCTCCGCATTCAACAACCCTCCTTACTTCTACTTTTGTATATATTTTCACATGCCTGTTCAATCACCCCGCCTAAACCTTAGGCTTCAACTGCTTCCGGTCCGTTCATCTTCACCCGCCAGTATTTGATTTCGCACCCTGCGACGGAATCTACCCATTCCCGACGGTCGGCGGCTCTACCCTTGCTGAGTTCCCATTATTTATATACATCATCTCGCCTCGTCTCGCACAGACTCTTTTTTCCGATCCCCAACACCTGACATGCATTGGCATCAACGGCGATCTCTCCACATTGAGGCTTCTTTCGAACTCACCTTGTCTGCGCTGCATTCCATGGTCACTTCATCAATACCTCTTCCAATTTGGCTTATACGAGCTTGGATAGTTGTGCCTCTCGCAGTACCACCGCTCACCTGATCCTCATCTCGCGCTCAGAATTTTTTTTTTTTTACTTAGCCTCACACGCCGCATCCAGCTCTCTCTCTTGACGTGACCACGTGTACTCATTCTGTGATCGCTGTTCAGGCGTGCGTCCAGGGAGCCTGCTTCTTGTCTCGATCGTGAACATCCACCCCGCTGTGTGATTTTGGCAGTTTGAAATAACCCACGTATCTTGCTTCATTTACTCTCTTTCTCACTTTCTTTTCCTCAGCTTCGCTGGTGGGACGAGGCCATCCCATCTTGACCCCAACGGCACCCCGGTGCGTAAAACCGATGCTGAGCATGGAGGTGGCGGCGGCCTGTCACCCTAATCAACGTTCAAAACATACTTATCACTTGCACTCATTCAGTCGTTATCGCCGTTTCGCGTGGGGGTAATTAGCGTTCACACCCCCACGGGAGTCCACGGCCTACGGGCTACGGCCGATGGTGTGCCTAGCACGACATCATGGCGACCGCCTCCCCACCGCTGGTCTCAATATTACAGCGGAGATGATACACCTTTGATTAGTTCATTCCGACAATCCAGCGAAAAATGGTTAGATGATGATCATATGATGTGACCGACAGATAGACAATTGCAAGTTGCTCTGATGATTCAAATCAATCAATGTGGCTGGATCTAGTACTAGTGTGGACTTGCAAGTTGCAGGCCTGGCGACGACTTGCTCAAATTTCACTTCACTCACGACAGAGTTGTGAATAGTGGGTGATCCGAATTTTTGTATGAGATGAATTAAACCATCGGAACTTGCAGGTACTTGATCATAACGATTATCTCGCTGCGCTACCAATTCAACGGTTATGCTCTCAAAGTGGTCTAATTCCTTGACCCTAAAAAATACCAACACAAGATCCGAAGACCACTAAGCGCTAAACCTTCCTTCGTCAAAGATCCTGTTGAACACAGTTTCTCGCGCTGATCAATGTCAGATAGATTCTGTGTTGAGGAAAGTAAGGGTTGGTGGGCTTTCGGAGCTTTTAGATCCTTCCCGCGATGCTCTTGAGTCTTGACAGATTTTGACAGTCACCCAAACGTAGTGCAGGGAAGGCCAGCTCTTCATCTCTCTTCATCTTCATATGAACGAATTAGGCGACCCTGCGGACTACGATCTCCATCTGGCTGGTTCACGAAATTTCTGGATCCGATGCCCTGCGTCCTCGAGGCATAGTTACAGCAGTTGTACGGCAGTGTTTCCAAAAGAAAACATGTCCTACGAAAAACAAGAGACTACATAATATTATGTGAAGGTGCGCGTCTTATTTTTCAAATATCAAACATTGAATAAAGCTGGTACTCAATCGATTCAAGGACCCACTTACACCCACTAACGGTCTTTTGGGCATGTCGTGACCCGGGCGTCTGCGACGGAGCACAAGCACAAGCACACTGCCAGAAAGAGTAGACGTTGGATCCAGAAGGGGTGATGTCTTTTTGATAGGTATGAGACAGCCTTACAACCAAGTCACCTCCCGTGATCGTTTCCCTCGAGTTTCGTGATCGGTTGAGAAGAGTCCGGGGCATGCGGGGCGTAAACGTGTCATTCGCTGAGTGGCTTCTTCCTATTCCTGTACGTGAACAGTTCTGGGTGGCCGCCAGTATAGTGCTGCGCTGAACGCAAGCGTTGGCGCTAGGCTGAGTCAACTCTGTCGACAATCAGAGTCATAAAAAATTCAAATCAAAATCCTAGACGCACTGTACGTTCTCAGTACCTCAGAAGACACGGATTTGACAGTTTGGCTAAGAGAGGCCAAGTAGATGCCCTGGTTTGAGAGACATACTTTTTCACCCATGTCAAATGAAGGTTTCAAGTATTCCAATCAAGTTTTACCGCAAAATCCAAACTCTCATTGCATAATGACGACCAGATTTTTGGCTTATAGCAGGCCAAAGTTTTAATTTTAATTCTCTGTGGGTCCTGGGACACGAATTCAATGTGATTTGATGAGGTGCCTTCTGAGTCCACAAGTTACTTACTAGCAACTTGAAGTATAGATCACAGATTTCACAATCAAATGTCCGCCTAATTTTCCCTTCGCCTGATTTTTAGTCCCACAGGGACAAGAGCGCTGAGCGAGCCGTCAGCAGGAGTATTTACCTGTACTTACAATTAGGCCACAGCCAAATCTGTGCAAATATACGCACGTGGGGTGTTCCGTTGCTCCTCCGAACCCAATCCGAACCTCACTCCTCATTGTTACGAACGTTGGCCAGAATAACAGCCCTTATGCTGCCGTTAAAGAGGCTCTGATCCTGTATCTGACCGTCATTCAATGTTGCTTCTATGATCTTGACCTTGAAGATTCAACCATAACCTGGAGTTCAGTTATCGAGCTCTTCGGCACACTGGAAGCGCGCGAGGTCTTCCAAGTTCGAACAGCGTTTCTATATTGTTGTCCCGAATCGAAAGGCTGGTGCGTCGTTTATAAAGCCTGCACAAAGAAAATTAGTCATTCCTTATCGACTTTCTGTTCAAGTGCAACAGGGACATCATTCCGGCTTCAATGGCATGTTGATTGAACCTCTGATTTTCGCCGCGTTTCGCCCTGGTCGTCAACCAATTTTGAGCTGGTGGCAAAGCTCGAAAGTTTCTGGCGATTTTGCAATGCTTCATGAAGTCGAGGAGGTGTACAAAGCATAGTGACACAACAAAGAAGAAAACTCCTAGTTCAAACTTAGACTCCCGCCATTGTTTGTTAGGCGCTGGTGATTATGTGCCTGTCGCTCAATTCAGGACAAGAAACTCCAGATCAGTTCACAGCGGCGGCGGGCGGCGTTCGTATGTTGATTATATAAATGAACGGCATGCAGATGGTTCTGAATTACACTTTCTTCCTTTCTTTTCATCTGTAGCCTTCACATTCTCTTTCTCCTTCTCAAGACTCGATGTCGCCTTCATTCTTTGTCACTGCCATGCTTGCCGTGGCAGCCCTTGCTGCACCGTTGATCCCTGGAAGCTGCGACATCTCACATGCGCAAATGACACTTCCTGCAAATCAAACCGCACTCGCCCAGCCTTCGGGCGCGCCATCCTTTGTCTTGCTTGGAGTAGGTGTTCAGAATTACACATGTTCGGCGGCTGGTACCTACGCGTAAGCACTGCCTGTCTAGCTTGGCTGATTAGGGCCGCGAATCTCATTTGACATTAGGAGCGCTGGTGCGGTAGCCCAACTTTTCGACATCTCATGCCTTGTCAAGTCACCCGCGTTTGATAATGTCCAAGACATAGCCTTTTTGAAATGGCAAATGACGCGCGGAAAGGACGACTGTGCATCTGCCGTCTCTGGAATGCCTCTCACCAGAATGGGCGACCACTATTTTGTTACATCACCATCTGGTACAGGTATCAGCCCCGTCTGGGATTTTAGAGCTTTTGGCCGTTTCAAAGGCAATGCGAATGCCACGGTTCTCGCTGCCAAGGTTGCGAACCTGCCGTCCCCCGCCGGCTCCGAGAACGTTGACTGGCTCCAGCTCAAATCCGTTTCTGGGGGATTGGCGACCCAGGTACGGCTTACTTCAAGGGATATTTGACAATATCTTATTTATGCGTGTCTCAGATATACCGGACCGACACGCGAAGTGGGCAACCACCCGCTTCAGTTAGTGCTTCATTTTAAAAATGAGCTCCAGCTGTCTTACGTGAATCTTTCAGTGTACCCCAGGGTCAGCCCTCGTTTCCGTCAAGTACACATCCAAGTACTGTGAGTGTGACTACAATCTGGATCTATAGTCTGCTCATTCGTTCTTCAAGGGCTCTTCGGCAGTACTGTGGTACCTGCAGGGCACCCTTGATCTGTGTAGATTGGTCGTCACTTTTAACATTACGTTTGTGCGCTGGTCGATCATAATTATTCTACTCGTTCACCCTAATCATTTCACAAACTTTGAGACGAGATATATTTTGGAGAAGCATCGTGCCCTTCATAACCGTTAAAGCAGTCGCAACATCGCAGAAGCTAATGAGGTGACCAAGTTCATCGCAGGCGTTTAGGATCATCACGCAGTCAATGGCAAACGCGGTAACCCAAAAGCATACATCCTTCAACCGCTAAACCAAAATTTCTAGATGGTAACACTCCGATTACACCGTGGTGTGACTGGTGTCGCCCTTTCGAAGTTCGAACAGAACAGGGTGAAGAATGGGGCACTAAGTACTGCCAGTGATGAATTGGCCACCTTACTCTGGTCTTGCTGCCTGCCTAGACATGATTCGGAGAGTGACAAGCTCCTTTTGTCAGTGATCAGTTCGAATAAGCCTTCAGGCGATTATACAAAAACGACTTGCCCATCAGTCTGACTGGATCGCACAAGTGAGTAAAATAGTATTTTTTTTCAACTCCAGCATCCTCAAGTTTTTTCAAAATGTCTTCAAGTTTCAACCCTTCTTTGGCTTATTTCTTTTCGGACAGGGATCAATGCGAGGGTGCCGGAGCTGTTGACCCAGTGGCAAGGAGGCGACGACGTGTGGTAATACACATCCTCCGCCGTCGCTTTCCTCGATGACTCACCCGTGATGATCCAGGAGTCCACGTCGTTGAGATTCCAAAATTTCGTGATTCATTCCACTGATTTTTGCGATGCTGTAGAAGGTTCAGAATGTCACCAGTAGATAAGCATCTCGTCGGGTGAGCGCTGAGCGAATACGCTGCGCTTTTGCCAATTGCAAGCGATCTACCTCACGGACGGCCTAACCATGGAAAAAGTGGTCACCCTCCTTGCGCTGTCAGGCTCCTCGGTTTGAATCAAACTCAACCCTGAAGTACGCAAGCTCATCCAATTCCAGCGATGCGTGCAGCGTTACCTGTGCTTCAACCCTTTCGGCCCTCTAGGGTCATCGTTCGGCTTTTATTGAGCACCCTCTGACCCCTTTCCTTCCGACATGCTTCGTGGTTCTTCGTAAGCTGATAAGTTGTACGAATGCTATTAACCTTGCACTGATAACACGACAGTGACGCAGAGAACACCTTATTTAGACTCCATTGTTCGGTTTTAATCCGGAGAATTTGTGCCAATGCAGAGTACAATTCTCAGCGGTGGTAGTACCTTTTGATTGATAAACATGAGCGATGTGTTGTCTGAATCAATCTTTCTCTTCTTTCCTCCCTCTTCTTTGGTGTCCCTTCAAGTTTTATTTTTTTGCCTTTCAGACTCGATGTCATCTTCACTCTTTATCACCGCCGTGCTAGCCGTGGCGGCTCTTGCTGCACCATTCTCCTCCGGCAACTGCGACATCCAGCATGCGCAGATAGGACTTCCTGCGAATCAAACTGCGCTCGCCCAACCTTCAGACGCCCCATCCTTCGTCTTACTTGGAGTCGGTGTTCAGAACTATACGTGTACAACGAATGGAACATATTTGTGAGCATTTTTGTCCAACTCGAGTCCGAGTTGATTGGCCGGATCGCAGACTCATTTCTTATTAGGAGCGCTGGCGCTGTCGGGCAACTCTTTGATATCTCATGTCTCGTCAAATCACCCATGTTCGATGATATTCAAGATGTAGCCTTTGCTCGGTGGCAAGCTACGTCAGGGAATGACGACTGCGAAGGCGACATTACTGGAATGCCTCTTCCTAGAGTGGGCGACCATTACTTCGTTACATCACCATCTGGTACAGGCATCAGCCCTGTCTGGGATTTTAGAGCTTTTGGGTGTTTCAAGGGCGATTCAGCGGCGACGGTTCTTGCTGCAATAGTCGCAAACCTCCCATCCCCCGACGGGAACGAAAACGTTGATTGGTTGCAGCTCAAGTCCGTTTCTGGAGATTTGGCGACCCAGGTACGTCGTATTTCAAGTCATTTGAGCTACATCTTATCTATCGTTAGATATATCGAACCGACACACAAGGTGGGCAACCACCCGCTTCCGTTAGTTCATTTTTTTATTTTACTTTGACACGCGCCAGCTATCTCATTCTTAATTTCACAGTGTACCCCGGGTTCAGCCCTTGTTTCTGTCAAGTATACGTCGAAGTACTGTAAGTCAATCTCACAATCCCGTTTCACCATTTTCACAATCAAGCGATTTAGGGCTATATGGCAGTACTGTGTGATACCTGAGGCCTGAGGCGCACCTAGCTTCTACTGCGTAGTTCAATGGTCGTTCTTAAATTTTGTCTTTTTGCGCTGGCCGTTCATTTCAATCGTTACTATCCCACAACCTCTTGAGCCTCCGAGTCAAACGATTTTTGGAGATGCCATTCATAACGCTCGTAAAGCTGTGGTGTCTTTCAAGGGTGTGAACATCGTAACCGTCAAATTCCAACGACGCAATGTTGGGCTTTGGACTTTGGGCGCTAAATCACCGGCATTCGGTCTGTGTAAAGGCGGTATGTTTTCTTGCACAGCTAACACCAATTACAGATTCTATCTTTAACATACGGTTGACGTCGCGTTTTGAGAGGTGAGAAGGTAAAAAAAGTGCGTCGGCGTGTCGCAAAGACCGCTGCGAGTGCTCGGGTTAGCCTAAAATTGGCTTGCTTTCCTGTTCAAATGACGTCTAATGACGTTCGTCTTTTATGTCTCTCCTTCCTGATTGAATGGTCCAAATATGATTTGGTGACAATAGCGATCCACTTGAATAAGATTGCAGGCCAATGCTCAGTGACGTGGAGGGAGCTCTAATTGAGTGGTATATCAAGTCGTGGAAGACAATAAAGGATGGCAATTGAATAGCGTTTATTGTTGGCGCTCGAGATAGACAGATGAACACAGCGAATATTTAGCATGTGGGCTTCAGTGAGTCGTTGTGGGTGGTTTCTTCGTAATGTGTTCAGGCTCGGTCTTTCTGACGAAAGCCCATGCCTTGGTGGGCGCACTTGCATAGCACACGTTTTCGCACCGCTTCATCCGAGAGATAGGGCTTGGTGCTTGAAGTGCCCGGGTAGCTACCGCGGTTCCCGGAGCGCGTTAGCACGGAAATGAGAAAGGAAGCCGATATAATGTTCGGTGTCTCAGCATACGCCCACAGACAATAGCGACCCGTTATAACGTGGCGAAAAGTGGGACCTGGCGAGTTGTACGTATTAAGGCAACGGTCGCGAACTGTGCTCAGGTGGATCTACAGCTCAAGTAAGTTCTAAGTGAGTCGGTCGATTTTGGAATTGAGAGCGCTTCCCCGGGTACTGCCATAAGCCGTCAAGTATACGCCGATCCAAAAGGGATAGGGGACTTTACAGCAGAACGAGTTACTGTTTTGGAGGAGTAATTGGCGGGAAGAATGGCATGTCTTTTGAGTCGGAATGGTCCAGAATAGAATGAGTCTCGGGCGACTTCAGGGGATTTGAGGAGAGTGCAATTGTCATGACCCAAATCGTACCACATTTATTTTAGGGTTGATTTCGATTTATTTTCCTCGTCCCATAACAATTTGTATATAACCTGGCGACGAATGCAGGGACCCCACACCACAATTTCCTCTACCCACTTTCTTCCTCCTTGTTTCTTGCGCCTCCACCATGACTATCCCTCTCGCTACACCTGCTCTCGACATCGAACTCCCGCGTCCTAAAGACGTTGGTGTCCTTGCTATGGAGGTTTACTTCCCTCGTCGCGTGCGTCCCTCTTCCTGTCTTCGCCAGCGTCGACGTGTCATTGATGCCCCATTCATGCTATAGTGTGTCTCTGAGAGTGACCTTGAAGTATTCGACGGCGTCTCAAAGGGAAAGTACACCATTGGTCTTGGCCAGGAGTACATGGCTTGGCCAGATGACCGCGAGGATATAAATTCCTTCGCGCTCAATGGTGACTATCTAGATCTATCTGTATGATATCCATTCTCAAACCACTGCACGCTCAGCTGTCTCTGGTTTACTTGAAAAGTACAACATTGACCCCAAGTCCATTGGTCGCATCGACGTAGGTACAGAAACCCTCATCGACAAATCAAAATCTGTGAAGACCACCCTTATGGACCTCTTCGCTGAGTCTGGGAACTTCGACATCGAGGGTATCGACTCTAAAAACGCGTGCTATGGTGGAACCGCCGCTCTCTTCAATGCCATTAATTGGGTTGAATCGAGCTCCTGGGACGGACGCAATGCTATCGTTGTCGCTGGTGACATTGCCGTCTACGCTGAGGGTGCAGCTCGTCCTGCTGGCGGTGCTGGTGCTTGCGCCATCCTTATTGGGCCTAACGCCCCAGTTGTATTCGAACGTGAGTTACGTTGCTCAGTCCATTGTTTCTCTTTGCTGAGTATTTTCTCTATATAGCCATCCACGGAAGCTACATGGCGAACACTTACGACTTCTATAAGCCCAACTTGTCTTCCGAGTACCCCGAGGTCGACGGCCCTGTCTCTGTTGTGACATATGTCGCCGCACTAGACGCGGCCTACAATATATTCAGGGAAAAGGTCGGAAGAGCAGCAAAACGCGGTGTTGTCAATGGTCACGCCTCATCATCTGAGCCTGCGTTCTCTTTGGAGGATGTCGACTACGCCATCTTCCACAGCCCCTATGGCAAGCAAGCTGTCAAAGGCCACGCCCGCTTGCTCTACAACGACTTCATCAGTAATCCAAAAGCTCCCCGCTTCGCCGGAATCCCTGATCCCGAATCACTTCTCTCTGCCACCCATGCTGCATCACTGACTGACAAAAACGTCGAGAAGACCTTTGTTGCTGCATCAAAAGCATCATTCAAACAGAAATCTGATCCCGGCATGGCCTGCTCTCGCCGGTTGGGAAACATGTATACTGCTTCGTTGTACGGCTGCCTGGCGTCACTGTTAGCCACCGTCGAGCCCGCACAGCTCAAGAGCAAACGAGTCAGTTTGTTCTCGTTCGGGAGCGGCTGTGCTTCCAGCTTCTTCACCCTCCGTGTTAAGGGGGATACAAGTGAAATCAAGGAAAAGATGCAGTTGATTGAACGCCTGTCGACGATGAGCGTCGTTCCTCCTGAAGAGTTTGTTGCTGCGCTCGCTGTACGTGATCAACCTCTTTCTGTTCTTTGTGCGAAGCTTATCATTCTTTTAGCTCCGGGAGAAGAACCACAATGCGGCCAACTACACACCCGAGGGTCTTGTGGAGAACATCTGGCCTGGGGCTTACTACCTGGACAGTGTCGATGCCAAATACCGACGAAAATACGTCAGGGCTCCTCTCACTGCTTGAATATCAAGTTTTCTCTACTATACCCCATCGTATATCCCATCATCTTCGATCTTCCTGCATGTTTAAAAACTTTACTATCATTACTTGTAATTACTACTCGTCAAAATGGGTTGTATTTATATGCCTTAACCGTCGCCCCATTCATCGCAAGTCCCTATCGAGTCTTCACCCGCGCTGCTATCATGAAACTGCCCTCGCCTGAAAAACGTCGTACGAGAATATCAACAGGGGTGTCGTCCGTTGAGAATGTCGCGTCTATCGCGTCAACACACCCCTTTACGCAGCAAGTACATATTGGATATATCAATCATCTCATCATCCGCACTTACATATACGTGCGCAGCTCGATCTCGTTTTTCCATCCGACCCCACGCTAGAGGCATCACTATTAAAACTCGAGACACGGTATGCAAAAGGGAAGACGACGCTCTCAAACGTCATCAACAGCGCTGATGTATTCGTCAACTCTGTCAAACCAGAATCGTTCGTTACACCCTGCCTTTCTATACCTCTCATGGCGCTCAATCTGCTTCTAGGTCGGTGTTGATGCTGAGCACGAACGACGACGACGACGTGTGGTGTATTGACCCACGAGGTGTATTGACCTTATCCGTGGCGACGGAGACGTACGAGCAGCTTGGTCTCTTGGGGGAGCCATTGCCATTTAACAATCATAAAGACCAGCATGGTGTGTTCTGCATATTCCGTTTCTCTCCGACCTGACATCATGATCTGACGAATTCGCTCTGCTATGTCCAAGAACAGTTATCCACCTCCCACTACAAAGAAATACGGATTCTGCTAAGAACCTAGCTAAGCGAAAACGGGCGATCGAGGGTTGGGATAAACGGAGAGAGGAACTGTGGGACGTGGTTTATTGTTCAAATGCATATGGTAAGCTGACCTTACTCTATATATTCTTTTGTTTCGACTCATTGAGAGATGAATATGTTCAGACCTAAACTCGACGCCAGACTTTGTCCCAGAAGGAGGTCAAGTGTCCTATGTCCCTGTTTCCTGCGAACGAAGGGAGTTGAAGAACGTGCATATTCCATTGCCCAATATCAAACCACGTCCTAAAGTCTCAAAGTCACACGGCGACGACGACGACGACACGATGGACGAGTGGAATAGAGACGCCGGAGCCTTCTTCGAATGGGTAGGCTTAGCGTGTCTCGGGTCACAAAGGTCGGCTTCCATTTGTCTCTACCTCCGTCCTATTTGACAATAGACTTAATTGAATTGAACCCCAGGCTCTCCGCGAACGATCGTGTGGATCCTTTTGTTGCGCTCTACGATCCTCCGAGCCCATCCCTAATCGGGAACGTTACCCACCTACGTTGGCGAGGACTGCTGTCGCCTAGTTTCGTACAACGGGTGCTTGAAGCTGCATTGTGAGTGACATTGTTTGTATTCCTACCCTTCTTTCCTGATCATATTTCAGAAGCATTGCAGATCCATCAAACAAGGATGCATCGGGGCACGGCCCTTTTTTCTGTATCACTGCGCAAGGGATATCCAAATGTCCTGTCTCCTACATCCCTCGTAATGCAAGCCAAGGCAAAGCATCAAATTTGCACAGTCCAGCGCGGCTTCCAAGGGTGGATGGAGAGGATACCTGGTGTCTGTTGGTCACCCTCGTAGACGAAGGTGACCTTTCTGGTGTTCAATGTTCTATGGTTGAGAGTTTGGGCCAATGGGATACACGGTGGGGGTAATTGATGCTCTTGACCTCACGAAGGCATGCTCACTCAAGAAGCTTGTTGATAAAAAATATTACTGATCAATCATTATCATACTTGGCAGAGTTGATCTGGAATTTGTTGTGTGTCATAGGAAGGTTATGCACCCGAGATACTGCTACTTTTCTTTATCGATATTGACTTTCAGGCCAGGATACTGAAGGAGAAGTTTTTCCTCAAGAGCAGTTGGTTAAACATTGGAATTGACTAGATTGAGTTCCAAATGGGAAATGGCTTTGCTTGGACTGCAAGGATAACCTTACAGCACCTGTGGAAACTTGAAAACAGGAAAGATTCATGGAATTCAGCATCCTAGACTTTGTTTTTCAAAATGACATAATCGTTTTTAGAACAATGGGCAAAGAGGGGCAAAGGTATCCTGATAGTGTTAGGTAGAGACATGTATTATGTGTGGAAAGATGTTTATAAAGCTAAATTAAATAAATGAGAGAAAAACATTGAAAAGCTTTAGGGTCAGAGACTTACAAAGACAATTATCCTGAGCAATCTTTACAAGTGCATGTTTTTGATCCTGGGTTTCAAGATGATGGACCTCCTTAATGGCAGTTTTGATCTTCTTTAAGTCACCAGACAAGTTGAGCTTTTGAATGGCTAATTTGAAGGGGGCCAAAGATGCTGAAGGCTTCTGTTTCCACAGAAGATATGAATGCTCTGTGATGATAGCTGTGGCTGAACAGTAAAATAGTAGTTATGATGGAGTGATCAGCAATGAGAGTACACACCAATAACTAGAAAGGCAATATCCTCAAAGGTTTTGGTATTGCCAATCTAGGTAGAATTACATTCTAGTCAGAATGCTGAATAACATTGACATGGTGAAGGTTTACAAAAGGCCAGTCTTGATAATAGGAGACATCATTCACCTAGAAATAGTGATTGATTCAGTTGATGCAAATTAATTGTTATTCTTAAAAAGGGAAATTTGGATGTAAAGATAGAGATACTTACAGGCTATTTGAAGAAGTACTGTTGCATAGAAGTTTTGGTGAAAAATCTACAATTGAACTCACAATCTCATCATTCTTAGTGAAATGAATGTGAAGAAGGCTTAGACTCAGACTTACACACTGTTCAGGACCCAGAGCATGCTCTTGTCAGCAACAAGCAGAAAGGGCCAGCCAGATGCTGACTTACATGCTATTCAAAACCAAGAGCATGCTCTTGTCAGCAACAAGCAGAAGGGCCAGCCAGATGCTGACTTACAGGCTGTTCAAAACCCAGAGCATGCTCTTGTCAGCAACAAGCAGGAAGGGCCAGCCAGATGCTGACTTACAGACTGTTCAAAACCCAGAGCATGCTCTTGTCAGCAACAAGCAGAAAGGGCCAGCCAGATGCTGACTTACATGCTGTTCAAGACCCAGAGCATGCTCTTGTCAGCAACAAGCAGAAAGGGCCAGCCAGATGCTGACTTACAACCTGTTCAAGACCCAGAGCATGCTCTTGTCAGCAACAAGCAGGAAGGGCCAGCCAGATGCTGACTTACAAACTGTTCAAGACCCAGAGCATGCTCTTGTCAGCAACAAGCAGGAAGGGCCAGCCAGATGCTGACTTACAAACTGTTCAAGACCCAGAGCATGCTCTTGTCAGCAACAAGCAGGAAGGGCCAGCCAGATGCTGACTTACAACCTGTTCAAGACCCAGAGCATGCTCTTGTCAGCAACAAGCAGGAAGGGCCAGCCAGATGCTGACTTACCTCCTGTTCAAGACCCAGGGCATGGACTTGTCAGCAACAAGCAGGAAGGGCCAGCCAGATGCTGACTTACATCCTGTTCAAGACCCAGAGCATGCTCTTGTCAGCAACAAGCAGGAAGGGCCAGCCAGATGCTGACTTACCTCCTGTTCAAGACCCAGGGCATGGACTTGTCAGCAACAAGCAGGAAGGGCCAGCCAGATGCTGACTTACATCCTGTTCAAGACCCAGGGCATGGACTTGTCAGCAACAAGCAGGATGGGCTGGCCAGATCAAGGGCTAGCCAGATGCTGACTTACATGCTGTTCAAAACCAAAGCACATTCTTGTTAGCATCTAGTTGAGACCACCTGAATGTTGGCTTACTTTCTGTTTTAAAAATATATCAGTTCATTCTGCAGCTGGATAGTCCAGTAAGTTTAACATACCATGTGTGGAAAATAACACAATATATTCTTAACCATCTCCCTACACTCTATGTTTCTTTTGAATAATTTCCAACCTGGAAAGGTTGGAAATGTAACTCTATTATTTTGGATAATCAGTAAATTAGCTTCATACAAATAAATATGAAGCAACTACCTCATAATTGCAGATTCAATTGACAGAGACAGATCATTTTTCTGCACTGTCAGAAAAAGCTGTAAGATTGTATCATCCGAGAGAGTAGCTGCTGTCCTCCTCAGCAGCTCATTGCAGTCACTTGTAGGATTTTGCATGTCTGTTAAATGAAATTAATTTGTAGACTATAAATAAACAAATTTGTTACACCTCGGAAATACACATGTTCCTTGGGAGGATACTTTTTCTTGTACAGTTGCTGGCCAAAATTCTTATGAAACCTGGCAACTGATTCTTCTGGAGCTTTAATAGTGGCATCTTCAACATCCATTCCAGTATCAACTAGGTGCCCAATAGTTTGGGCATCAAGCACATCTGCTTTTGTAAACAAAACAATAACAGGAACTGTGGACAAAAATAAAAGGTGAAATTCAAGAGATGATCCATAGTTTACACACCTCTACCAGTCCCACACTCATCAAAGAAATTTAACTCTGCCCTTGTGATTGGTCTGGCTTCATCATTGATTGGAATGCAGTACCTATGCAGGATTCAGATGCATTTTAATGTTACTGTTCAGTCACTTACCAAATCACATGCAAATGATCCCTGAGGTGTTTGTTGGTTGAATGCTTTTGCATGAAATCCTTAACTTTCTGCAGCTCTGATGTTCGGCCTGCTTCAAAGCCACGTGAGTCATGAAAGACAAAGGCTGTATTACTCTTGAATATCATTTCATTCTCAATATCATGCACCCCTCTCTGCTACACCTTCAGTAAAAAGCAATAGAGATTGTAGATCCACATTGCCTGTGCAGTTGGATTGAGCTCAGACAAGTCAATCTATCCACATCAACAATGATAGATGATGATGTCTAAAACATGAAATACCTCATCACCCTCCTGATTGAAAATTTTCGGCTGCTCTGTTGTATTACAAACCCGCTGGAGGATGGTTGTCTTCCCTGAGTTAGCGCGGCCAATGATAAGGACACGAAAACGCCCGGTCATCATTCTGAGGTTGCGTGCTCGTCGCCGTTGTCTTTCAATATCCTCCATTGGTTGGATTTCAGTAGCGGGAAGAGATATTTTTCGATGGGACGCCTGAGATGGTGGAAGTGATGAAGAAGCAAGATAAGCGCGCTGAGGCGAGCAGCATTGTTTGGTACACGTCAGCCAAACGAGTGACGTCACTCACTTCATGCTCACTTACGCCATTACAAGAATACTTAGGCCAACATGTACCAACGCATAAGGTGGATATTATTTCTATCATTATACGGCTGACTCAAGCTCATTCAAGTTTGTGTAACTCTAAACTTGAATGGGTCGACGAGGACTGGCTGGTTGAATTCGAAGATGTTATCCGTGCAATATCTATAGCTAATATCTCCCGTAGACGACGGCCTATCCCACTTCCTGACGAAAGGCACTCATGCATTCAGACCCCTCCAACGGCCTGCACATTGCTCGTTCTGTGGGCTAGTAAAAAAAAGGAAGATGTCAGAAACGTTGAAAACTAGTGAGTTCCTCGCCTCGCCATACCTCCCAGCACTCGATTGTGCAACCGTTCGCCAGCCAAGCCAAGGTCAAAAGACCGAAGTCGAGCGCCAAGCGTTATGCACAGATAAATCGGGAATGTAGTTCGCAAAGGACACCTTCGGCCTCGGAAAGGGCACGAAATTGTTCCAATATTGGGATGTGCGTATTATATCACGTCAGTATCACCCTTGAATCACATAATTATATCTAGTTTAGCGAGATGGCCTTGATGCTGGCTTTGGTCGTAACGGTGGATGGTCTGTCCCACGTAAACGGTACCTTCTCTTCAAGCAAGGAGAGTACAACATCACGGCGATCGCGTTCTTGTCGGTTAATGGAATGAGTGTCTTGACGCTGCAGAAATCGAGAGAAAGATGATATTCATAATACAAGTGACAGGTATATGTGCACAGAGGTATCAGGAGGGCGATGAACCGAGTACAAATGGTAGTTGTAAACAAAGAACGTGCGAGATGTATAGGTAAAGCATAAATCAAGGCATAAAAAGGAGCGAAGCAAAATTCGTGCTAACAACATCAACCCATCGGGGAAGGACTACAGAGAGCATATTGCAGTAGCATTAATGATTATGAATATAGATGCGTGTATAACCATCATCAAATGGGCCGGGATCTGTGTCGCTTTTGGGGGGTTGGCATCACACCACAGTGTTCTGGACACGGATGCGGGCCGGAGAAGAGTCGATGCGTGCAAAGGACATGCGAGCATGGGGGTTGGTCAAGGGGCCGTCACGGTTGCCACGCGAAATGGTAGGGCTAGTAGGGATGGGGTGGTTCTGCCAAGAGTAGAATCGTGGGGTGACAGAGGGAGGAGGGGAGGGTGAAATCATGGAGCGAAGATGGTAAATTGCCGGAGGGGGCGTGGAAGGGGAAGGAGAGTCGGGGGAAGGGCTAGGTAAAGAGGGTTCATTTGGAATATTAATGGGAGCGATGTTAACAGCTCGGCGGGCGGTGGGGGAACGAGAAGTGATCCGCTCAGTGTCGATCTCAATCGCTGCGATTGGAATGCGCGTGGGGGATTGGGGTAAGAAGGGAGATATGTCAGAGAACGATCGAGGACGATTGAGCCGATTAGATCTTGGATGGTCGGCGATTCGTTGCTGTTCGCTGCCTGGAATACGTGGGGCCCCGGAAGTGAACGATTCGGAAACGCGAGAGAACGAGGGAGGAAGGTTCCGGTCGCGCGCCAACTCCGCTGCTGCCTGGGGAGCGGGCCCTGACAAGAAGCGTTGCCAATCATCGGCGACGTTTGGGTAAGCACCAGCGATGAGGATGGCTGAATCGTCTGATTCTACGGCCATTGAGCTGCCACGGTCGTTGTCACTGTTGGCACCCTCTGCCACCGCCCTGACGGTCTGTGGAATGCCGTCCTCCTCAAGGAAAGCCTCGTACTGAGCGTCATTAAAGAACTCTTCGGAATCAGGGTCAAAACGATTGCATGCTCCCCATTTCTCGCATGTGTCCACGATCGGTTCTGGCTCGACCCGCACCGCTGGTGTAGAAGCGTAAGATAGAGAAAAAAGAGCGCGGCCCATTGGATTTTTTTGTAGAACTAAGCAAAACGATTAAGTATTGCAAAGGTATGAATGCCGTAGCAACAAGCCGTTGGCTTTTGGGTATTTGAGAAAGGAGGGGAAAGGGTGAGAGAACAACCAAGCTGGCTGGGAAACGCGTCGCGCAACATTGACAAACAACGATCAATATGTACTCAATTCAAGAAAGATGCGGGGTCGCGTTCAACACGTGGTCTGGTGCTCACAGCCGACGACGTCAATCAATCCAAAGTCAATCTCCTTCCCTCAACAACGTCTCTCGTGGTGCCCAAGCATGGCATCTGTAAAAGACGACAAACAAGATCAGGCGACGTTAGTCACGGACGTCTCAGAAACAGCGCCCCCAATCGCGCCAACTGTGGTCGATGTTATTCCCAACTCGCCCAATCCATGGAACGACCATGTAACAGAATCCGAGAAAGCAACCGTCACCGAAGAACCACAATTCAAACCATTGACCACACCAGATCTATCCTTATACGACCAAGGCATCTTTGGGGCTCTCAAACAAGATTCACCGACCATCTCAGAGCCCAGGACCACCGTATCAAGAGATGTCTTGAATGAATTCGATCCCTTAGCTAATCCTGAAGAAGAATCCGCTCGAAATGCTTGGGAGACCTCTGAAAGCCATCCACCGCCACCCCGTACACCGTCGCCTCCACCACCACCACAGAAAGATCAGATCCCCGTACTACCCCCACAATCGCCAGAAACAAGCACGCCACCCGGTTCCTCTTCCTTCCCTTCTCTCGCTGCTCTAGCGCGCACATTTTCCATCCCGTTGGCGCGGTCAAGACCGATGTCTATAGACGTGGCACGCAACGTTCCTTCGCCAGCGACGTTATCATCGTTTGCTGCGCAGCAAGACGCATCATCAAATCCTGTGTCCCGATCGGGCACACCACACGCAAGTGGCAGCGGCACGGCGTCTCCTGTGTCTGGTGCAAAAGACAAGGGTATCGAGACGACATTTGACTTTCAAAAGTTCTTGGATCAGATGAAAACGAGGAGCGCAGATCCCATTTCTAAATATCTTCGATCGTGAGTATGTCTTCTGTATGATTTTACTCGCTTTCAACCCGTCATGTTAGCTTCCTAAGCAACTTTGCGAAGCGGACGTTCACTGTCAACGATCAGGTTAAAATTATCAATGATTTCCTTGCAGTGAGCTTAGGCAGCTCAGTTTTTTGTTCATATACTAATTTATGTTCAGTTCATCTCAGGACAGATGCGAACCTGCGATGTGTGGAAGAGCTGTTCAGAAGCCGAATTTGATAATGCCATGGAGGGAATGGAGAAGCTTGTGATGAACCGGCTTTACGATTTGTCAGTTCTATTTCTGATTTGCTTACAAGACGGACACTCAAATATATTCAAGTACATTCACTCCCCAGCTATCTCATGCTACTCCGCCAAGGCCCATAACTACAGACGACTTGGAGCGAGATCGAGTCCTTTCACAGCGAATAGCGCTGTTTGGGTGGGTAGAGGAGGAACACCTTGATATTCCAGAAGGGGAGGGAAGTAAAGGATTCCTCATGTTCGCACAACAAGGTGTGGTAATTCTTCGCCTTGTTGAGCGCTCACAAATTTTACAATTCATCGTTAGAGCTCCTAAAGATTAACCATTATAAGGCCCCTCGTGACAAACTCATCTGTATCTTAAATTGCTGCAAGGTCATCTTCGGTCCGCTGTCCTTTGCACCATCTTGCCCCTTTTGGTTATTGACTGAATGCGTAGGCTTGATCCGCCATCTCAAGAAGGAAGAGGGAGCAGATTCTTTCATTCCGATACTCATTTTCGTCGTTCTGAAGGCCAATCCTCAACATTTGCTTTCGAATGTGGAGTACGTTTATAGTATATTATTGTCTGAAAGGAATCTCAACAAACTCTAGATTCATCAACCGGTTCCGAAATCCAGCCAAGCTCCAAAGCGAAGCAGGATACTATTTGTCAAGTCTCGTGTGTATTCTAACCTGAAATCAAGGACTAAGCTGAACTATTTTAGATGGGAGCTGTCTCCTTCATCGAGACGATGGATCACACATCTCTCTCTAACATAGACCAAGAATCGTTTGAGAGGTAGAACTTTGGTCGCCTTATTCACTCCAGACTAATTTTTTGTGTAGAAACGTTGAAGAAGCCATCCAAGCACTACCTCCCTCAGAACCACATTCTCCAGCTACACCTTTCGCAGAAGCCAAAATCCGCCCCATCATCAACTCCACCCTTTCTCCACATGCGGGCGAAGAGTCTGCCCAACTCCTCTCCTTATCCACTCCCGCCCAAACCCTCTCGGAAGATGCAAAACGGCTGTTACAGAAAACAGGAGATACTATTTCAAAGCCCCTCAATGCAATCGGTCGGATATTTACAGAAGCGCTGGATGGGGCTGAAAACAGACTATCTTACCTGCCAGGTCCTTTTGCGCCATTTGAACTTGGACGAGAACAACGGCAGGAACAAGCCGCGGCACCCCCACCAGTACCTACGTGGAGTCACCCTGACCAATGGCAGCAGCAACAATTAGCCACACCTCGGTCGGCACAAATACCTCAGACACCCTTTGGCGCGGATGGGACGTACAGCCCTCCTCTGCAGACACCCTATAAACCTCGTGTGAGGAGGGTTGCATCACCATCCGCCTACGCTGGTGGTTCACCGGGAGGCTCACCGGGATACGGAGGACCAGAGGACACTCCATCAGGAAGCGGGCCGTTCACCAACCAGCCCTTGGCGATGGGTCCTTCACAGTCACTCATCCCGCCACGTGTCGGCTATTTGGCAGCGGGCGGCGGGGATGGCCCACATATTTCACGGACGCCAACGCCTAATTTGGATCTTGCTGGGATGCAGGCGCAGATTGATTCAGCGCATGAGCAGGCGGCAGAGGAGTCGAGGGAGACGTTGGCGCAGATATTCCCGGGTGTGGATGGGGAGGTGGTTGAGTGGGTGTTGGAGGCGAATGAGGGTGACCTTGGTAAGAGTATAGAAGCGCTACTCGAGATGACGAGTGGTACGTAGACCCGTGTTTTTCGTTTTTGCGGCTGCTATGACGAAATTATTTGCAAACCTTCCTTGTCGAAGGTTCATCAATAGGGCAACCTTCCGAATTTTAGATTACGACTTCCTGGATGACGCGCACAAATACACAGGAGGCGGCAACGACAAGGTGTAAGATGGTATATATACCCTCCATTCATTTTTCCGTTTGGTCAAGTAGAATATTGTCGATCAGACGCGTTTTGTCAACGTAGAGTGCCCCACTGAGTATCACCAACCCAGAGTCTGCTTTTGTCCGACGCGCATCCAACACGTCAAAGGCCGCCGCGTCGTTCAACTCAAGATAATCCAAACGCAGATCTACAACCAAACCATCTGAAATGGCCTGCTTCTTCGCGTCCTCGACCAGCGTTATACCCGCCCTCACACATTCCTCCTTCGCAAGGCCGTCTTGCCAAGCACGTTGGGCAGCCTGCAGAGCTCGATGCAACGTTGGCGCGACCTTCCTCCCGTCTGGAGTAAGATACGCGTTTCGCGACGATAGAGCTAATCCGTCAGACTCATCACGCGCAGTTGGTATAATGTGGAGGTGGTCCTCATCCGGGTGCGACATCAAGAGATCTCTACATAGGCGTTTGAGAAGCAGAGCTTGTTGAATGTCTTTTTGGCCGAAATACGCGTTAGTTGGCTTGTTACAAAAGTCAGTGGATGACGAATAGGCGAGAAGGAAGGAAGAGCTACGGACTTGTATGACGTTGAATAATTTTGTGACGATCGTCGCTACTCCACGGAAGAAGGTGGGTCGACTCGTGCCCTCCATTTGATGGCTGTACCCCTTGACCTCGATAAAAGTACCCTTCTGCTCCGAAACGTCCTGAACAATGCCGGAAGGATACACCTCTGTCACGTTGGGCAGAAAGATGGCAGAAGGGGTGCGAGGTACGATGGAAGTGGTCTTCACGTTTTGCGCTTCCAGGAGTTCTAGGTCCTTTGGGAGCGTCCTGGGATAGGTCGCGAGGTCCTCGTGTGGCGCGAACTGTGCCGGGTTCACGAAGATGGAGACGACGGTGAGGTCGTTATCAGCTAAAGACCTTCGGACTACGATGATCAGGAATTATTTGCGAAAGAACTTTTTTTTATGCAAACGCACCTAGTGATAGATGTCCTTTGTGCAGCGCCCCCATAGTCGGGACATAGCCCACTGATTTTCCCTCGTCGAATGCCTGTTTTCTCCAAGCACGGTATGACGAGATAGTGGTGAAAATAGGGATTGTGCTAGATGGTGCAGCCATGGACATCTGGCGTCGAGTTAACAGGGAGAGATGATGGGTGGTTGGAGAACGGGAGAGACGGAGAACGGATAGTAGCATTATTTAAGTCATAAATATGGGCTGATTTTTTTTGTGTGAGGCTACCGAGGTCCGCGTCGTCGAGCTCACTGCGAAGAAACATGGTGAGATGAAAAATTAATTAGCCGGCGTCAAATCTGATTAGATGTCCGACAACTTCGAATGCTTGTCGAATGCTCAGAACTTGATACACAATGGTCGAAATCTCTCGAGTTACCACTGCCAGTGACTCCAGGCTCCTGAGTATATCAATTGGCAATGTTACGGATCAGTTTGACTTACGGACATACCAAAAACAGAGCATCCAGAATTCTCTGTCACTGAGCTCATCGCTGAGCACCGCCTCGAGCAATGATCAGCGAAGTGCCAAAATCACCTCATGGACAAACGGTGTTTCTGTGCAGCAAATCAGAAAGGCCACGAGGCACTCGGTGTTCTCAAAAATTTGTTGGTCGGTTTCCAGAGGAACATTCGCATAAATTCGAGTCATTTTTGTCCATTGTTACCCCTCAACCCTCACCACGAGTCAGCTATGGGTCCTGCCACAGCCTGCCACCCGGCACCGACCATAGCCCGCTATTTCCATTCGTATAAATACCCTCGATGCTTCTTGTGAGTGCCCACTACCAAGATGGCGACTCCCCTCGTCCTCGCACAACAAGTTTTCTCTGCTCTCACCAACAACCTCGGCACAAATTCAACTTCTGAGGCGGCACAAGCAACACCAGTCTCTTTCCCAACTGACCTCCCGTCGCTCGTAACATTCTTGTGCTCTTTGTCCGCTCTTCGGGACTGGTTGAAACTCCTTGTTTTTGGATTTGTTCTGGAGTCTCTGCGACGACTAGCGTTCCACTTATATTACAAACTTTACGACTCTCTCTTCATCACCGCCACCTTCGATGAAGATGATGCCAGCTACAGTTTGTTCTACTTTTCACGTGTCTGAGATCGCGCTGACAACGAGTCGATTGACAGACTGGGTTATGGTGTGGCTTTCAAGACAACCATCATGGTCTCAAACACGGAATGTTCAAATCAGCACCCGTAGTTTCAACCTACGATCCAATGCCGTATTAATCGAAGGAGAGGAAGAAGACCCATTGGTTGCTGTCGTCAAAAAGGATCGAAAGCTTACTTATCTCCCATCGGTTTCTTCGACTTTTTCAATGTGGTACAAGAGACGTTGGATTAGGGTCACGCGAAACATCAGAGATGGTTATTATGGTCGACGGGAGGAGAGTCTGGAACTTTGGTTCGTAGCATTTTTTTACCACTTGAACGAGCGTTAAATGATCACATTTCAGCATCCTGTCGTGGAGTAACAAAGTCCTCAATCAGCTACTGTTGGAGGCCAAGAGGGAATATCTGGCTGCCCAGGAACACACAATCTCGATTTACGTCTCTGACTCGTAAGCCCCCTGTCCTGCATCCTGCTTGACAACTCCTTATCAATCCTTATAGTTCCAATGAGTGGCGCCACATCGCTTCTCGCCCTAAACGGCCACTTAAATCCATTGTCCTGGATCCCGGAGTCAAGGATTTGCTTATTGACGATGCACGAGACTTCTTGGAGAGCAAAAGCTGGTATTCCGCGCGTGGTATACCTTTCCGCCGAGGCTATCTCCTTGTAAGTCTCATCTGGCTCGTCTACGCGAGTAGTGTGATAACCTATTCGGCATAGTACGGTGCGCCTGGATCAGGAAAGACCAGCATTATACACAGCTTAGCTGGCGAACTTGGCCTTGACGTCTACGTCATCTCCCTATCTCGATCTGGATTGGACGATACGGCTCTCAGCGAGTTGATCTCCGATTTGCCTGAAAAATGTATCGCTCTCATGGAAGACATTGATGCGGCATTCAGCCAAACAATGAATCGTGATGCCGCGGAAGATGATGGTCAAAACAAACCTGATCAACCTCCTCGACCCAAGCAAACTACTTCCAGGTGTGTATTATATCACTCCTTTTCCGATTTTGTGATTTTTGACCTCCTTCATAGAATCAGTCTTAGCGGGTTGCTCAACGCACTCGATGGCGTCGGTGCGCAGGAAGGCCGTATTCTTTTCGCAACCACAAACAAATACGCTTCCCTCGACTCTGCCCTCTGCCGTCCTGGACGAATGGATATCCACATCGAGTTCAAGCTGGCCAGCAAGTATCAAGCCGAGGAGCTTTACCGATGCTTCTATCTTCCCGATCTGGAACAAGAGGTCGATGGAAAAATCGTTGAAGACGATTCTGGCTACTCCACCGCTGACAACGATGAGAAGATCATCACTCCTGACGTCACGGAGATCTTCGAGCCTGAGACTCTCCCACTAGTAGACGAGAAAACCCGTGTTATCGGCACCTCGCATCGTGCACGGGCGCCCAAACTGTCTCGTTCACAGGTTTCGAAACTAGCTGCCCGCTTTGCGGAAGCTATGCCCGAACGCGAGTTTTCGATGGCTTCACTTCAAGGGTACCTGATGGCCTACAAGGTTCGCCCATATGAAGCGGTATCGGAAGCACCGGCTTGGGTGGAGAAGGAGCGTGCGGAGATTGCTCTGAAGAAAGCGCAGTCAGCGAAGGACTTGGCAAAGGGCGCAACGAAGGACACCGCGAAGAACACCGAGGAACAGGACACTTGAACAAACGTTTAGTGTCCTGAAGTTGTTTGAATTTACAACCCCATCATACCCTTTCTTGTTTTGGGGTAATATGATGCACTTCGACACCTTCAGCATCCTCCAGGTAGTACTTACGTTGACTACCAAATCCGAGCTGGCATGCTGCGTCCAACCCCTATATCATTTCAATCACAATGATTCACGTCGTACATAAAAAGCATGTACACATGTATCAAACAGCTCTGGGGTTTACGAGACACACCATAATTGTAGACCACTTTGAAATTTCTTTGGAGTGCCCTTGTTCGAAGAAACCATGATAATACCACTCAAGTTAAGCTCTAAAACCTTTTGCACTAAGAGACTCGCGGTCACAGAAACGAAGCCAATTTCTGGATTCTCGAGACTTACGTCTAACATGAGTAGCTTTTGCACTAAGAGACTCACGGTCACAGAGTCCATAGCGGTTGGCCGTGGCGCCCGTATTAGCGTGGTGTCCGCCATAGTGACTCGTGAGCAGCGTGGTCGGACTATTGTACAACGTCTTGAAGCTGTCATCCTCCGAGTCTATCAGATGTTCTGGCTCGTCGAATGAAGCCACTTTTGAATGCTCTCCCTGGTTTGCTCCTTCTGCATCATACGTGCCCGATGCAAGTCCTTCCTTGCATTATGCGCCCACAATCTCAGGACCACGTCCCAATAATCAACTTCCTCATTTTCTCCTGCCTTCGCCAGTGTCTTAGTCTGCGAATGACAACCTGCTTTCTTAGCTCGAACCGTCTTACTCTGCCCTGCACCTCTAGCTGAATGAATGTCGTCATCTTCACAGTTGTGGTAGTAAAACTCCTTGCTTTTTTCCGAGGAAAATTGTGCAAATTCCTTCACTCCCCACGCCTTGAGGGCAGCACAGCCATAGGCAATATCGAAGAGAAAAGGCGGCGGGGAGCAGTCATTATTTGATTGCACCGCAACCGAGATATGAGGTACTAGGAACTGGATTACATTATCACTGCAACTGAAGTTGTGGAAGGTGAGGCGACTGTTCGCGACCGATGGATGAACAGCGTAGTGAAGACCATCGAGAACAACGGGGTGTTGCATGGCGAGGGGCACATCGTCGACGTTCATCGCGAAGTTGGGTGTCTAGCAAATCAACTCAGTCAATTTGAAAATAACCGCGTCGAGTACCTGACCTGTAAAAAGGCGACCTCAGAAGCTCCGAACGGGCGGTGCAGCACTTTCAAAAGCAGGATCCCATTCCGCGTATCGTTGATGCTCTCTAAAGGCGGATCGACGACTACTTCCCTGTGGGCAACAAGATTCTTCATGTACTTCGCCTGGAATGAGCGACGTGAACGGTAGTACAAAGGGCCGGAACGCACCTGGTCCCCCTTTGAATGCGGGATTATATGACACCCCTCAGACCCTGCTGAACCAGTCATCACGCAACATCTATCACGATTGACGACATCCTGTCTGAAGTCTGCCTGGCGACTAGTGACTTCCGACCCAACGGAAGTTCTGTCATCCATCACCTTCGGATCAAGCAAACGAAAATCGTTGTCTATCATTAAAGATCAATGATAGGTCCTGATTTCCTTGAAACGACTCGCCTTGCGATATGTAGTAATAATTACCAGCCGATATAGTCACACCTTCAGGACGGTAATCCGCGACCTGTTCGCCATCGCGTTCACGGGAGATGTAACCCTCCTTGCCGTATATGGCGTACCCCAGAAAACGTAACCAGGTGAGAGGATGCAATGAGAATCGCTGACACTCGTGAACGGGGATGGAGAGCGCATGCTGATACGCATCACCGAGACGGATCCAGAGCTGAACATTCAGGTTAACGCTTGTGGCCATTGCGAACTCAGATGTTGTCACTGGTCGAGGCTATATCTGCGAATGAGGGTCTCCTATCCATTTCCCGCTGCGTTAGGAGTGGGTTCCAAGGACAGAAAAAAAGGAGTTGATTTGTGGGGTATCGTCGTTATGTAATATCGTCAACCCTCTCCAGTCAAAATTCTACACCGGGGCTGCTAACAGATCTATCACAGCATTCAAACGTCCATTGCTAGCTGATGATAAGCGTTCACCACCAACTCCGATAACTGTTCAAAAGTCACCCCTCTATGTGGTCCATACGCACCCGCCAGAATGCCCGGATCCACAATAAAGGGCAGCGACCACCAAAACCACGAAACCACCCACACATACCCAACGACACGCGTCCACATCGGGGGTGGGGATTTTGGAGCAGCAGAGTCTTTTGATGTTGAAAGTGCTGCATTTCTCGGTTTCCGAGCAGCCAAGCCTGATCCAGGAAGACTCAACAGTTTGGAAACTACCGTCTCGAGGGTGACAGCTAGGCCTTGGAGGATGAAGAACCAGAACGGTCCTGTCCCTGGCTTGCCAAGCATCATGTAGTCGCCCCCCACGTGAACGAGGGCTGAGATGAAGAATGCAATATTGAAGAACACGAAGGGGGCGTAGGGCTTGTCTATGGGGCAGTTGAGGATTTTGGTGACTACGAAGATGGCGCAGGATTTTAGTGGCTTAGAGGTATTGTTAGTAGAGAGTGTAAAGGCGTAAACTTGACGACTTACTCGCCGCAACATTTGATGCCAAGTTCGGCTGAGAATGGTGGCGTCAGAGCGAGCACTTTAGTAAAAGCGTAACGGTTATACGCACCCCCAGAACCTCTGCACACTGTACGCATTAAATGGACTTCCAAACAGATCTGGCCACTCTTGAGGACGAGAAATCCCAACGCCCACACAAAGAACAGCTAAAACGGAATGCAATAGGCTGATATGTGTAACGGCGCCCAGCGCGAAGGCACAAACACCCGTGGTATGATAAAACCAGCCCATGTCCCTCACGGATGCAGTTTTTCCCGACAACGCTGGGTTAGAGTTGACAGCCATGGATGCGAACGCGCCCAGGAGGGCGCAACCAAGGGCGCGAGCAATCCTTGATACGACGAAGGCAAAGCGCGATTTGGTAGAAGGTTTTGGAAGGGTCAACGGTTCGATTGACCACCCTACTCCGCGTGGACTGCAGTATAGACTGAACGCCTGACCAAAACGCGTCGCCAAGGAAGCCTCCGCGTCTGCACCCTTTGCTCTTGGGGGCTGACCCTTCGGATAGACATCCCTCTGAACATCGATGATGAGGATGTAGTCAATGGCTACTATGAGCTGGGTAAAGATAGCCGAACCGAGACCTAAGTCAACGACTACGTCGCCAGTTGTTGTATAACAGACAAGGTAATATGAAATGATTGCGATGGGGAGGAAGATCAACCAGCGGGTCCATATTGAAGTTTTGCTTGAAAAAACTGTCATAGAAAGAACGATCAGACATTGCGAAAAGACATAAAGACCCCAGGGGAAAGGGTTCCTCTCTGTCATGGTAGACGAGAGAAACCAAGGGGAAACGAAGAAGAACGTCAAACTTTTTTTACGAACCTGATCTACAGTTTGGTTCAGGTTTGGTTCCTATCAGCTCAAGCTCGACCTTTATGGGGATTACACGTAACAAGTCCTCCTTGAGCGCCGGCGATATGGCCTTCGACGTCGAAGTTGAAAAATGCTTCCGTCAACGAGGACACGCTTGTGCCCTCCCTAAACAGCGACACGTGCGCATGCAAAATGTCAACTTCCGGCGGCTATAACCAGACCTCTACATACCGCGCCGACTAATAGACGCTCTCGAAATTTTGGCAGTGGCGGAAGACTGAACTCATTGGTTAGAAGAACTCATCTCACACATGGCTGCTTCTGGATGCCCTCACATTGCTAAACACCTCGGAGACGTCAGCACCACCGGAGACACCGATTTCATTCAGAAATACAAGACAGTTGTATCCTGGAACGTACGGTACGCTCAGAGTGTCAGAAACCCTGCAAAACGAAGAAAGGTGAGTCCAGTTTCCGCCCGTAATCAAGTGGCACCTCTCAACAAGTATCTTTCTAGGTGTTTGCGCCGATGTGTGGCGTATGCGATCTCGCTCTTTCCCGTCCATTCGCATGCTTACATTGCGATTTTGCTGGTTGCTGGCTGGAGGGACATGCGCTAGGTCACCTGCGTGATGCCGGTCACAATTTTTGTAAGTTACCTTTGCACTCTGAAGGGAGAATTTTGATCAAAGAAACCATTACGCCTTCGTAGGTGCCGATACAAAGACAGGGTCTATATTCTGTGCCCAGTGCCAAGATTTTATCTACCACCCGAAAGTTGATGAGATTTACCTCGCTGCTGTCGTGATGACTGAAGAGCAGCAAACAAAATTTCAAGGTCTATTTACTCAACTCACTAACTATCAAAACATCATTGTAATTTTCCCCAGTATCAAAAAAACTTCGGGAACCGTACCAAATTTGGGTTCCAGAAGCAAAGGACATCCTCGCGCTAAAGAATTCGGTCCCGATTCCGTGTCAAGGTAAGCCTGCTCCGCGTCCTTCAATTGATTATCTCAAAAAAATAAATCACTACCCAAGCCCGTCGAGGTCTACTAAATCTCGGGCAAACCTGTTTCCTAAATGTCGTGTTGCAGTCCTTTGCGCACAACCCCCTTCTTCGGAACTATTTCCTGAGCGATAAACATAATTCTAAACAATGCAAGACCGAAACGTGCACATGCTGCGAAATGGATAAACTCTTTACTGAGGTATGCGGATTTTACTCCAATTTTATTGTGAAGGAGAGTAGCTCCTTTTTCTTGAAATAACAGATATACTCGGAAGACCCCAATCCGTATGGACCCATCACCTTCCTGGCGACCACCTGGCGCGCATCCGCCGAACTCTCCGGCTACGCCCAACAAGATGCACACGAATTCTTCATATCCGCGCTGAACCAAATTCACTCGACTTCTCGCGGTTCAACAGAAGTGTCTTGTAATTGCATCATTCACTCAACCTTTGCGGGCCAACTGCAGAGTGATGTGAAGTGCGAACGATGTGGCAATATAACGAACACTATCGATCCCATGCTTGACATCAGCCTGGAGTTGAAAGGGAAAGGTGGGGAAGTTGCTCCTGGCGATACCCTGGCCGCTTGTTTACGGCGGTATGTTTTTCTTTCCTCCCGCATCATATGTCTAATGAAACGTTAAAGATTCACGCAATTTGAAAAGCTGGGTCCAAAAGAATACACATGCAGTAAATGCGCCAAGATCTCTCACGTTAGTACACCTTCGACTCATTCCTTAAGCGCTCTAACTGGCGGAAAATAGGAAGCCAGCAAACGTCTAAGTATTCGGACACTACCTCCTGTATTAAGTTTTCAATTCAAGGTACCCACTCTCTCATTAAGCTCACAACCAACTCTCACCTCGCATAGCGATTCGAGCACAAAACCAACGACAAATCATCTGCTCGAAAAATAGACGCACAGGTTCGGTTCCCAGCTTCAATCAACATGGCGCCGTACACCACGCTTGTAATAAAAGACATGGAGGGGGCTAACGCGAACGATGCTAGATATACGTACGCTTGCGTTTTTCGTAATTGCCACAAGCCATTCTGACAGGAAGTATACATAGGTGCCCTGCTCCGGAGGTGATGTATGAGTATGACCTCTTCGCCGTGATCAATCATGAAGGACAGATTGATACGGGGCATTACACCAATTACGCGTGTTTCCAAGATGAGGTGTGCTCCTTTGCCTTTTTTTCGAGGGATACCTGAAAGTGAACTGTTGACATAGTGGTATAAATTCGACGACGACAAGTGAACACCTCCACGCCTTTCTTCTCTACAACCACTCAATTTGCTTTTGTAGAGTAACACCATCAACACTGGGCGCGTGCCTCGCCTCCGCCGCATATATGTGTTTCTACGTGAAGCGACACTTGGACTACAAACCGAACATCAAGCCATCGTACGTCCAGGCACATGAAGCGGAGGCGGTGAGGGAGAAGGAGCTAGAGAGGGAGAGGGAGGCGGCACGGATTAAAGATGTGGAGGATGCGCTTTTGGCTACTGTCTAAGATGATGGTGCTGGTATGATAATATCTGATTTTAGCTTGGTTAGTGGTCTCGCTGGTGGCTGCTCTAACCCTTGGTTGACTTGTTCTTATCTTCCTGAACGCCAGAATTTCGAGGTAATTATGACGGGGAAGCAGTCAGGGAAGCCAAGGCCAAGGATATGAAAAACACTTGAGCGGTGCTCATGCATTGGCTTGAAGTTTAATGTGGCACAGTTCTTCTTGACTGGATCACTGCGCTTCAGCACGTTGGGCCTCCCTCCTCATGGCGGAGTATTGCGTCCATCCTGACAGATATCCAAAAATCCAACGACTCAGGTCCTCTGTAGAGCAGATGTATATGTAACAAACTGATGATCATACATACAATGAACAATCCCACAAGTTCATCCCCAATATCCACAGTCTTTGTGAATGGGGACAGTCAGTCCTTGGCAGCGAAAAAACATAGAGCTCCAAAAGCTGGCGCCAAAAAATCTACGAATCGCCTCTCTGGGAATTGGGCAACCGGAGTCCCCAGAACCTCCATGACATACGGAATAGCAACGAGCGTGACTGCATCTGCCTGCAGCTCTCGAAGAAAAGCATCCGACTTGTAGAACCAGATCCTTGCCAAGATGATTAGCTACACAAATTTGGGCGTTAGCAATATCTTATGATGCTCGGAGAGGAATTCATTACCGCATTCGCGACCATACCCCCTCTTCCGAGAACAAATCTGCTGTCTTTGAGCACCGGGCCTCCAAATTCCTTGATTGTCGCAACGGCAACTTCAGTCGATTTTGACTCAGTGCTCTGGTTCCCTGCTGATTTATACATTCACGTACCAAAGATCGTGACAACCATATAACCAATAACTGCCAAGTGGCAGACAGTCTTTCCCTTACAAGACAAAGACGTTCGAGTTGGAAGAGAAGGGGCAATGAGAGGTTGGGTTTCCTCATCCAGAGATGCCGGAGGCTTAGCGGATGGAGATGTCTGGTGTCGTCGTTTGTGAAGGTGTACATATAAGAAACGGAGAAGAACAACGGCCAAGAGACCGGCGAGAGAAGCGAGCTGATCCATTTCACTCAGGCTTGCCATTATACAAGTAGGAGGCTCGGCCTGTTTGGAGGTAATATGCCCGTTAATATGGCAAAGTGCCTCGTTATATTTTCCTTGGGACCTTCAAGTCAATTCGAGCGTAAAACGCCCAGGGGTGTACTCACTCAAACCGATGGTAGTGGAGAGAAGTGAAGAGCAAGGTTGTAGCTTCCAACACAGCCATCCAATTATTGATCATCACGTGCTCGAACTAATGCGTCGCCCTCGAGTCTCTGCGGGCCTTTGATTACAATTGGATTACAAGGGAAATAATCAAGGAAAGAAGACAATCGATTAACTCGTTGGTGAGTATGAAATCAAATGTGCTTAAATGTCGACCGCCGACAACAGAAAATCTATTTCTACAACATCTATGGTTCTTGTGGCAGTTTGGGATGCTCAAGTATCTGGCTTGTATTTCTACATAGCACCCCTCAAATACCTCGCTAATTTTTTCAAAAATCTGGGACTGCCCTTCTCTCTTCGACAACAGCACACCGTCCTGTCATTCTCCAGAACAGGTTGAGACGAGATATATTCCCCTCTGCAAGAGAATGTCCCTTACGGTGGCGGTAAACATTGAGTGCCAGGTTGGGGGTATTGGCAGTTGGCGTGTCACCGTCATGCAAGTGTGCGCCAGGGGGCTTGGTATAAGCCAGCATGAACAATGCAATTCATTCAAGCCCCAGCCGCCGGCGCTCTTCTGTTTCACGTTCCATCTTCCCAAAGGTGTCCTCTGCGCCAGAGATTGTATCATCCCACGCAACGAAGAGCTCAGATAGAGTGTCCACCTAATTTATAGGTCATGTCAGAATAGAGAGTTATGAGTATACAGGCGACTCACGTAAGTCGCGTGCCGATCCATGAGCGTTGCTATCCGCTTCTCGAGGGAGGCAGCCAGCACCAAATCTTCGTGATGAGCAGCTATCAACGCATCCAAACGAGGCTGCAGTGTTTCGTGATCTACCGAAAAAATTTCACGTTAATACCCAGTATGAAGTAGAGCTATAGTCTCTCACCTGTGAGCTTCCCAGCTCCGGTTACACCTTTCTTCTCCAACATATCAATCTCTCTCATATCCCGGTCCGCAGAACGAATGTCAGGCTCCATCTCGGCCAAGAAAGCCTCCAACTCCTCAGGAGTCATGTTCTCATACGTCGGTGGGTCTGGCAGTATCCCAGACAACGCGAACGACGGCGTGAGGAGGTGTGCATTCCGGTCATCTAAAGGAAAACGAGGAAAGAAAAAAAAATGAGGTGGATTATACGTAGAAGAAGAAAAAAGACCACAGACAATGTTCCATGAACCTCCTGAGCCCTTCGTTCCCTTCAACAACAGCGTCCAACCTCTGCTGTACGCTCTCCGCAAGCCTCACGAGGGTTTCTCCCTGCTTTGAGTGCAAAGCCGGAGAAGCCAACGCATCCTGGTCACCTTCTCGTCCTTTGCCTTTCCGTTCCCTAGAAACACCCAACACGATCGCCTCTAACCACCTCAACCGAAGTTCCAAGGCAAGTGCAGGCTCGATCGTAACAGGCCGCGTCGTGGGCGCATCAGCCGTTGTAGTCGCAGGGCCATCCACATCATCCATCATGCTATGGGCCAATGGAGACGAGTTAGAATTGGCTACGGGGGAATGAGGGAGGCTGCTGAAGACATGCGACATGGTGGTGGGTGGTGGAGAGGAAGGTGGGGTGCTGCCAGTGTGTGTTGAAGATGAGAGATGTCGGAGACGTTGAAAGTCGCCTAGAAATACACTGCCGATATTAGCCATGGAACAGCGTTTCTTTTCTCAGCAGGGGTTCCGAACTGATTATACAGGGCTCAAGCGTCAAGAACGAGAGATCATATCCAGAAAGGAAGAGCACAAGTTGCCTTCCGCAAACGGATTAGGCACAACGGTAACAACAGGCATATAGAACTGCGAAATAGAACGAAAGGTAGAATACAGGTGTACAAGGGGCTCGTAACTGTAGAATAGATGCGCCATGGCTTGGCAATAGATAGATAGGACCTCTCAAATAGAATGGTGAACGTTCAAACCCTCGAAACCATCTCCACCGGCAATTGACTGTATCCCTCCTCCCTTCTCCCACTAAACACCCCTCTTACGCTGCTCAGCACAGTAGCTGACTGGTCCATGAACATCCCCGTCCACCCTGCACCAGTATCAATCACATCAGCCTCCTCGCCAAGCATAATGCTTTCAGCCGGCCTCCGCCAGAAATTAAGCGTCAGCGAGCTAGTCACAACGCTAACACTTGAAAAAGCCATCGCAGCTCCAGAAAGCATGGGATGCATGTACAGCCCAAATGGTAGGAAGAAACCCATGGCAAGTGGGATGCCGAGCACATTATAAAAACATGCCCAAACGAGATTTCGTTTGATCACAGAGAAGATTTTTTTCGATAGGTGGAGTGCAGCAACGACATCGAGAAGGTCTGAGCGCATGAGGACGATGTCGGCGGCTTCGATAGCGACCGAAGTTCCAGACGAGAGAGCGATACCGACGGTGGCTGCTACAAGGGCCGGGGAGTCATTGATCCCGTCTCCAACCTACGTATCGGTGTTGATATTGAAATTACGTTAGCGGGAGAAGAAATGTACACACCATTGCAACACCACCTTCATTCTTCGCTACAAACTCGGCCACCATCGCTGCCTTGCCATTGGGGCTCATCCTGGACCACACACACTCAGGCCTAATCCCAACCTGCTTAGCAATGGCAATTGCAGTCGCCTTTCCATCACCAGTCATCATGTTCACCTCAATTCCCATCTCCTGCATGGCCAGAATAGCATGCCGACTTGAAGGCTTTGGCTCGTCCGCTAAAGAAACGGCCAACAGAGGTGTAGGGTGACCCAAACCAGAGTTCAAGAGGGACACAAAGATGATCGTCCTCCCAAGCTTAGTTTCTTGCGCTTCATAAGATGACAGCGTGGAAGGGATGTATTGGTGAGCGGAAACGCCGTCGCCCGTTTGCATCGTAAAGCGGGCGCTCCCAATGAGGAGGGAGTACTTGTTTCTAGAGCATGAAATGCGGGCTTTCACACCTTGACCTGTGACACTCTCAAACTCCTCCACTTGCGCATCCGGACCGGATTGACCTAGAAGATCTTTACCGTACGTTGCAATGGCCTTGGCGAGAGGGTGTTCAGATTTAGCTTCGGTGGCACTGACCATGGCCATTACCACCCTGCGCTCGGTTACTCCATCTGCACAGAGACCATCCAAGCCAACGTCGCCCGCATACATCTCGTCGTTGCCGAGCATGGTGTTAGGAGCGGCTACCCAGTGCATCCCAACAACGGTCAATTTCCCTATTGTCACTGTGCCAGTTTTGTCGAGAACGACACGACGGATGTCCTTGCTGGCTTCCAATGCACGGCCGCCCTTGATGAGGATGCCATTCTTGGCACCAATCCCAGTACCAACCATTATAGCAGTGGGCGTTGCCAGTCCTAATGCACATGGACATGCGACGACAATAACACTGATGCACATCTGTAGACAGATAGCAAATTTGCTCGCTCCGTAACGGGAGAACATCTTTGGAAGATCGCCTTCGTCCATAAAGGAGGCAACGATGATCCAGAGAATGAAAGTGAACGCCGCGAGGGCAACGACGGTGGGTACGAAGTAGCCAGCCACCTTGTCCACGAAACCCTGAATGGGCGCCTTAGATGTCTGCGCGTCCTCAACGAGACGGACGATCTGGGAGAGCGCAGTGTCTTTTCCTGCTCGCGTGACGACCATGTCGAAGGTGCCCAACCCATTGACTGTCCCACCAATAACGCTATCACCCACTTGTTTGAGGGCAGGAACAGCTTCACCAGTAAGCGCGCTCTCGTCAATGCTAGAGGTACCTTTTATGACAGTCCCATCTGCTGGACATTTGTCACCTGGTACGAGCTTGACAATGTCTCCAACTTCAACGAGCTCGGTAGGTATTTTCTTCTCTTGAGTGCAAGCAGGTGCATCAGTGTAGATAGTTGCCATAGATGGGGCCAGTGACATCAGATCTGTGAGAGCTGCGCTTGATTTACCCTTGGCCTTGTTCTCAAGGTATCTTCCAAGCGAGACAAACATAATCAACATTGTGCTGGTTTCGAAGAAAAGGAAAGGGCGGAAATTAGGTGTCGTGTTGAACATTGCGGCAACCAAGGAAAACACGGAGTAAAAGTAGGCAGCAGAAGTGCCGAGGGTGATGAGGACATCCATAGTTGCGGTTCTATGCCGGAGAGACTTGTAGGAGCTGGTATAGAATTTGGATCCGACCCAGAATTGAGCGGGAGTGGTGATAATGAAAGAAAGAATGTCGCCTAGATATATTCCTCTAAAAAGATGGTAACCGAGGATAGTCCTGAAGAAAGGAAGATGGGTGCCGACCATAGCAATGAAGAAGACGGGAAGAGCAAAGGATAGGCCCCAAAAGAATCGCGAACGCCACTCCAAGACCTCCTTCATACGGGTAAGAGATTGCAGTTGAGTAGCATCTTGCTGGTCTGACAACATAGCGTCAAAACCCATCTCCTCTATTCGTTCTACCATCTCTCGAGGGCCAATGATAGAACGGTCAAAGTTGATTGTACAGGTTTCCGTAGCGAGGGACACAGCAACGCTGATAATGCCAGGTACGGCGGATAGCCCAGATTCAACGGTGTTCGTGCATGATGAACAGGTCATGCCATATATTCGTAGCTGAACAACGTCTTCACGAACGGGAGGTATGAGGGTCGCGTCGAAACCGATATCAGATATTTCCTTGGGAGGTGTGAGACAGGTTCATGGAGCAACCCGGACAGACATACGTTGATGAGTTTGTCCTCCGTCCACACTTTAGGATCGTATTGAATGACGCCACGTTCCGCAAGGAGGGCAACCTTTACTGAATGAATACCCTCTTGATCTCTAAGCATGCCTTCGATAGCCTTGATGTATACGTCAGGATACGTTGAAGTGCAATAGTATATTGCCAGACATACCTCGACGCACGACCCACAAGTCATACTCTCTATTCGAAGCTCGCATGTTTGTGATTGAGGCGTGTAAGTCGAATCCTTGGACGCTCCAACCCCCGGATCATCATTGTCCAATGGCAGGAGGACCGCATGCTGACCCAAGGACGCGCTGAGTGGAGACTTGGACCACAAATTCGAGATGTAGGAAGTCATGGGATCCAACGTGTCTATTTTCTATGACAGAGCTCGGAGGAATGGTAGAAGTAGTCGGATAGGAAGATTATGCGGGGATTAGTAAGGGTGAAGAAGTCAGGCAGTCCACAAGGGGTAATCGTGGCACTAGTTCCCGACTGAGGCAGCTGATAAGATGCGAATGCGCCTGCGCGGATTAGATAGATGGGCAGAGAAAAGACGTCGGCCGTCGAAGAGAAAGCCAAGAGAAAGAGAGCTACAGTAACAGAGCGCTGCACACCGAGTTCGCCATTACCACCGCTCAATTATCACACCGTTACATTTAGTCACAACAGTATCTATTGTCCGGCACGTGATCTCAATTGCCATGTCCATTCTCCGACACTCTGCTCGTCGCTTCGTGCGCGCCCTTCATACGAGCAATGCTACTGTCAATGCAGATGAGATAGCACATTTCTCCAGGCTATCCTCACAATGGTGGGATCACCAGGGAGAGTTCAGCTTTCTTCACAAGATGAACCCAGTCCGCGTCCAATTCATTCGTGACAAGCTGCTCGAAATCGCACGCGAGGAGAACGATGATCTCGACATACAACCGACGCACGTACTTCGTGATTTAGACGTCCTTGACGTTGGATGTGGAGGAGGGTTGTTGTCCGAGGTACGGCATTGTTCCTTCTTCTCCGCTCCTCTGACCCCACAACAGAGTGTAGCACGGTTAGGTGCACGAACGCACGGTGTCGACGCGTCAGAATCGAATATTTCCATTGCGAAAGTCCATGCCTCTGCAGATCCTAAACTCTCCCCTCCTTCCCCATTTCTATCTTACGAACATACATCAGCAGAATCACTCCTTACCTCTCCCAAGCGCTATGATGTCGTATGCTCGATGGAGGTCCTAGAACACGTTGATAACCCTGCCTCTTTCCTATCCACTTGTGCGACGCTAGTCAAGGTCGGCCTACATCCCTTCATCCTTATACTCTTCCTAATTTTCTTTCTGCATATAGCCAGGCGGACACCTCTTCCTCTCGACAATCTCACGCACACCCCTCGCCTACGCTCTCACCATCTTTCTCGCTGAAGACGTTCTCAGAAAAGTATCCAGCGGCACACATACATATTCAAAATTCATCAAACCCAATGAATTGATAGAATTCTTCCAAAATTATCGCGACCCAAGTTCTTCCCAAAATAAGGACTCCATATCCATTCCCTGGATAAGAACGAACGGAACATACCTTCCACGTACACAAGCAGAAGTCCGCGGTCTTATCTACAACCCCCTCCTAGCTCGATGGCATCTCGCAGCTCGTGATGCATGGGGCGGTACGGATTGCAACTATCTATTCTGGGTCAGGAAGCCAGCGCTCGAGTCGGGCGATGGGTCAGCTGCCTCATAGTTGCAGATTCTTTTCCTGAGAACCCAATCTGTCTTACATACTTACAAGGAAACAGAATACCATTCACAACTTGGGAAGCTTGAATTTGCATCATGTCTCCTCGAGAAAGTAACGATTCCAAATAGTGGTATTTACAGATGCAGGTGTGCAAGACCGATTGCTTACCATCACAGATGCCGTGGATGCATATTGCTTAGGCCCCCCGTGGAAAGGGGGCCCCGTCCTAGAAAAGGTCAAGACATGCAAAAAAGTCAGTTTCGACGCTCTGGAATGGTATCAAAACAAGTACTCACGGGATTCACCCTTCATCACCTGTAAAATATTGTGAGAGTGCTTCTAAATTGAGGACAAAATAGGAACTTGCAGTGGCTGGTGGGTGCACTGATTGAGGAATGAGGCCGGCCAAAGGAGAAGTCGAAGGCTGCGGAGTTTAACAGTCGTTCGAGATGAAGAGGTTACAAAAAGCCAGATGACGAAGCCGTAGATCCAAGTGAGCTCGACAAAGCGTGCTGGAAGGTTCAGTGCACCATGTAGAGCAGTGAAAACAGGAGGGAGTTCCAGTCCAATGGATTCTTTCAAATGGCGAAGATAACATCCAGGGAGCACAAGGCCTAGTGCAACATGCACTTTTGTAGAGTTTGAATCGAAAACATTTCGTGTGACGTGGATTTCAGTTCAGGGAATAGACTTTCACAGGTAGCAAACTGCGAGCCGTCTTCGATTGAGTTTGTCGCTTGAATTTTCACTATCACTGTAGCATCCCTGGGGCAATCGGGGAAGGCGGGAGCAAGAGCAGAGACACGGCAACATCCACCGAATGAAGGGCCAGAGCTGGCCAGAGAAGCATAGTTCTGAGGGGTAAATCCCGGGAGGTCGACTGTTGTAGGCTGATAGTTTCACGACCTGACGAAGTTAGAGTCCGTAGCACCGCCTTTGAGAATTGTCGGATTCACCACGCCGAGGCAGAAACAGACTTCCATGGATATGAGGTGGAGCAATCGTCGTTAACAGCCGCATCGTCAGATGACTGGAGAAGTCGGGGGTTAGACCATACTAATAACATCCAATCAACTAGAAACCAAGCCGAGAGAATGATCATGGACTCCTCGGAAGTTGACCCTTGGGAGTGGCGGGTTGAATGTTTTGGCCTGCATTTCACATTGAACACAGTCGAAACAAGATTGGAATTCGAAGCCTTCGGCGTTCGCAGATCCAACTTACATCCGATGAAGATTGGGACAAGCATCCAAGACATCCCCTTGTCAAGTCTGAGCAAGACTGATTTGCTGAAACTCGAAGAGAAGACTGCAAACCCAGGTAACGAAGTAAAGCACCTATGAGAATGGAAAACCCCGTGTGCATCGTAAACCGACATCCGACAAGATAAGGAGAACCGCAAAAACAGGCAGATGCAATGCAGCCTGGTTTTTCACTGTCACCGTAGTATCCTTGAAGCAATCGGAGAAGGCGGGAGTCAGAGAAGAGAGAGGGTAACACCCACAGAATGAAGGGCCAGAGAAGCATGGTTCTGAGACGGTATATTCTGGGAGGTCGACTGTTGATAGTTTCGCGACCTGACGAAGTTGAAGTACGCAGCATCGTCTTTGGAGATTGTCGGATTCACCACGCCGAGGTAAATCGAGGATGATGCAGACTTCCATATGTAGAAGGTGGAGCAATCGTCGCAGCTGCGTCGTCGGGAGACTGGAGACCATAAGAACATCCAATCGATTCGAAGCCAACCAGAGAGATGATCATAGACTCCTCGGAAGTCGAACCTTGTGAGTGGTGGGTTGAATGTTTTGGTACGCCTGTCACAACAAAGTCGAAACAAGATTGGAATTCCGAAGCCTTCGCAGAACCAACGTCCGATGAGGATTGGGACAAACTCGCCATACGTCCCATTAGGTTTGAACAAGGCTGATTTGCTGACCTTCGAGGGGAAGACCGCAAACCCAGGCAAAGAAGTAAAGCACCGATGAGAACGGAGAACCCCGTGTGAATCGCAAACCAACATCCGACGAGTGAAGGAGAGAACCGCGAAAACAGCCAGATGTAATGAGGGCTCGATGTGATTGGAGAGACTTGCGAGAATCGTAAACCATTCATTTGACGAGGACTGGGACAGGTCCCGAAGGGTGTAAGTCTGAAGAAGATCCGAAAACCGCAAATTTCGATGTGATTTGAGAGCCTTGCCATGCGAATTGCAAACCGACCATCCGGCGGGAGTTGGGAATAGGCATTGTCCGTCCCTCGGTATGATTGAAGAGTCTCGTGAGACATCCATTCTGACGTCTGGCATCTTGAACTTTTGAAGGGAGAACTGGAAACCCAGGGCATATGTGATTGGAGAGGATAGCCTTGTGAGAATCGCAACCCAACCATTTGACAGGGATCGTGACAGTAAACCCAAGACATTGTCCAGACAAAACTGGTGTTGAACTTCGAGGAGAGGATCGCAAAACCTGACAAGGCAAATGGAGTATTTGATGGGGATAGGGAGGAGACATTCCAGAACCGACTGGCACGTTGAACTTTGAAAAGAAATTTGCATGAGCACCAAGAAGCCTTGTGTGAAACGCAAAGGCAGCATCCAACGGGAATCAAGACAAACCTCCACAAGGTCTCATTAGGGTCCGAGTTCGAACAAGAATAGTAGAGGAATCGCAAGCGCAGGCAGCACATTAAGCACCCGTGGAGAACCTTGTAGGAGTGAGAAAGCCAGATATTCGATCAGATTTGAGGGAATCGCAGACACAGGTCTAGGCATAGAAACCCCAAGTCAGGTCAAAGTGAGACTAGTGTTGAACTTCGAGGAGCGAACCGCAAACTCGGACAAGGCAGGAGAAAGACGCGCCAGATATCGTTCACAGACCTTAGAGCAGAGTGCAGAGACCAGATTGGAACTGTCTGGTCTTTGAAGTCCCCATGTCGAGGCAATGAGACTAGTTCGGTCGTTTTTATCGCGTTCGTCTGCTGGACTTGCACGATCGTCGAGTTGTTCGAAAAACTAGACTAAGTTGCCCAACAGCATCCACCGATTGAAGGTGAGAGGGACCAGGCCAGTTTTGAGAGATGATGGATCCTAGCAGGTCGATCGTTGAAATTTACGAGACCGGTGGGTTAACTTTTTCTTGAATCGTAGCCGGTGTGCACCAAGTCGGAGCCAAGTCAAAACAAGATTGGTGCATCGGATTTCGAGGAAAGCCTCGTGAAAATCGCAAATGCACTGGTGTCCGACAGGATTGGGAACGGACCCCAGGAAGTTCAATTCCAAACAAGACGTGTTAAATGAGGAGAGGCACCTGGTAAGAATCGAAAACCCAAGCAGAGGCATAGAGTACCCGACGCAAATTGAGACAAACCCAAGAGTCGCGAAAGTATACCAGCCATCATCCATAGACCTCGGATACCGTGGATGGAGACATCGCTAGTGAGAAAGGGGAAACAGAGAACGCTATGCCGTGTATAGCCCACAGACTTGAAGCGATCGCGTAGTCATAGACTGTCCAGATGTCACCTTCGAGAGCGTTTCCCAGATTTTGACCCGAATCCTCCGTCCATCCTGTAGGTGTCCTTCGTGTAGTTCTTCCAACGCAAATTGAGGGTGCTATATGTCGCATCGTCTCCGAAGGTCATCACATCGAGGAAGGATAGAGAAGAGAAGCTTCGAGAAACGGGCACGTCTTCCCGCGACAGCCAGATTGACAAAACCAGAGGAATTGCCTCGTAGTTATATGCTTGAGCGACTTTCGATGAATTTGACGTCCGATCAGAGCATGATCACCATGTCATAGAGGGAGAGGATCTGTCGGTGAAGGGAAGAAAGGGGCAAGGCTACTCGCGACCGCCAGATTAACCAAAACCCTCTTGATACGTGACTGCATCCATGCTTGGAGGACTTCCGATGGATACGACGACTCCCGAGGAGCGCAAAGTATTTGCGGTCAATGAAGAGGGAGAACGGAGAGGGGCAATGCCAAAAAGTGCGTTTGGCTAGGGTTCTTTTAAAGATCGGGTCACGTGTGCGCGAAGTCAAAGCTGTAGCCAGCCACCAGGCCACCGGGCCACACACAACACGAGGTGATCACAATGAGGCCAGAGATCCGAAACGGTAGCATTGCGAATTTCAAACGGACAAGGCGAAGATCTGATAGCAAGCTCCTGATGTGGACACTCACCGAATAGAAAGGACCTTTACAAGTAATAGAATCAACTTGGGATATTCGCGTTCGGAAGCAGATGCATAGCATAAACATATTGTGATGCTTAAGAAACAGGATCGTAAGAAGTCGTCATTCATGATCATGAAATCGTTCGTCCGAGAAAAACATTCATTCGTAAGGCATGTTTTCTGTAGCCTCTCCAAGGGATAGCCATACATTCGCTACATTCTCCGCGAATTCCTGTTCTTCGCGAGCGAAGCTCTTCACCGTTTGAGTGAGCAGCGTATTTTCCCGGTTGTGCAAGACTCCGCGGAGTTCGTGCCACATGCTGGAAAGTATGAGACTCAAGACGCCATGAAGCCTGAACAAAGAGCTTACCAGGCACGAATAAAGACTCTTCTGCTCAGTTGAGCCGCGATTGTTGCCTGGTCTTTCTCAATAACAGCAGCCAACTTGTCGACCTCGTCTTGCCATCCTTCCTTCTGGGCTGCCCTTATACCGTCCAACTTCAACGAGTTCATATCAATGCGTTTCTTCAGGCGTTCAACCTGATCGATCGAAAGTCGATCATGACGAAGGAACAAGTCGCGAGTAGCAATGTATAAGTCACGCTGACCCTGCTTTGATATTGAGAAGCAATTCAGAGGAAATAGGTGAGACTATTTACCTTGAGAGACTCCAGCGTTGTATCGAGCAGGCTTCGGGTCTGCAAGATAGTTAGACAACATATCTACTTCTCAGAGGATATCTCACTCTAATTTCCGACATTTCAGAATGTCGTTGTGTATGCGCCGCGACCTGTTCCAATCCGCTCCGAACGCCATTCGACAGTTCACAGTCGTCTCCTCTCCAACACTGTTCATTAACTTCAACGACCGCCCGGAGAGTATTTGTTAATCTGGCTAGATCTCCCTGATCGTCCAAGGGTGGTAAAGAGAAACCGGTAAATGATTGATGGAATGAATTCGACATAACGGACGGTGCGGAGCCGGGTAGTGATGCGATTGAGGATGTTGGAGAAAGAGGAGGCAAGGTAAAATGAGCGGAGAGGTAGGATCGTCGGAAGGCTGGAGGTGATCGTACCGCAGCAGCTTCACGTCTCTTTATTATTCGCTCCGCAAGAATACATATCCTTTGCCACTGTTCGATAAGTGGGTTGAGTCTAACTCGTATAGCACTAAAAAGTCTTGGTCAACTGGGTTTTGCGGGTGAACAAACTGTTCCGTACGTGAGCTTCTCTTCCAAATCACTCGGGATCGACATCTCTTCTACTCTATCAACGCGTTTGGAGGCTGATTCCTCGTCTAATGAAATTGGGGAATGTTTTCGCCACTCTTCGAATGACGGCTCAGTGAGAAAGACGGCCAATAAACCATCCTCTTTAATGACGGGGTGATTTCTGAGGGGAGGATATAAGAGACAAAGTGAATGAATAAAACGAAATAGACCAACATTACAAAGCTGAGAGCTCTGGAGAGGCCTCTCCTAATTTTCCTCTTCAATCAGTTGATGATCTAAACCAGGGATTTCAGACGCGTACTTTCTTTGTTCCAGAAATTGTTCGTCCGCTGGAATTTATGTAAGATAAGGATCGACGGATCAGAACGCAAACGCACCTCCTATCCGCTTTGGAGGAAGGGCAGGAAACAGGCGAAATGGGTAACGACGGGTCAGGCACTCCCAGAGAAAAACAAACTCTGAGTATCTCCGCGGTACCGATCCACCCCTCTGGTCACACGATAAGAAATATACAAAGAATGATATAGATTGAACTCACTTCAGTCGTTACTTCGTAGACCAAGTATCTGTTCAGAATAAAACCCTGGTGACCAAGAATGGTGACCTTGACCGTCTCTTGCTTCTTCCACCAATCTTTCGGCATTCCAGAGCCAGACAAGTTTGATGGAGCGCCATTAACGAAACCGCCGGCTGCGTTCCCAAAAACGCCGTTATTGCTTGGAGCAGAAGGAAAGCGTGGGTTTGTACTCCATGGATCGTCAGAGGAGTATGCGGGCGCCGGTGAGCGGATGCTATTCTGCCTGTAATTGGATGTGATAGGGTTGAAAGCTGACGTCGACTGCAGTTTGGCAAGGTCAAGCGTGGGCTCAGGCAAAGTGTTCTGAGTTGATAGCGAGGCAACCTGTTCAATACTGACATCTGCAATTAGGGATTAAGAGGCAAAAGACAAAGTTACTTGGATAAAGACAAACCTTTGCCTGCTTGCGCAAGTGCTACAAGAGCTAGCGCAACAAAGAACTCGAGTTTAGACACTCGTGGTTTTGAGCTAACCAAATTTACAATCTAGGCACGACGTGATAGATTAGTCTAGGTTAGGTGGCCAGCGAAGCAAACACAACGACTTACCTTGTCAACGGTAGCAGCTGGAAGAGATGAAGTCGCCAAGACTCGCGAAAGGGAGTTCACGGATGTTTCCCCGAGATTGCTTGGATCCACTGTAGCAAAAGCGCGGTGATATATCGACGGAACAGTGGCATCTGCTGCTTGCACGGTGGTCAACAACGGGTAATACTTCGCGTGGATGAAACATACCAATGACATTGCTGAATACCGAAGCAGACGTTTGGGGAATGGGTGTTGGTGTCGGGCTTGGTGCAGCGCTCCATGGGTCAAGTCCGTCATCATAGACGGAGTTGGCAAGCGGGTTCTCGTCGACAAAGCTCCCTCCAAAGCCGGTGGTTGACGTTGCGACGTATCTTTGAGCGGGGCGAGGTGCGTTGAACATGATAAGAATGAGCGACCCTAACACGCCGTCCAAGACTCACGTCCAACTCCCTTGAAGTTGGAGAGATGAAGGTCAATCACGTGGCTACGATATGTCCAGAAGAGGATCACGTGGTGCACGCGTTCTCGCCTTCGTCGCGATCTCTCATTGTCGTTAACTCATCGTTTCTTTCTCTCTCTTAAACACATAGATGGCTGACCTTCCAGCACTCCTCAAAGCCTCGCTCAACCCAGAAACTAGAAAGCAAGCTGAACAAAATCTCAATGCTTTGAGCACACACAATGGCTTTTTGACCCATCTCCTGAACCTCATCCTCGAACAAAGGGTGGATCGTGCAATCAGATTATCAGGGAGTGTCTATCTAAAGAATATTACAAAGTTGCGCTGGGATGAGGTGCGTCTGTGATGTTCCATTCAAATACACGGCCAATGGGAAATCGATGCAGGACATTCAACCCCTGGCCGAAGAGGACAAAGCTGCATTGAGAGCACAGCTAGTTCCTGCAATGCTTGCACTATCTAACCCCGCAGACAAGGCTATTCGCGCTCAAGTTGCAGAGTCAGTATCTCTTGTCGCTGAGCTAGACTTTCCCGCGAAATGGGAGGATCTCATCGATGTAAGTGTTACCAGTCTAGTGTCTTCCACTCTGCTGAGGTACTCGGCCGTGTAGCAATTGGTCTCATCTCTGTCAACTACCGACTACAATACGAACGTTGGAGTCCTTCAGACCGCTCATTCCATCTTCCGCCAGTGGCGCGCGCACGTCCGATCCGACGAGCTCTATACAGAGATTAACCTCGTTCTGACAAAGTTTATGACACCATTCCTGCAACTCTTTAGGCAAACTGCGCAGCTGCTTTTCGGCACAGCTCCCGCCGCGAATTACGCGCTCGTGGCGCAATCTATGGTTCTACTCATCGACCTCTTCTACGACTTCACTTGCCACGACTTACCACCCGCCATCGAGGATACGCACGAAGAATTCTTTGGGCCGACATCAGGTTGGTTTCAGGTGTTTTTAGGATGGGATCCAGCCGAGTTGCGGGGAGATCCTGATGACACCACTCCTTCCTTGCCATCACAAATCAAAGCAGGAATTCTCGAAATCGCAGAGCTCTTCATCAAGCTCTACCCCGACCAACTCCTTAAATCTCCAGCTGTCGAAACTTTTGTCAAAAACGTTTGGAACCTTGTCGGATCGAACAAGCTTCCAGGCGTGGCTGATGATGCCCTCGTCTCTCAATCTCTTCGCTTTATCTCGACTGCTATTCGCTCAGGATACTACAAAGCTCTCTTTTCGTCAACAGAGACCATCTCATCTCTAGTACAAGGTGTTGTTGTTCCCAATGTTGCCCTTCGGGAGCACGATGTAGAGCAATTTGAGGATGATCCCCTTGAGTTCATTCGACTTGACTTGGCCCAATCGAGCACGGGCTCAGACCTATCCACTCGTCGCCAGGCTGCGGCTGACGTTCTCCAAGCTCTAGTAGGGAGTGGGTATGAGACTGAGACAACCCAGATTGTGGGCCAGTGGATTTCCACCGGACTGAGCGAATACGAGGCGAACAAGGCCCAGAATTGGAAGGCGAAAGATAGCGCGGTCTATCTATTGACAGCAGTCGCTACTCGTGGATCAACTTCCCAACACGGAGTAACTTCAACTAATGCCCTCGTGGACGTGGTCAAGTTCTTTTCGGACCATGTCTTCCAAGACCTAAAAGCTGCGCCAGGGGCTGTTCACCCCATCCTGCAAGTCGACGCTATCCGATTTTTGTACACCTTCAGGAACCAGCTCACAAAACCCCAACTCCTCTCTGTCCTTCCCTTGCTATCTCAACGCCTTGAGTCAGAAAACTACGTCACCTACACATATGCTGCGATCACTATTGACCGTATCCTGTTCATCAAGCAGAACAATCAACTTTTGTACGTCTCTGCTTGATCTTGTTCATCCATGGGTGCTGATGGGGGCTGTGAAAGGTTTGGACAAGCAGACATACAAGAGTCAGCCCCCCACCTAGTACATGCGCTATTGACTAAAATCGAGGCCGCCGGCACGCCGGAGAAGGTTGCGGAGAACGATCATCTAATGAAATGTACGTCATTATGGACATTGTTTTCCGTCGAAGCTTATGAAATTGTAGGTGTGATGAGGGTTATCGTGACTGCACGGCAAGGGCTCACGTCTGTCTACGAGTTGACATTGAGTCGTCTGGTCGGGATCCTCGGCCGGATCTCCAAGAACCCGAGTAACCCCCACTTTGATCAATACATCTTTGAAAGCATTTCTGGTCTTATGAGGTGGGCTAGCCTTTTTAGGTTCCAGGTTCGATTCTGAGCATTTCTCGTAGGTTTATCGTTGAAGGATCACCCACGACACTACCGAAATTCGAACAAACGCTCTTCACTCCATTTACAATGATCCTTCAACAAGACATTGATCGTGAGCTTACTCCATCTTTGCCTCAATTTTTTTTTTTCATTCTTGTTTCAGAATATATCCCCTACGTATTTCAAGTCCTCGCCCAAATGCTTGACCTCCATTCTACCCGTGAAGTTCCTCCCGAGTATCGAAACCTCCTCCCCTTCCTCTTCACCCCTGCAATATGGCAACAGAAAGGAAGTATCCCCGGCCTGGTCAAACTGCTCAAGACATTCCTCGGTCGAGATGCTACGCAGATGTTCGCGGCGGGACAGATTGCGTCTGTGTTGGCCGTCGTGCAGCAGCGGCTGATCCCATCGAAGGTCAACGATGCTTGGGGCTTCGAGTTGATCCAAAGCGTGGTTTTGAGCGTTAAACCGTTCGTGAAACTTCCACTCATTTTTTAAAGTGTACAGCAACGTTAATTGTTCCTCGTGTGCACAGGGAAAACCTGCAACAGTACATGAAACCGTTGGTAATGACTCTCTTAACACGGATGCAAACCAGCAAAACCGACAAATATACGTATCTGTTCGCTCGTTTCATACTCTTCACTATGGCCATCAATGTCACGGGCATGTCGCCTGACTATCTTATCACTACTATTGAGGAGATCCAGGCAAAGCAAGTTTGAATTCCTTTTCTTTTTTTCCTCTGCTCGCTTACAACTTCGTTTAGTTTGTGGCCAAACATCCTCTCGAACTTCGTTATACCTCAAGCGCCAAAGTTCCCCCACAAAGAACGTAAGTTGGCCGCCGTCGGCTTGACCCGTTTACTTTGCGACAGCAGATACATGATGCAACAACCCTCTGTCGCACACTGGTAGGATCCCCCTTATTGTTCTGATAACCCTTCACTGAATAACATCCAGGCCGAGCGCATATACTGCTCTGGGAAAACTCTTCAGCGAGCCACAGTACTTCAAGTCATCTGAATCCGAGGACCCTCACATAGGCATCACCGAGATTGACTTTGAGGAGCAAACTGCTGGATATCAGGCTGCTTATTCCCGCTTGGCGTCATCTGAAAAAGCCGAGGTAGATCCAGTTGCTTATGTCCAAAATCCAGCGCAATATCTGCAAGCGGGTCTCGTGGCGCTCTCGAAGACCTATGGGGAACAACAAGTGTCATCGCTCATTGCAGCTGCTGAGGGTGGGAGGATTGTGTGATCTCGTTTTTCAACAAATCGTCCTGCTAAGTAGTTACCAGCACCTACAGTCTCAAAAGACGATGAGGCCTACAACTGAGATGGAATGCAATGTGGTTCAATAAATAATGTGCTCTGATTCACGCACCCCATCCTTTCAATTCTCGAAGAAGAGAGAAGTAAATTTACAATATAGCCTACTCGCAATGGTATATTATAGGAATGCGTCCGTCCCCAAGTATGTATGATCGCGACTCTCGGGGTTTTTCCCTTAAACCTCATGTACCTTTTTCGCTGCAAAGTGAAGGGTCCAGGTCGACAACAGGCGCTTGCTGTTCACCTGCTCACCCGTCAAACTGTACGAGGCGGAATGAGAATCGGGCTGCACAAAGGATGGGTGGATAAAGATTACTCACCCTGGCGTGCCATAGGTCAGTGGTGCAAGGTAGCCAAACATCAAGAACAGAATTAAGCTGAATACGATAAGAATAACGGGGCCCTTGACCCCTAGATCAGCATATTGTGATGGTCTAGCTCGTGTTTTGGGTCCGCGGATGGAGATGGGATAGTTGATCGTGTCGCTCAGAACGAAGTTCAATACGGAGCCAGCAACGAGAGCCGAGGCGAGGTGAGAGGGTAGATAGTGGTGAATGAAGAGCTGACGGCTCATCAAGAAGAAGGGGATGTAGTGTACTGCCCAGACCAACATGAAGAACCCAGTGTTGTTCCACAGGCGATTCCGCACAGCTAAAAAAAAGTAGACATTAGGGCAGAACTTTCAAACGTTAGAACGAGACTTACGGTCAGAGATAGGATCCATTCCACGGCGCCTTGCAATCAAGTCGGCTCCGAGAATTCCAATAAAGATGGCGATACCAACGACGCATGCCCACCAGCCTATCAAATTGCCGATGAGATAGATTTGCTTCTTATCGTCGTTCTCTGTCCAGAAGCTGATGCCCATGAGGAGGAATGGCCAGTTGATGGGATTACTGGCGTAAGGATGAGATGCTGTTAGGCCAGCATTGTGCTGCAGCATAAGCATTTGAAGTTCGCCAAACTTCCTAAAGAAGTTCATAGATTTGGGGATTTTAACAGCCGCATGTTCCGTTCTATCCGTAACTTCATCGCCATCTAAAAAAAATCTCGTTAAATTGTTCAAGAAAGAACCAAGCAGCTTATTTCATACCTTCGTCGGCGACGATTTCATCAACAAACCAAGTTGCTGTTTTTTCAGTTGGGTTCTTGTTGCCGTTAATCTCTTGTTGCTTGAATGCCCACTCTGGGAGTTGCTTGGAATGTGTCCACATTGAGACCTTGGTCGACATATGAATCAAGCGGAAGTGACCAGATTTGCTCTTCCATGCTTCGCCGTCGTGAGGATCGTTGGCAAGCACAACCTGGAAAAGTGTCTCGTTGTGCCTCGAATAGTCATCTTTGTCCCAGGTTGTAAATTCTTGGTTAGTTGGCATCAGAGGGGATGCAACGTCGTGGGTAATGAGGTGGGTCAGCGTGTTGACGTGGAGCAGCTGGATAACATCTTGATGACGGACGATACGGCCGCGGCCGGTCTCAGGCAAAGATTTCGTTGGGATAATTTGCCAGTGGTTGTTCGTATCGTTGTGTCCATATCCAGTCACTTGTTGCCCTGAAGACGAATATAGACGATAAGCAATGAATCTCCAGGTAGAGCAAAGGGGCACGCACCTTGACTACTAATTCGACCGTCATCATAGCTCAAAGGATACTTCTCTATGTGGGAGTGCAAGAAAACCTTGGTGTCTTTGTGTCTAATTGTGACGATGTCATAATAACGGATTTCTGGATAGAGGACTTAGAGACAATGCCAACACAAAGGGCGTGGGGAAGACTCACCGTGGCTGTTGAGAAGCATTTCATTGCCTGACAGAGTCTCCTGGAATGCAGGGCTCATGAAGGAATCACCAGGACCAGACGTTGTGAGGATCGAGAAGTGGATGTAGAAAAAGGAAAGGTAGACGATGAATGGCACGACAATGAACCCAATTGCTCTTGCAGCCAAATGCCTTGTAAAGTAATCCTGAAATTGTGGTCAAACCCTGCGGGTGCAAAAAAAACAGATAAATAAAAGCACACCATCGTGTGACCCTTCTTGATATCAAGCAGATCCCACAAGTCAATGATGACAGCAATTCCAATAGTGAAGACGGTAAGAATGCCATTGACTTTCGAGCCCCACGTACAAGCCATGAAGACACCCGTAAGGATAAGCCAAGCCCACCATTCCGAGGTATATTCCCTATCCTTTGATCAACGCGAAACCAAACTGAATAGCGAAAATGGACGTACCGATAACGCAATTTGCGGAAACGGATATATGAATAGATGGTGAGTGCAATGAAGAATATCAGCGTCGCGTCCAGAAGAATAAGCCGTGATTGAGCAATGTGCGCATTGTCTGTATTCGCCAAGTTAACAAGCCCATTCATCAAAAAGAAACGTAATCGAAGAAGAGAGCGCACCAAAAAGAACAAGAGAAGCCGAGAACGCAGCGATGACGGTGGAGTATCCGCTCTCCTTCATGATTGCGTAGATGAGGGGGATAGTAAGACTACCAAGTATAGCAGGAAGCGCGCGCATCCCAACAAACGGGACATGGTGGTCGGTATAGCTATCCCCAATATTGTCGAAGTGGAATTTCCCATCAAAGCCAACAAACCAGCCCGCCAAGCCAAAGAGTAATTTCGCAAAAGGAGGATGGACGTCGAAGTAGTATTCCCGAGTGATGTAGTATGCTGCGAATTTGCCAAAGTGGACTTCGTCGAAGCTGGAATAGGAATAGGAGGAGTTGTCAGAGGAGTGAGGAATAAAGGAGAATGTGTGTGTGGCGTACACGACTTGGTCTGGATGATTGATTTTGTAGAACCGTAGTGCGAAAGCGAGCGCAGTGAGGATCGCCACAACGATAGCACTCCCCCTCGTCCCCTCAAATAATAACTCTATAGCATTCCGGTTGTTCTATTCCACAAAAAGAAAAAAGTTCGAAAAGTTCGCGTCAACGCCGAGACAACTCTCAACACACACCGGATTCTGGAATACTTCAGCAGAATGTTCATCATCCTGCACTTGCTCATATTCCAAGTTGGCAGAAGAAGACGATTCAGCGTGGCCTGCTCTTTGTCGTAGACGCGGACTAGGTCTCCCGTGGCCTGCCATTACGGGAGGTGGGAGGATGAAAGAAATGGTTGTTTCAGCAGCAGTTCATTTGCCACGATTCAGTTACAACAATGCCTTATGTAAGCGATGTTGATAGCAAAAAACAATTCCTCTGCAGCAACTAAATTTCTCTGCATACCGCCCAAAAGTGATACATAGGAAGCAAAGAGAAAATTTAAGGAGAGTGAGCGTTGCCGCAGTTGTATGGTATAAGAGGTATTCCAAAAGGAAAAAAAAAGGTTCATAAGAGTGGGTCGATAGCATGGTACAATAAAGTAGAGGAGGAACATCAAGACGACAACGGCAACACAAAAAAAAAAGGAAAGCAAAAAGGAGGGAGGGGGGTGGGGGAAAGGAGACATCACTCTCGTGCAACCCAGTCATTACTTCGCGAGACCAGCTCAATCGAGTTATCTGTCGTCCAGAATAGACGCTCAGTCGCACTTCTACCACTCCAGCTCTTTTGATCACGGAGGATCATCGCCTATTGACATGGATCATCAACCATACATACATAGGAGAACATAAAAAGCAAACACACCTGTTGAGCACCAAAATTCCTTTGATCATGTGCAAAAAGTTCAACATTATCTTCCAACGCCTCCGAAAGGATCTGCAAATCCTGAAGGATGGATTGCATCGCACGCACAGCAGAGAGCGTCAAAATCTCCTTGCGGTTACGCACAGATCCACTACCATTATTCGGCGGCGGTAACGACCGCGATATCGTCTGAAGAACCGTGTGCAAAATCCGCTTCGTCTCGCCCATAATTTTCTGAGCTTGTGGGAAGTTGCGTCTTGATACAAGAACCAAGGCTCTCGTAATCATATCAGACGCGAGAAGCTCCATTCGCCGACGGACAATGACAGGGTCCGAGACGGTAGACGGAGGCCGGGGTGAGGAGGTTGACATAGGGAGGAGAGTGATGGTGAGGAGAACAGGGTGAGCTAACCGTGATACATGCTTGGAAGCACTAGGATCAAAGAACGATCCGTCAACCTCGACCACAGGCACTTCGTCAATCATCCGATCCATCATACCATCAGTAAAGTCCGCATCGTCGATAGCAAGCGCATCAAGACCCATACTCTGCACGAACTGATCCGTCGCATTCATCGCGCGTTCTTGGTTATTCCGCATCTGTGACATCTTCTGTGCATCCGTATTGTCGAGCTCGAGTTCAATAAGCATTTCCTTGCGTTCTCCATATCGAAGTTCGCCAATGTCCACATCGACATTCTGCCCATCAGAAGCCAGGATAGAAGACGGTCCTCCCGAAACCTTGCGTATCCTGAAGCGACGGCCATCGACGATTTTCATGTGGAGCTTCATGTTGAGGAGCCCAATGGACATCATCCCACCAACACAGCCCGCGACACAATCCCTAAGATCATACCAGTCCTTGACGAATGTATACGTTCCGCTCGTGTGATTGGACATGAGCCACAGCGAAGCGGGGTCATGTGACCGCCCGTAGCCAAAGGAGTGGATAGGGACGTTGGCAGCCTCTGCGCGAGCAAGAACCAGGTCCATTTGTGCGCGACGCGTGCTGTCCGAGGCGTCGCTGACCAAAATCATGCCCGAAATCGGGTTACGAGCCTTTCTCTGCAGAACGACATCCAGACCTGCAGAAACATCAGCGAAAAACGTTGCAAGCTTACATTCCAGTCAACGCACCATGGTTAACAGCCGTCACAACATCCGTCTTCTCGTCTTTTGAACCCCTAACCAAAAACTCATCCTGATTCTCCTCCAACCGGAGTCCAAGCTCATCAATAAACTTGTCAAGCCGCTGACGGCTCTGTGCCTTGCCAAGGTTCAAGAAAGGAGTCTTCCTCACTCGACCTGCATTACCGACTTCGAAAGTCACAAGACTCAGCCGATCTTTCTTGGCGAGGGAGGCTACAAGGAAATCAAGCGTTGTTTTGATCACTCGAATTTTGAGTTGAGCCGTGCTTGGCACCGCAGAGGGAGGTGGGAGGGATATTATTAGTATCAAATCCACAGGTGGATGCGGGAGTGGTGTGAGTGAGTTGGACGGCCCACTGGATGTGTACGGTGACACCAGATTAGTTGACGATTCGTATGAGCTCAACTCGTCGTCTTCGCCTAGGGTAGTGAGTTTGTTGTTGTAAATCTGAGTTCGGGAAGGCATCATTGAGCCGTGCGAAGTGGAGGAGGAGAGCGTCGATCTTGAAGACCCATTGAGCAAACTATCCACAGTACTAACCGTCGTTTGGGTACTGCCGCTCAACATTCTCATTGCCTTGGCGCTCCCTCCAAACTCCTCCATGTCCAAAGGTCGTTGTGGCTGTTGTGCTGGAGGAGGAATACCATTTTGCATCTGAAACATGTTGACCAAGGCTTGAATATTGGTCTTCCATGACTCCAATGAAGATCGTTCTTTGAAGATAAGAATAAACGAGGCAAGCTCGTCCTCCATGTCGATGGTGAGGCTCATTTCTCCAGCGGCGGAAGTAGCAGTGACATTTTTGATATGTCGAACGTAAATGCGTCCCTTGAGGCGCAAAACACCTTTCGATTGGCCACTTGATGCCATTGAGCCTACATCACTCAGACCAGACGCATTGGAGAGGAGACGACCTAGTCCGCGTTTCTTCTCTTCAGAAACACAGATAATGGCCTCTTTAAACAAATAAACGTAAAACTCCCGTATGGCAGAGTCTCGCCGGACCGACAGCAAATCGTACATTTGGAGAGGACCAAGGTCCGAAAGTGGGTGGCCTTTCCAGTCTATGATGCGATTTCGAAGGTCTTCTGTAATTGAGCTGAACGGCGAATTCTCTTCAGAATGGATGAGAGTGTTGGGGGGGAAATAGGATTGTTGTGAATCATGACTTTGAGAGCCACCCAATTGATTGGTATCGTGAGATGGGGCCAATTGGTGATTTTGATAGTCGCGAGGAGAGGAATCTTGGCGATGTCGGGGAATGCTATCTGGGCGCGGGCTAGAGTGTCCAGAGTTGGTTTGTCGCACGTGGCTTGATTGTCCATTTCTAGAACTGAAGTTATCGGGCAGTACAGGGCCAGGAACGGTGTTGGCAGCACGTTTCCCGGGTAGCTCGATGACGATAATGCAGGTTAAAGGTTGGCTGACGTCGGTCGTCCGAGTTAGCGACGAAAACTCTGGACGAACTTGGATTGAAGGAGTGACAATGTATTGAGAGTGATCATTTTGGGGTGTAGATTTTACTGAACCAGTGTGGTCCAAGGGATCGTCTTCGTTAGGATCGTAAGGACTGGGAGCAGGTTGGCGAGCACGACTGGTGGGTGTATCGCGTCCTGGGTACATTGGGGCGGCTCGACTGTCACCCATCCCCGTAAGCGCAGCAAGTTCTGATCGGCGATCTGTATAAGAAACCCATGACAGAGATAAGGACGAGGTGACGCACTATTTGATTTCCCTCCATCTCCATCGCCGACCTTCATGGGCCGCCTGCATACACCGCAGACACCGAGATTGGATTTGCGAGGAAGCGCGCGCCCTTGGCTGGGGGGTGGGCCATAAACAGCGGTGAAGCATGCCTACGCGATGTAAAAATCAGATGATTTTCAGTGCAGGGGAGTGTTGTACTAACCTCATGCAAAGCGTGGCCACACTCTGGGACTATGTGTGGCTTCTCACCTGGAAGACGGAAGCTGAAGCTCAAAGGTTCGAGGCAGACAGGACATTCGTCGTCGTCGTCGAGGACGCTGTGACTAGAAACGACGGGGATGGGAGGCATGTGTAGGGAAGAGTAAGGGTGAGAGGGGTGATTGTCGCTGGAGGAAGTTGTAGTAGAAGCAGCGGAATGGATAGAGACAGCCCTGGTTCGCTTGCGGAAGAGGGAGGGAAGTTTGAAGGGTGAAGGAGATGTGGGTGGCTTTGGGGCGGTGCGAGGAGTAATGTAAGTAGGGGTGAGAGGGGGTTGATGAGAGTGAACTGAGGGACTGGGTGAGTCGCGCTGAGATTTCATGAACAAGCGCTTTCCATCAATTTGACAGATGAAGAGCTGAGTTATTTCTTCTCATCAAATTCTGCCATTTTCGACTTTTCTTGGCTTCATTGTTCTCCTAGCACTACAATTTGTGAAAACTCTACAGGGCCATCTCGTATTCGCCTCTCTTCGAATTCAACTAGCCTGATGTCGATCATTTCACCATCTCATGCACGCGACCTTCCTCTCCATTTCGATCACCCAATCCTGCTGACATCGATTTGTAAGTCAGACCAAGCTATATAAGAAGTCGAAGCTGAACGCCTCCTGCAGTACAATGTCGCCTTGGAAATCCCCCCTCGAAGGCTACCAAAACGCGGAGCCCCTCCCAACAACTGTAAATAGCGACGGAAAATCCCTATACAATCCGCCAGGAACAAAGTCTCCATCCTACGACGAATTTCCAAAGCCAATTGATTCGTCAAATAATGGTTTTGATTTCCACAGTAAGTTCATCCCATCGACGGGTGAGCCCGAGTTGGGACCTGAAAGAGATGTCGCGCTCAATGCTCATCATTTCGGTGTCTACATTCAGTATACTATATGCAAACCGTGCCATCAGAGGCGATCTTCGCGAGGGAGTTGCACGAACGAGTCAGGAGGGAGTTCCCCGAGGTGAGCACATACGAAATCTTTGGCCCAACGAGGGTGTACTGATTGCACATGTTCGTTCGAAGCTTCGAATCTACAAGTTCTGGGATAGGCCTGTTGGTTAGTACCGCCGAAAAACACCCGAAATAGCCGGCTGAGCTGTCCCCTCTACAGGGCCACACCCCACAGCGATGTTTGAAGTAAACACGTTCACCCCCCACCAAACTGGGGCGTTCTTTTCGTGGTTGACGGTCAACCGCGGACCATGCTCGTGAGTAGTGCTTCGGTGATCTTCGCAGCATGCGCGTGGCTTCTGGAAGAAAAATTCGAATCCTGATTTTTTTTTTCTGCACTGAATAGGGTTCTTATCCACCCGAATACGAACGACGCGTATAAGGATCATACAGAGCTCATGTCCTGGATGGGAAGGCCCTGGCCGTTGAATGCGGAAATGTTGAAGGGTCACTGAGGGAGAAGGAGTGATTAGGCAAGGATGGAAACTCAAGGAAACTGACGGCAAAGGCAACGTTTGTAATATAACATCATACGACCGCATCTGTCTAACAGTATCTAGGATTTTTGGGTGTTACGAGATATCTGCATAACCAACGTAAGATCATTTACGACGCACCATGCACATGTTAGTATCAAACTCAAATGAATAAATAAAGCGTCGCATCTTTATGTTTGCCAATTTTGAACACAAGTCCAAGGGCTCCCCATATCAGGAGGTAGATAGATAGATATATTGTATTTCTCATTTTTCTGCAGTCACCAGCCTGTAACAACTCTATCTAATTTATTGTATGACTATTCAGCAGCCCCCTGGTGCTTCTTTGTTGGAGATTCATCCCTTGTTGTGGATGTGAAGGATGCCGCTGATACGCTCAATAGGCCACATTTGCATGACTGTCTGTCCTTGTATTGCTGTGTTCCTCTTATATCTATATGGACTGTCTCATTTCCATCTCCCTCTCCTTCAGTGTCACTACTGTCACCTTCTTCTTCCTCTATAATCACAGCTATACCCTCACTATCCAAAATGTTGTGGCTTTTTTCTTTTTTTTCTTTTCGAGTCAGATTTAAGCCATTTGGGTAGACTTGAGCCAGTCCCTTTGAGTAAATTGAAGACAGTCATTCAATTGATTACCGTACAAGGGGGTGGCGGAATGTGGATCACCTTGCTTGTCAAGGTCTCCCAAGGTCATAAATACCAAACAGGTACAAACAAACTACCCAGGGGCCATGAGGGTCTTTTCTTGCATATCGCGCACGCGAGCGGGCAAGCATGAACAAACAAACTTTCTACGGGCCATGGGGCTCTTTTCTTGCATATGGTGCACACAAGCAAGCAAACCGGTGCAAACAACTGGTCTTTTCAAAACATGATATTGTCGTCTCTTTCTTAGCGCCAGCTCCAATGTTTATATACATAACTATGTAGCGCTATAGCTCTTGAACACTGTTTCCTTTGTTACGAAAAAAAAGTCGCATCGTATTGGTGCAAAGCAGTGTATTTGTCAGCAAGCAAGGTGCCTGCTGCCGCTGCTAAGTGTCAGCCTCTAGTTTTAGATATACAGTCGCATTACAAATTAAGGTGCCCTCAGTCTACCCCCCCTACCCCCTACCCCCCAAAAAAGGAAACTTCCAAGTTCCTATGTCAAAAACATACTCAAGTAGGTATGTAGTATGTTACATTTTTGGATCCGTTACTATGTGCGACGACGCTTCACCCCCATAGTATCCATACAAGTTGATATGCCACTGCAGATTTGCTTGACTGCCTGTTCCAACAGGAATCTCTTCCTCACATTCTGGGCAATGAAGCTTGGTGTCGCTCGTAAACCCCGATGCTTGTCTGTAATACAGTATTGCATTAAAATATATATCTAAAATAGGGACTTACTTCTTCTTTGCCATACTTTTTGCGAACCTGAGTGGTGTTATAAAAAAGTTCATTGACTTTTTTTTGGCTCTCAGTCAAAATTTTGGACAGTAAATACATAGATTAAGTGTTTGCCATGCATCTGAACTTCCCAACTTCTTTGAGGAGCACGATTTGGCTTATTGGCAGGACTTTTGCAAAGTAGATCACAAAAAATATTTCAACCCCCAAGCGGAGCCCCCCCCCTAACCCTATATCTGGGATCCATGTTCCGCCACCCCCTTGTTACTGTAGGGACTGGAAGATTTGATGTACAGTGCAGATATTTCCCATGATTTATGGGACCCTTGCCATGGGTATGGGTTTGGTGAGGGTTGGTAAAATCCAACCTGTCCCCTACCCACAACCTGTGTGGGTTGTCAAACCTGTGACAATCCCCAGGACCAGGTCTGTATCAGGGGGCAAAGTTCCAGAGACAGGGAGGGTGTAATCATGCAGCCTCCTACCCAGCCGTCGTTCCGGGGTTTACAAAAAAAACAAGCTACATTTCTAGATATTTATTTGACCTGCAAAATATAAAGTTTAGATTATAAATACAATCATTGATCCAATCATTTATTTTAAAGAATGCAACTCTTATTTTTTTGAACCCCTCTACGATGGCTGGCATTTTACAAATGTAAACAATCAGCCACCATGGGCTAGGGTCCCGTTTGCACTTCCTCTTTGAGACTTGTCATTTGTGATATCCCAATTAGGAAGTCACTTCCTGTTATCTGATCAATGTCAGATGGCCCAACCCTCCTCAGCATGTCTAGCTGCCCTTGCTGCAGTTTCTTCTCTGCCGTCGCCATCTTGGCGGTGATTGTGATAGCCTGTATCCCCACTTTTCCGAGAGTATCTACATTCTGCCTTCCAAGGATGTTTAGTGGTGTGATAACGATCTGGACTGCCTCTGGAATGAAGAGGAGTAGTGCTTGGAAGTCCAGTTTCTTGCCTTTTTGGTCAGTTTTGCTGCTCGCACGTTGCCATTAAAATTCCCCAATGAATCTGGGGCACCAGAAAAGGAAATTTTTCCAGTCTTAGACCAGAAAAAAGACCAGACTGACCCTGAAATTTTGTGTTTGCAAACCCCAATTGTAGCAATGAATTTTTATGGCAATGTTCTAGCTCAAAAAAAGGGTTGAAAAACCAAAAAACCAGATTTCCAAGCACTAAAGAGGAGTGGCATCCAGAAAGTCAGGCTCTTCCCAGAGCCTGTTGCCAAGATGGAAACAATGTCATTGTCGTTCTTGAGGAGGGCTTGTACCACACGGATCTGCCATAGACAGGGACAGTATCTGAAGCACTCTTCAACCTTATCTTGGATACAGCTCAGAAGGAGTGTTTGCAAGCTAGTGGTGTCATGCATTTGTGTAGCATTGAGGATGTCTGAGGCGAGGTAATTAGTACTGTCCAATCACGACTGTGTCCTGGGTCAACATGACTTTTCACACTGCCACAAGAAAATTTAAATATATTCCCTGTCCAGATTTCTGAAAGTGGTCCTGTCGCCATGGTGGCTGATTGTTTACACTTGTAAAGTGCCAGCCATCGTAGAGGGGTACAAAAAAATAAGAGTTGCAGTGATTTAAGAAAATGATTGGATCAATGATTGTATTTGTAATTTAAACCTTATATTTTACATATCTTGGATGTAGCTTGTTTTTTTTGTAAACCCTGGAACAACGGCTGGGTAGGAGGCTGGTAATCATGCCTAGTGTTCACAGGTCTGGTTCAGTCCAGTTTTTGCCCCAAAAAAGGCAACCACAGACCACAACTGGTCTAGGACCAACTCAGATATTGAGGGAACCAAACTGGACAACCTAGGACTGGTCTTTTGCAGTCCATGGACCGCGTTCAAACCAATTCAGACCGGTTTTTTTTGCATAAAATTTGTCGTACCAATATAAACCATTTGTATCTCAATTATTATTACTCTAAAAAATAAACTGGTTATATAACATAGTAAAACATATAAATACCCATCATTCCACCAATTCCTAAGAAATGTAATGAAGGTTTGACAAAGCTATGACTGAAACTGAATTACATCTCCTAAAGACTCGGGCAAAATGTAATGTGGCAACTGTAAATTATTTGATGCATACCATATATTGATAGATGGTGAGTATATTTTCATACTTAAAATGTCAATATCCAAAAATTAAATCAAGCAAAATGATGAAAGTTTGAGTGAGTTAGAATTAAAGTCATTCTGGTACAAGTTGCACAAACAACTATTTGTGCCAAAATGGATTTGGTTATACTGTACGTAATCAGGTACCCGGTCACCCTGGGAAGCCGGCCATTGATTTTCTACACAGTTGAGACATAGACAATTAGCAACAAAATTTGTATTTCTAGGTAGCACTGGACATTACTTACACTACTGCACTGTTAAATCTTGAGAACAGCGAAGTGCGAAAGGGAGAAAGCTTGTGGAAGGGTAGTCGGTCAGCCATCAGGGTCCGTTTCTTAAAATAGAACAGGTTGCAGCAAGATATCTCTTGCACTGGGGCGACGAAACTTATACCAATCGTAAAACAAAAGTACTGAGTTCATTTATATCCTTTTAAATTATAAATTCATTTGAGTACAAAGCAACAGGGTGTATTAGCCTGAAGATATTCGGTATATATACCATACTATTAGAAAATATTTTAGGTTTTGGAGCATGAGCCAGATTTCTTGCACCCAGTTCACCAAACTTAAGCGGACACAATTTTTTTCTGTCAGAAAGTTTTTTCTGATGATGCTGCATCATATTGGGTATCTTTTAGATTTTTTTTCAATTCCTATCTCCCAGCCGGTTGCCATTTCGGCGTCAAGGACCCAAAATGCGAACATGTGAAATAGTGATTTTATAAATTTAGGAACTATAAAAATCTCATATTCAAAGGTGAGAAGAATTTTTTATGGAACTTCCTTTGAAACCTCCAAAAGATTTTGTGTAAATTGGAATAGAACTGACTGAGTTACAGATGGATGATTCTTGAGCACCTCGAAATGGTGTATTTCCTATTACGGGCAGTGATCCTGAAACGTAATGAACCGAACAGAGCCAATACAAATTTGTATTAGTTCAAGGTGGCCGAGTACCCGATAGGCTGGCCAGCTCTCGAGTCTCAATGGTAAAATATTCATAGAGAAATAATAAGACACCCAAAAATTCCCAAATTTTGCGTAGGTGGTTTTGATATCCAAGAAAGCGCATTCTCAAAATTTCAGGCATTTCTACGCAGTTATACACTGGTAATGAATAAAATGGTCTTAGGTGACCGAGTACCCGATTATGTACAGTATCTTTCTCAGTTCTTAACCATTTTTGATGAACCAAAAACCCAATTAAAGGTAATAAATGTGGTTACAAGGCTATGTAATGCACGTGACCGTTTAACCAGTTGCAACCAATTTAAACCAGTTTTTGAATGGTTTTAAAAGATTTTTCAAATGAGGCAACTGGCAACTGGACCAACCCCAAATTTGGGCAACTGCAACCGAAAAAAAGACTGGACCATGGTCCAGTTCAGTTCAGTCCACCAGGTTTTTTCAGTCCTATGGACTGGACCTTTAAACACTAATCATGCCAATGATTACTAAAGTTCCCATACTATCATATATAGGATGCTCTGGCTGAGAATATAACTTCTTAGTTATTCTGCCTTTTGGCTTAGATAATTCTTTGTGCATCCTAGGGACTGCTTACAACCTCAAGAGGCAGAAACAAGGAGGCCCCAGGAATCATAAATTACCCAGGGTCAGTTTTTTTTAAGGGTTTGAGTACCTCCCCCCCATCTTCAAACATGTTATTCCAAGAAAAACATAGCAATTTTCACCCATTTCTACAAGTGAGTCAACAATTTTCTCATGGATACCTTGCCCTATCTGGTCTTGTATTAATTCCGCTAATGACATTGTTCAGGAGCAGCTCATGACAAGGTCTGCAGGCATCGAAAATGAGCTCACTGGTGCAATTGGTTGAGGTGAGCCACAGTTTGTAATTTTCGATGTGAATATCCCAAGGCAGTGTAGATATTGTGCAGTTTGAAAGGATAGGTGGAATATGGGCTGACTCCCATTGTAAGATCGATAGCCTGTATTCTGTGACAGATGTGTTTCTGAGGATTGTTGATGTGCTGCAGTGTGTGATGACTTGGTGATGACCAGCCAAAATGACCACTAGGGCAGACTCAGAGCCTTCAAGACCATTTACATCAAGAAGAGATGAACCAAAAACAAAAACAAAAAAAGACCCATTCTTCACCCAAACAGTACTTCAAATGTCCTCAATTAACTGTCTAAGATGTCTAAAGCTTGTGGATGTGTTGTGCTGTTGCTAGGTGCCATTTAAAGTAGATTTTAGAAGGATTACTACTAAATCTTTTTAAGCACTCTGAGAAAGCCCTCCCCCCTCTACCTCAGGTCACAGCTTCAATTCCCAGTACCCCCTTGGGCAGAAACTGAAACCAAGTACATAGAAATTTTGTTTCTTCTCAGTGTATATATGACTAAATCATAGAGATATTAGAGGAATCATAGATATAGAGGATGTAGAAACTACTAAGGAGAATGTAGATGGTGAACAAAAAGAAATAGAGCAGACAAATACACATACAAAACTTGACATTTTGCAAAAAAAAAAAATAGGGTCATTAGAATTCAGATAGCTCTGTATCTTGCTATATATTTGATAATGAATATTGAGTGTGCAGTGACAGCAAGAAAGAAAGCTTACCCTCTGAAAATGGGAGAATTTTATGACACCAAAGATTCTAAAAAAAATGAGTTGACTTGCCCACTATATATGGAAAATAAGAGATCTGGTCAAATAATGTAAATAAATACATACTTTCTAATAAAAAGGATGATTGAGAGAGGAAAGTACTAGAATCTGGAAATGGATCAAAGACATACAAGCTACAAAATATGAGCATTGTCATGTATCAGGAGATAAAAACATACAATCTATGTTTAAAAAAGACTATGTCAGAGTGATGGAAATGAGAATATATGGATAACCTACAACCTAATAAAAGGAAACAAAGAGGTCATAAAGTTGGTTGGTGGGGTGCTGAAATTTGACTAACCCACTTGAAAGATATCAATTGGAGATTAATTACCTGATAAAGAATAATGAATGAATACATGTCAATTGAAAGATGAAATCTACCAAATAAAACTTACAAAACATGCAGGAGAGACCACATACTTTCTATGAACAAAAAGAATGAATGCAAAAAAAAATGAATAGAATGGATTGGGATAATAAGCACTTACGTTCTAAACAGGAAATGTCAAAAATGGGTTGGTAGAAAAGTATACAGTGAAAGACAGGTAACTTACAGACTAAAAAAGTAAAGAGACACTGTGTGACAAGAGTAATTCATGACCAAAAGCAAAGCAACTCACCTGCTGAAAAAGAAGCAACAAAATTTATATTACCACAAGAGCACAATAAAAACCCAGGCCAACTCACCAGCTGAAACAAGACAGGCCAAGTCTGCATCACCAGAAGAATGCACATTGAAAACCAGGCCAACTCACAAACTAAAGAAGACAGACAACAGTCTGTATCACCAGAAGAGTGCACATTGAAAATCAGGTGCACTCACCTCCTGAAAAAAGAAAGACTACAGTCACCAAAAGGGTGTAAATCAAAAACAAAGCTAACTCACCTCCTGGAAAAATAGACACAGCCTACAGTCAGCAGAACAGTGCACATCAAAAACCAGGCTGACTCACCTCCTGACACAAGACAGCTCACAATGTGTCACCAGAACATGCATATCAAGAACCAGGCCAACTCACCTCCTGAAACAAGACAGGCTCACAGTGTGTCACCACAAGAGTGCACATTAAGAACCAGGCCAACTCACAGCCTGAAACAAGACAGGCCACAGTCTGTGTCACCACAAGAGTGCACATTAGAAACCAGGCCAACTCACAGCCTGAAACAAGACAGGCCACAGTCTGTGTCACCAGAAGAGTGCACATTAGAAACCAGGCCAACTCACAGCCTGAAACAAAAGAGGCCACAATCTGTGTCACCAGAAGAGTGCACAAAAACCAGGCCAACTCACTAACTGAAACAAGACAGGCCACAGTCTGTGTCACCAGAAGAGTGTACAAAACCCAGGCCAACTCACTAACTGAAACAACAGGCCACAGTCTGTGCACCAGAAGAGTGTACAAAACACAGGCCAACCCACCAACTGAAACAAGACAGGGCACTATGTCACCAGAAGAGCACACATAAAAACCAGGCCAACTCACCTCCTGAAAAAAAAAAAAAAAGGCTACATGTTACCAGAAGGGTGCACATCAAAAACCAGGCCAACTCACCTCCTGAAACAATAAAGGCCAAAGGCT